GTTTCCTTCCTTCGAGTATTTCCTTGCAATAACAATAATAACTCAACAAATGAGATGCTTGTGAACGATGATTCTGAAGGTGGCAAAGTTTCATGTGTGGGGGCTGTTCAGGCTCGGCAATTACGGAGATGGATGTGATGTGAATAATCCACAATCCACAATGGGCCATCATCAGAGTTTGCGCTATCGCCCGGACTTGCTGCTTTTTTCTCTCTCTTCAACTTTGTCACCAAAGAAAACCCAGCCCCCCAAATATTGAGTGTTGAGATACAACATAACGTAATGAAAATTCAAACACATTTCCAAAAAAAACAAACATTGAAATATTATCAGAATCACTACCTATCATCATCATATATCCAGAGATAAGAGAGAGTCCATTAAATGATGAAATCTCACAACGATAATGATACTAATGATGATGGCAATGATGATGGCAATGATGATGACAATAATGAAGACGAAGATGACAAAGTTTGGAAGATGTAGAGAGTGTAGCAAAAGATTTAATCAAGGGATGAAGAAAAGCTAGCAGCACGAATGCAGCAAAAAAGCGATAACAAAAAGCGATGAAGAACTTTACAACATCGTCTAATTTATCATTTCCCACATCGCCGTCGATACTCTCCATACATATATAGAAAAACAGAAAGCTTACTTGTTGATTTGCATAATAACCTCCAACTGGACTATCTCTTTCACCGCTTGCTCTTGGGATACCAGCTGAAGGACCACTCTTTTTCTTCATTGGTCTGTGCGAGGGAAAAGAATTGTTAGCGAATTATTTTCATCATTTAAATAAGAAAGAAAGAAAGAAAGAAAGAAAGAAAGAAGAAAGAAAAGTCAAGTTCAATTCAAGGTGAAAGAAAGTTCCGGCTGTCACACTGTGTAACCATAAAACACAACAACTAGATTGACAGGCACAGCAGAAGTACTTGAAACAATTTGTGGAGGGGCAAAGATAACCGGGGATGCAGGGAACTGAACGATCAAAAGATACGAAATCCTTCAACGAATGTAGAAAATCGAAAATCTGACGTGATACCAAAAGACATAAAATAAAATAATGAATGGGAACTTACGAAGTTTTGACACGTAAACCTGTGCCATTCTTTGCCTTTCTGGATGGTCGATTAGATGAAGGTGTGCCAGCGCGTGAATTTGGTAACGATCCAGGAGGTAAGTCTGGTTGAAACCCAAGTCCTGTAGGTGAACTCATTTCTGAATCGTAGTTGTTAACAGGAGCAGTAGTAGTTTGTCTTCTACTAGCTCGATCGTTCTTAGTGCCCAGTCGAATAGTTTTGGATGGGCGATTAGAAGCTGTTGCAGAAGCAGTAGGAATGGAGACAGAATCTCCTCCATCAGATGCATATTCAACAGGTCTACGAAACTCTGGAGGTGTGACACTTCTTGGTTGTATATCTGGACGAACAAAGCTCTCAGTTCGTATCTCCTCAGTAATACCGTTGGTAATTTCTCGCGCCTTGCGCTTCCATTTACCAACCATCTCACTCTCTTCATAAGTAGGGCGATCGACCGCCTGTGGCTTCTTCTTTGACTTGAAAACAATTTGTGGCCTTTTAGGCACCACTGGCTTTAATACTGGCACTGATCCAACCGAAGATGATGATGAGGTACGTATTAATTCAGGTGCCATGTTTGGATTGGCCTGATTATTGTCACTATCGACACGAGAGTTTGAATTGCTGTATGTATTGTGAGATCTAGTCGGAATATTGATAGCTTGGAAGGATGGAGGCGCGGGTGACGAAGTTTTAGATTTGTTCAGACTTCGACTCTTATTATTGGTTTTCTTTGCCGTGGATGAAAATGTGTCTGATTCGAACCTAGACAAATCTTTTGATTTGATTGGTCGTTTTTGATTAATTGACCCTCCAGCATTTGACTGGGTCTCGGTTGACACGGACGCACCAAATTTGGCGTTGGCATTGGCGTTACCCGTCCCAGCAATACCCTGTCCCTTGGATTGTTCGAAACCATCTGAAGGCTTTGCTGTACCAGCATGATTATGAGCGTGGTCAAAATCCATAGGATCATATTCATCATTATCGAGAATTTGTTCATCAACTGAAGACAATGATGATGAGCTTGAAATTGAGAGTGCTCTGGGTCGATCTGATAATTTAGGCAGTGGGGATGACAAAACGGGAGCGGAAGAAGAAGCCGACGCAACTCCGTTCTGTTGCTTCTTCGTGCTTCCATCAGTTCTATTTCCGATTCCAGGTCCAGTTGCACTTGCATCCGATTTTCCATTGACGCCCTCATTTACAGCTGCAAACCCATTTCCTCTGTGCTTTTTATTAGGGTAAAGACCATGATCTCCAAGTTTTCTTGGAGATCCAGATGTAGAGGCTGGTTTGGCATCTGATGAGCATCTGACAGAATCGGCAGCTCCTACCGTTGGAGGTTTGTTAGTTGAAGCAGATGGTGGCGGTGGAGGTGGCTGAGCATATGGAGAGGTATATGTCGTCGTCGCTTTAGCATATGGCGAAGCGTATGTAGATCTTTTTGCCTCAAATATGGGGGCAAAATAAAATACAGGTTGGGCGGGTGGCTGTTGAACTTGACGTCGTGGCCGATGGGGTGCAGGGTCGCTACCATCTCCATTAAAATAATATTCAGCAGCCTTGTCCTTTCTGCCTTCCTTCTTCTTGAGCCCAATCAATCTGTAAAACTCCCGCACCTCTTCTTCCGTAGCTTCCTCGTAGATATGCTTTTCAACAAGTATGCCGAAGTTTTCAGGATCTTCATCGTAAAGTTCCCGTAAAGCATAGGCAGTACACCAACGGTGCTCCTCGATCGCGTGAGAGACAGCCAGCTCAACAATTCTAGCCGTCTTTCTGCGAGAAGCCGCCTCAACTGCACGAGCCCGACCCTCCCTTTGACGAGCCTCGTCTCTTTCATCATATGTATAATTACTCATTTTATGAGCATGATAGGAAGCTGTAGAAGGCGACTCATTCGGAAGAGGTGTGCGTTGGACTGGAGAAGTTGCATAAATGCTAGGTCCTTCACTTTCGTTTCGGACACTGGGAGGTGCGACACTCGATCTAGTAACACTTTTTCGCGCGCTTCTTGGTTGTTGAGGTGTTGATGGTGCTACGTTTTCGAGTTCTTCAGTTTTCGCAGATGTGGATCTTCTCCGCGAAAGGTTCGAAATAGGTTCCGTGGTGTCCATCGCTTCTTGGGGTGCGGCCTGGGGTGTCGCCGATAGAGAAGGCGGAAGTGAATCATCCATCACTTCGGTGACGCCATTTGATCTGCCTCCATTCGCATCTGCTACCTCTGGTTTGGCAGAAGACTTAACAGCTTTTGCGCTCGGTCGCGTTCCAAGTGGTGCCATGTTTGCGACTACTCCATGCCTCTCCATTCCAGCTTCTGCGAAAGATGGCATGGGAGTAGGAATAGGAGGTTCCGTCCATTTATCCATAAACGTTCTTTTTCGACCTGTATCTGCTACCGTAGCTGGAGAGGAATTCGGATTACGTTGTGCGGAAACAAACGGACTGGAACGACGAGAGCGTGTTGGGCGAGAATTGAGTTGGCTCATAGCTTCCTCGCTCGTCGCCTCCTGCGACCGACCCGACTCCTATCAATTGCGATTGCAGTCCCAGTACAACTAATGAATTGTTAGTTAAATGATTATATAGCTTAAGTGGATTTCATATACTTCTCTTCAATTCGCAATCATAGAAATGTTCTCGAACGTTGTTTTCAAGGGATATGTACGCGTTGAATTATCGTGGTATGATTGATTTGAGAGGGAAAGAAAGTCAAGTTCTCGCTTCGAGAGGAAATCCCTTAGCTAGCGCCCCTTGAGAGCCGAAATCGATGGGTTGCTTTAAGTGTGCGAAACAATAAAAGGTACGTGGTGAATTTAAATCTATTGTCCTTTTCAAGAGGTCACAAAACTCCTAGATACAATAGAAGAATTAATAAACGATTCTGATAGATGATCTTTTTGACAAAGGAGTATCGTATTGAGGGAGATATATCCTCCAATTTGAAAGGTGATTAATCGCGTAAGTTTTCTCGTGCCGTACTCGTATCATGTGAAGAGACACGGTACCGTGAAATAATGAATGAAAAGAGGGGTAGAGAACAATATCGGAGAAGAAGAGATAATGTACCTTATTTGTTTGTTATTATGAGAATGTAGTAAATAGAAACAATAGGTTGAAGGAGAGCAGGAAGAAGAAAAGGTACAGGTAGAGCAAGTGGATGAGAAGTGGAAGAGGAAGAACGTGGTGAATTGGATATTCAAGCCTTGCTCTTATCGATACCAGGATGAAAAGATGAAATCAATTGGTGATCGAGAGAGAAAAGTCGCTTAGATCTGCTGCTGGATGGATAGGGCGGCACTAAGTGGCTGCAAACACCTTTCGTCTTGATTTCCTCCGACCGTCTTTGATGGAATCAATGGGAATGTGTAGTTGAAAAGGTTGTTGAGGAGAGTTATATTTGGTTGTTGATCTTGGAGATGAAGATGGGAAGCGAAAAAGGTAAAGGAACACTAGGTAGGTAATTTCTGGGCTTTGCCTTCAACCTAAAATCCTAACCGAGGATTCCAAAAAGAAGGCACTGTACCAATTTATTACACGTCACATCACATAGCTCAAAGTCATGGAAACACGCAATAATTGACGATTGAATTCACTTTGCACCATTATTTCCACACTCATATATTTGCTGCATATCTCTGAATTTGAGAAGCTTTCAACTGCCTGATGAATCTCCCCTATGGGAATGCAGACCCGAGTTACAACATAACATCACTCGCTCTTCCCAATGACAACAATAAATGAGGTAAGAACATTGAAATGCTTGACAAGCTTTTATGAAGCAATGTCGGCAGCAAGATACGTAAATATGAGAAGAGTAGACTTGCAAAGTAGTTCATGACACGCATCATTCGTCAACTTTCAATTGATTCAATTGTCACCTCTGTTCCATCACGTGCCCGTTCCCGATCTACCTATTTACTCTGCTGCAGCAGGCTTCTTAGCAGCCTTCTTCTTCTTATCCTTAGCCAAAGGTTGCTCCAAAATCTTGAGGATCTCTTCGTCGGTGATCTTCTTCTCAGTCTTGAAGTTGCTAAGATCTGGCTCGGGTGGCGAGGCAATCTTTTGTAGACCGTTTTTGGTAATTGCTGAACATGTTAGTCAAATGTTTCAAAGATAGATGATTATCATCCGCTTACCAATGGTGGTCAATAATCTGCCAACTGCCTCGTTGTCCTTGTCTCCAACAACTTCGTATTGTCTGAAAACATTTCCACGTACACACTCGACAACACCGACCTTAGCATCCCGCTCGGATTCCAATTGTCTCAAACTGAATGGGAAGGTACCGAACTTCTTCACAACCTCATTCATAACCGCTCTGGAACTTGGTCGCTTCAAGGCGTATGTAAGGTTGGTACGACGGTGAAGCGTGGTTCTGTTCTCGAAGTTCTTAATCTTTCCAGAGCCAAGAGAAACACCCATCTCGACACCCCAAACCTCGCCAACTTCTGGAGTACCATCACCTCTTGTACCATCTCCTGGAGCAAGAATGATCTTCTTCTTTCCTTCGATTTCGTTGCGCTCGAATTGCCAAGAGGTGGTGTGCTCGACCAAGTTACAGTCGTAACTCTTGACCAATTTCTCGAGTAAGCTGGTAATCTTAGCTTGAGTAGGAGCTTTAATAGCTGCTGCCTTCTTTTGCTCCTCCTCTGTGCCAACTGGGACCAATCCAGGGGGAACCATTAAACGTAACAGGAGCTCGTTTGCATAGTGTGTCGCCAACAACAGGTCTGCATCTCTTCCGCTGATCTCTCCATTTGCATTCTCGGCAGAAGGAATGATAATGGTATCACAGACAATTGTTCCGAATCCATCGATTTGTGCACCGAGCTGAATCTTGATAGCTTCGCCTTCTTTGAGAACAACGTTTGCTTCCGCTTCGTCCGAGGTAAGAGGGGTATAAGGTGTTACGAAAGCTGAAGGAGAAACCGTGGTTGGGTGTGCAATACCTTTTTATTTGTTAGTTAAATTCATATGAGCAATAGAGAAACATATTTACCCTTGACCATCTTCTTTCCACGGTAGACCTTTGCGATCTCTTCCTCGAGGAGCTTGTCACCCTTCTCACAAATAGTCACAATTTTCTCGCCAGCCACACACAGGGCAGTAACATCCTTCAAAACCTTTTGGGAGATTGTAGCAGCATTCTTGTACTTGGTGAGAGTATCAGGGTTGTTGAGAGAGTAATCTACCAGTAGTTGATATTGTTAGTCAATTGCTTTCTTGAGCTGTTTTCATGCTGGTTGTGCAGATTCTGGTGTATCTTTCGAGTCGCATTGGCGGGGTCCCAGTTTGCTCACCACGACACCAACATCAATAAAGTAAGATGAAGTTGGAGAAGAAGAAGGAGTAGAACATAACTTACCAATCTCTTGGTTTTCTTCCTTCTTATCGGCCATGATTGCGATATTCTTATGTTATGGTGAAAGGTGTCCAGGGGTGGTATTGAGATTTATTGTTGTTGTGAAGTTTAGAAGTGCAAAAACAATGTTTTCTTATTTTCCCCTCACAAGTCTAAAGTTCTAAGTAGACGGACGATCCAGGTACTTTAAAGCTTGGAAGGATTAAGGATTGTGTGGGCTTTGTTTCGCTTGGTGACCTCACCGAGCTTCATCTGCCTACTCCGTATCTATATATGTATGCCTGTGCCTTTTTGCTTCGAGTTTCTCTGCATTAAGCTACGACATTGGGTATGTAAGAGCAATTCATTGTCATATCAGTACCGGTAGTACTGCACTCATTTTAATCACATATACATGAGTACTTGATATACTTGATGATTGGATAATGTGTGAATCTATATGGTTCAAAACATTAGAAGAATGTTCTGTCGCTTCGATCTATTCGAGCACTACTACTACTACTGCTACTACTACTACTACCACCACTACTACTAGCTATTCAATCACACCACCCATACATTTGTTCGGGAGGCGGCGGCCCGTATAGAAGCTTCTTCTTATTAGAGCTTGTTCCTATTTAGTATTGGATCGCCATTGAATTGTTGTTCACCTCCTACCTACCTAGCTATTCTTACCTTGGGTAGGCACTTTTCCCATTAGTCTGCCTCCACGGCAGTGGCCCCCCGGGAGGGCCAGCGGAGCGTCATTTCAACTATTTAGGTGACTTGGTTTTTAGCTATCATTATAATGAAAAGAAACTCCCAACAATCCCATCATCTCGTTGCATTTGAGAGTTTGCATGATATATATACTCGAGTATCTCATCTATGTAATTGGGTAAGGAATGTCCAGTACCTCCAGGGCTACCCAGGCTCCTATGCTCATTACCTATTCCGCTCAAAGATCAACAGAGTAATGACTAATCAAGCTCAAGAAATCAACATTCTTTACAGTCAGCCGTAAAATATCACTATGGAGTACTTTACAGGCCAACATCACAATCAATCAACCATCACTAATCCTACGCCTCACGCCTCACTTAAGCCTCACTCACGCCTCGTGTATTACCTACCTACTACCTAGTCTGTGTACATATGATCTTGTCGCGAGTTTACAGGTTCGCGATTATGAGATTCATAATTGTGTATTATTGATAATTAAATCCACTTTCCACTAACCACATTCTTTCTTCCATCTTCTCATATTCGTCGCATAATTGTCGCGAATGTTTTCGCTATGACACCAGATATTCAGCAGACTTCTCAAGATGATTCTTCCTCAGCTAATGCTAATGCAACTGCACCTTCTGAGTCTGCGAATCCCACCTCATCCCAGTCTTCCACTCTAACTCATCGACCTCGAACCAAGTCAGATTTCAATCAGCTATTACTCGAACAATACTTACATCATACTTTAATTCATTCCGCTGCCATTGTCGATGACCAGGACAAACGGAAGGCTTATTATCTCCACAAACATCACGAAGCGCAAGATTACGAGCTGGTAAAAACCCACAAAGATGTCTTTACAGCAAGTCGATTATATGGGACAGGTTACAATGGATACGGGAATGGATTCACCGATGGACCAACAAGAATACTATATTCGCATGCGAAGTTCGCGAAGAGGAAAGCAAAGCCATTGCGAATTAAGCGCAAAGATATGGCCATGCAGGCAGATCAAGTGGAGGAGCTGGTTCCCATAAGGTTGGATGTGGATTGGGATAAAGTCAAACTTCGAGATACTTTTACTTGGAATCTGCATGATCGAACCGTTACCACAGAGTTGTTCGCAAAGCAACTTATAGCAGACTTAGGTCTGATTACTCCAGTAGCAGAACCAGTACTACAACAAGTTCAACAACAAATGCATGATCAAATTGTCGACTTTAACCCCCTGGTTTATTTTCCGGAAGATCCTCTGGATGAAATGTTACCATATACGGCGTACAAGAACGATGAGCTGCGCATCCTCATCAAACTCAACATCACTATTGGACCACATACATTAGAAGACAAATTCGAATGGGATATCAATAATCCTTTAAATTCACCAGAAGAGTTTGCGCAAAGTATGGCCAAAGATTTGTCTCTTTCTGGGGAGTTCACTACAGCAATCGCACATTGTATACGTGAACAAAGTCAATTGTTCATAAGGAGTTTGTACGGTGTTGGGCATCCATTTGATGGCAGGCCAGTAGAAGATGCCGATCTAGTTGCAGCATTTTTACCTTCACCTCTACCTTCGGTATTGCGGCCACATCAACAAATCAAGGAATTTGCGCCATATCTGTATGAAGTGACGGAAGCAGATTTAGAGAAACATGATTTAGTATTTTCACGAGAACAACGAAGGCAAAAGAGGTCTGTAAATAGGAGAGGAGGACCAGTTCTACCAGATCTAAAGGATAGGCAAAGGACAGTGAGAACTTTGGTCGTTTCTTCCGTATTACCTGGGGCAGCAGCAACGGTTGAAGAAAGTCGATTATACAAACGAGTAGGAGTACCATCAGTTAGAGGAAGACGTGCTGGTTTCGGTCGACAAGATGGTGGAGATTTATCAGAATCAGACGATAGTGAAGATTCTAATCCTGAATCACCGGCTATCCAAGCAAGTCAAGGTACTGCAAGGACGAGAAATATGCGTGGAGCAGCTACAGCAGCTCAACAAAGAATGGCCAATATTGGAAGATCAGAAACTCCAGAATCCATGCTAGCACATCATCATGAAACTCGGACATCGGGGAGGAAATCTGGTCGTGACGCTCGCGAGGATACTGTGGATACTCCTTCACTGATAGTGAAATTGAAAATTTCGAAAGAGAGATTTAAGAAATTAGTCAAAGATATAGGCAAAGGCCGTCCAAGTCATCAACAAACTCCTTCTGTAACTCGCGCAACATCAACATTTGGTACTCCTGCTCCACCTGGATCTATGGGTCCACCTTCAACACCCGGAGTTCAACCAGCTCAACCATTGGCAACAACTCCAGCACCAGCTCCCACTCCACAACCAGTAAATGCAGTGGCAGTAGGTCAGATTGGTAGAATTGATGCACCACCTCCTATACCTGGTCAAGCTCCTCCAGCTGTAAGTTTAGATTTCTCAATACTGTTCAACTCGTGATTCTACTTTACGTACTTCATTCTATCACCCTTCCCATCTCCCTATCCCCCCCCATACCTATCTCAAACCCTAACTAACACTCCTCATCAGCCCCCTCCACCCCCTTCCTGGCTAGCAACCGGCCTAACAGCCCTCCATCAACAATACCCCAACGATCGTTTCGAAGGTATGATGCGCTACTCGGCTGTTTCCATTACAACCGAAACTCCCGTCCCAGCTCCAGCTCCAGGCACCAATCCTGAAGGTATCAAATGGATGTATCTTCCCAGAATCAGATGTCATGATTGTCCAGGAAAATTGTATACACCGGGTCCAGATACGACGGTGGGGAATTTCGAAGTACATCTCAAGAATAAAGGACATAGGGAAAAAGTCAATTTGAGAGTTGGAGCACAAGTCACGAGTTAAGAGTTTAAGAAATTTGTGGAGGATGGAGACAGAGGGTTTTTATCTGGGATGGAAATAGGAAGCATTGGAATGCAATGAATTGGAATGGAATGAGCAGGCGAAAAACTTCAAATGTCTATATGAAGAGACATTGTATTATAGAATAGGATAGCGTGGTGCTTACTACTTACTTACTTGCTAGCTCAATTTATCACGGGAATGAATAGCGTTTATTAAACTTACACATATACACATACACAGAGAGAGATACGAAGCAGTTGATATAGGTTATGTGATATGATATGATCTATAGACAGTATACCGATTCATCCCATCTCATATCATATCCTCCCATTCCATATCAAACGTAAAATTCACAACCAAAGCCAACACCCTCACAGACTTACCATCTTACATCTTTCAAAAACACTCTATTTTTCAATCCATATCCATTCATCTATCAATCTCATCCCATCCCGTCCCATCTTATCTTATCCTATTGCGTCTCATCTCATCCCTTCTCATCCCATCCCATCCATCCCTTCCCATCCATCCCTTCCCAATCAAAGCGACCCCATAAAATCTTGAAACCCTCCAATCCATCCATCCCAATCAATCCCTTCCCAACCCATACTAACCCCTAAAACTTCACATCCATCCCAAACCCTCAAAACTTCACATCCATCCCAAACCTCGAAACCCTCAACTCCATCTCAACCCCTCAAGTCCGTCTTAACACCGTCTCAAATCCGTCCCAAATCCGGCTTATGCCCGCTTCGAGAGACCCCTGCAAGACCGCTTTCTACCTACATTTCAATTTTCCACATCCATCCATCCATCCATCCATCCTAAATTGCCAATCAACCAATCAATTAATGTAAAGCAACCAAGACCGCTTTCTAGATTCGAGTTTTGAACGACGAGATAAACACCTACCTAGCTAGATACGAGGAAAGATTTCGGCCGAATTCGTCGGGATGAGAGAGAGAGGGGGGGGGGAGGAGGAATGGTGGAGTTTTGTATAGTCGTAAAGGTAGATGGAGGGCACGGGTGTAGAGGAAGGGAAGGAAGAAACTAATTATGGTGTGGTGGTGGTATGGTATGGTGGAGATGATTCGATAGGGGGGGTTAAGATTCTGGTAGGTAGATTTGGAATTTGGCGAGGTGGATATATGGATAGAAGGGTATATAAAGGCTGTTCTTGTCCTGCTTTTTGGATTTGATTGATTGTTCTTATTCCATTCACACTTACACCCTAGTGATCGGTTCCAAGTTCGAGATTATTTTCATTTTACTTTACCCACTCTTACACTGCTACACTTACACTCACACTTCAAAACCCCCCAAGAAAGAAAAGATGTCCCCTACTATCCTCATCATCGGCGCAACCGGCAACACCGGTCTCCCCCTAACCAAGTACCTCTCCGCGCACCTCCCCCGCACGCACCGAATCCTCGCTCTAACCCGCACCCCCACCTCCCCCACTGCCCTCCATCTCTCCACCCTCCCCTCCGTCCAAGTCCTCCAATACTCCTACCCCGAAATAACCACCTCCTGGCTCCTCACCCACGAGATCACCCGCGTGTTCATCTCCACGCACACCGAACCCACCCATTTCTCCGAAGAATCACAATTTCTCCTCGCGGCGCGCGCCGCCGGCGTAAGATATATCGTGCGCATGAGTACCACAGCCGCGAACGTGCACGCGGACACGCTTCCCTATTATGCGCGGAGTCACTGGGCGATCGAGACGCTTCTTTCTTCATCCGAGTTTTCTGCATCGGGAGAAATGAAATGGACGAGTTTGCAGCCGAATGGATTCACGAATATGTGTTTGTATACCGCTGCGGCGTCTATTCGTGAATATCGCGCTACGGGCTTGGTGCCGGAGACTTTGTCTTTGATTGCTGATGAGGATGCGAAGGTGGGGATTATTGATCCGGTTGATGTTGGGGTTTTGGCTGCGAAATTGTTGCTTGCTTCTGATGAGGAGGTGGAGAGACATCACGGGAAGAAATATGTGCTTAATGGCCCTGAAGATATTACGGGGCGGGGAATCGTGGATTTGGTGGAGAAATTTCTGGATGGGAAGAAAGTGAAAGAGGTGAAGTATAGAGATATAGCGATGTTGGATGGGATGATTGCGCAATCGCCGTATTCCAAAAATGTGGTTGGGAGTATGAGGCATGCGCTGAAGGCGAATTGGGATGGAAGGTGCAGTGTTGCGACGACTAGTAAGGAGGTGCTGGAATTCTCTCCGCCAAAGAGAACACCGGAGGAGGCGTTGAAGGCTATGTTGGAATAGTAGGTGGATGTAGATTTGGATGAATATTTTTGGTGGGGTGACGGGGGAAATGTTAGGGGTTGGCGAGTAAGGGAGATGAAGTATCGACGGTGTGAAATAAACAATCTAAATTTTTCCAGAAAGTATTTCGTAAATGAGAAGATCTATTCGTAGTTACCTTCTCTTCATCTTCTCGTGTCTAGGTGAGAAATTGATGAGAAAGGCGTTTCACTCTTTCCTATCTTTCGCTTTTTAAACTTGTCATCCTTACTTTCATGTTCCCTTTTTGATGTATATATCCATCCAGTACAAATAAGAATTCAGTCAATATAATTTGGGTGATTCGAAATACAAAGGGATAGAAACAGAAGTGGAAACAGAAACAGTCAATAATCCGAGAGTAACAAACACAAGAATAAGAATATGCAACACAACTACTGGATAGGTAGTATAACTAACCCAAATACTCACACTCGTGAATCCAAAAATATATTCAAAATGAAAAGCGGTCTGTCTGAACCATGATCACACTATATTCATATGGTATCCAACTGATCACATCACTCATAGTCCAAAGTCCTATTCTCGATTCCATATTCAGGAAGAGCTTGATATAAATTCTCATTTCATTCTCAATGTTCGGTTCATCTATCCCCTATTGCCCAAATTCGAATACCAGATCCATTCGTCTGTCTGTTAATTTCAAGAAACACGCCATCCAATCTCATTCCACCCTATCCCCATTTGATATATTCCACCCATGATAAACATCCCCAATTCAATACACTCCCAACCATCAATAAATATATTCCTAAAACGCCTTGCATGAACCATCCATCGTCTATCTGAAGCAAATCAGACCATGATACCCAACTTGTGTTCTTGAGCATTTATGGTTAGATGAATAGTGAACATCACATGCTTAATTCATCCCATCACCCTCCTGTCCCAAGAAAACGCCAGATTTCCATAGATTGATGTATCCACAAATCAAACTACCCCTCATTCCCATGAAATACCACTAGAAAGAAATCCAAACCGGCCCATCCCTGTACACCCTACCCAAGAAGTATCTAAAACCAGGATCTAGAAAATCGAACAGAAATTTGGATTACAAGTGAGAGAAACGCTGAACCAAAGGAACCGAATGTTTGTAAGTGACTGACGGAAATAGCGGGCGTGAATGTTCCAATCGGATTGGAACAAGTAAAAGAACCAAACCAAGTGTTCCAGAGATCATGAAGTAAAAAATCACAAACCCCATAAAGCAAACTCAAACTCGTGCAGCCATACTTTGTTTCCTTTGCGGAGCACTCTGCAACGAAAATCCACTTTGTCTTCTACCCGGCAAGCCCATTTCCCCATTTCCATTTTCATTCGTACCCTCTCCCATTCCCCCCATTACCTCATCTCCCAAAGCATCCTCTCCATTCTCCATCGCCGGTGTCGCTCTCTGGACCACTTTACATATATTTAATGTAAATCCATTTGTAGCATTATGTAATTGTTCCCATAATCTTTCATCTCTGTATCGATACTGGATTGGATATTGTATAAGTGGTGGGACTAAAGGTTGTGGATTCCAATTTGCGAGACCGGACTGAACGGCGAGAAGTTCTTCGTCAGAATCGATAGGACCATTGAGAAGTTCTTCGTCTTCAAGGGGGGCATTGGCGTCGATTGCTGCTTCTGTTTTGGAAATTGGGTTAGAAGTCGATCTTTTAATTGGGAAAGAGCGTGGTTAGGTTTGAGAAAAGGAAAGAAGGAAACAAAGAAATGTCATACTTTGTTGTTTTGCTTGATTTTTCTTCTGATACTGCGATAGAAGCATATCGTAAGGTAAGGTACGACCAGGAACGGCCCTTTTAGCTCCCATAGAGTGCGATTTGCAAGTTAAAGAGCGAGCGCAAGGAACACCATCTTTCAGGACTCCACATTGACGCTCTACATCGACTGGACCTTCGAGAAGAGTTAGTTTGTTAGCTAAAAGTGTTTTTCGATATAATCTTGTGGATCGTCTGGTCTCCATGATTGAGATGATCGGATATATTGATGAGAAGGAAAGAAATGATTAAAATGCAAAGTGAACATCTTCAAAAATCGGAGAAGAACTCTTGAGACGAATAGTGAAACCCGCATAGGGCGACACTCAGATAGTCCCCCCTATAGACGCTTCCACTACTTGCCTCCGCCGTCTTCCCCATTACCCCGCCGAAACATGAAATAAAAGCCATTATAACTTTAGAGATCAAAAATGCATACCTTTTGGTTTCGGAGCCTTTGGTTTTGGCTCTTCCTTCTTCTTCTTCTGTTTTGGACCCTTTTCTCCCTCGCCATCTGCCTTTCTCTTCTTCCCCTTTGCATCCCCATTATTTTTACCGGCGCTCTTCTTCGAACTCTTAAAGCCACCCGGGCCCTTCTCCTCATCATCGTCATCATCATCACTACCCATTTTCGTATCTCCATCTCCATCAACATCTTTATTTGCCAATTTCTTTTTGACCTTATCCCTCGCTTCTTTCGCTTCTTTCTTCTTCAATAACTTGACTCTCTTCGCATTCAAACATGCCTTTACATGCGAAACTGTTGCGGTCTTCAATACACTCTTCTTGCAATGCTTACACACTTGTAAATCGGGATCATCTTCTAAAGGTCTTCCTGTAGCAAATGTTTCAAGCGCGGCATCATCCAACATATTAACTACAGGACCAGGACTTGGAATCGAATTCGCGCTTGATGTATCTATTCCTTTCTTCTTCTCGTCGACTGTTGTAGCCTGATTAGCCCCTCATCATATGAGTCGTGTTGTAGAATTATGGCGGGAAGATTACCATCGATAATACTTCCTTCTCTCCAATTGCCAGGCTTATTGTGCTTCGGAGGTTGTTTCTTTAATTTGATATTGCCTAACAACTTATCGCCTCCTCCTCGTTCCCTCTTGGGCGCGACTTTGATGGTTGAATCATCGTCACTCGCGACGGAAACTGTTGATATTGATTAACAAGTTAAATTCCGACTGATGAAATCGAGGAGATTTACCTCTCCTGCTAGCCATGTCGTCGCGATACTTTGAGAAATTCTGTTGCAGGAGATGTGATGATTGTGGTTATTTCTTTGTAATTGGTGTGATGTTGGAATCTGGACAAGGCTGAGATAACCTTACTGGGCTGGGCCACTGACTGGGGTTGAATCCGACTCGATTCGGTAAATTTCCGGCAAATCGTTCCTGCAGCCTGATCTGATCTGGCCTGGTTTTCGGCCTGTGATGTGTGTGGAGTTGTGGGGGATTTCAATGCTTTCTCTTCTCTGATGGTTCTCAAGGAAAATTTGGAAATTTCTACAGATAAAATTAGTTAAGAAACCTGCATCGTTGAGATGTGTATATGGCTTATTAGACTACATATTATCGATTCTTTGTGGTACATCTATTGAGTGGAATTTACTTCTTCCAAACTGTATATGCGCTACATACATCCATATCTATTTCTTACCCCTACATACAGGTACACCTCCCAGATATCCAAAACACAATGCAGCAACCACAGCACACATGCCGGCCACCACTGCATTCATATTCCCATACCCAATTGCCTCTCTCAAACTCCCTGCCATCACAGGTCCAATAGTGAAACCCGCACTGAAAACCATACTATTCAACGCATACAATTGTGCATATGGTCCCTCCTCCCCAAATAACTCTGGATTAGCATTGTGATATTTCTCCGCAACGTAAGATGCTTCCACAATACTAGGTGCTCCAATGAGCGCCATCCCAAATCCACAGAGTGATAAGAGAATATAGTAAAGAACTAAATCGTGTGTTGTATTTAAAACGGGAAGACGAAGGAGGATGAGAGGTAGGATAAAAAATGTGTACCCAATTGTTCCAATGATTTTGGGTCCGTATCTATCAACTCCCATTCCAGCTAACGGACCGAAGATGAGAGAAGTGAGAACAATGGGGGTAAACAATAGTCCAGTTTGTAAGGCTGTAAACCCAAAGAGCGATTGTGATTGTGTGGGAATAGTGGCGTCGAAAACTGCAAGAATAGTCGCTTGCATGAAAGCTACTAGTTCTGCTGTAAGGAGACGGGGAGAAGAGAGAAGATAAAGAACGGGAAACTTTCTGACGAAATTTGGGAGTTCTTTGCGAATTTTCCAAGAGTCAAGATCTGAGTCCTTCCCATTACCGAGCAATGGCGCCTCTTCTCCATTTCCGTTTCCATTCTCACTCGCTCCTCCTTGTTCACTTCCGTCCAATCCCTCCTCAACCCCCCACTTCCTCGCAACCTTCTTCTCAACAACCGCCACTCTCATCCCAAAATCCACCCCTAGGAGCGCAATTCCCATCCCGAAAACTGCATTACTTCCCACCTTATCATAAACCATTCCTCCCAACACCGGCGCCACCAATTCCCCCGTGCCGATGAAACTGAAGATAGTTCCAATCGTGACTCCCAATTTGTCACTTCCAACCGTATCCATCACGAGCGCCAATCCGACTGTCCAAACTGTTGCTCCCGAGATACCCTGGAAAATTCTCGCGATTATCAAGACCTCTATACTCGTTCCTAGCATTAAGAGCACCGTACTCGCTAGCAAAGCTACTAAACCTACTAGAAATGGGAGTTGACGAGAAGATAAACGATCGGCAATATATCCAGCCGGGAATGAAAATAGTACAGATGCTCCTGCGTAAGAGGCAAGGAGGACAGAGGTGTAATACTGAATTTCCGATTGTTCAACTCCTATTCGATCAGACAGAATAAAGGGTAAGATGGGCACGATGAGTCCATATAAAAACAAATCGGTAAACATGCCAACGGCTACTGTGGAGAGGATGAAGAGGGTATTAGAACGGGCTTCCAATGCCCAGGGACGTTTTGATGATGAGGATGCCATCGAGGCTATTGATGCCATGACTGGCGATTTCGAATCGTGGAGATGTCAATCCGTGGCGGAATCAATATGAATTATGATCAATTGTAAAGTTTAATCAATGTTGAGGATTATGATGTCTAGAAGATATATGAAAAGAAGAAGAAAAAGGAAATTCACACAAGACTCTGTTGCGCATGTCGTCATGTGTAAATCTTTTGCCTGGAGTACCTCAGATTTTTCTCTTCCAATAAATTTCTTTTTCTGCGGGTAGACCCGAAGCTAAAAAGCTAGTGTGTAGTGTAAAAGTCGGAATCTGTTTCGGAATTCTCATCCTATTATCAGGAAAGACTTGGGATGAAGATATAATATAAAATAAAATATGGAAATGAACCCAATCGATATGTTATGAGAAGTTTGGGTTTGTCAAGCTTATGATATTTGTTTGGTTTGGTTGGTTTTACGAAAGTATGATATCCGAGCTATTCATCCAGGGGTATTTCATAGAATGAGGCTACCTACTACGTACAACTAATGGGTAGGAAGCGCGATAGACCTTCACCATGCGCACGGTAAGATCTAATTATGATCAAGGCACATGGAATGAGAGTAAATTAAAATAGAAGTAATAAAACTTATAAAACTTATAAAATAATATTCTATATACTCCCATTGGTATCTGCTGTTCCTCTCTCGTCTTTTTGCTTAAACATTTTCATACATCACAGCTGTAAAACAAATGAACTCACAAAAGTAAACTCTTCCACTCCTCTCCCTAACCCCTTTTCGCTTCATAGGTATCCTTCTCAGGTATCCATCATCCAATCCATCCCCTTCTTCACCCCTAGAAATAAAAATCGTAATATAAGTACAGAAAAAGCCTCTGATTCGCATGAACCAGAAGACTCCCAATTCAATCCAACCTCAACGTAGAAAAAAAGCCGATAATATCCATCCCTCTCCTTTCAATAAAGAAATCCACAAATGAAACCCCACTTGATTATTTGGCTTCAAACCGACTTTCCTCTTCATTAAATATAGCTAACCTTGACTCCCATTCCTACTGTTCTCTTGACTCTGCCCAATCCCTCACTCATCATCCGCCTAATTCTTTCCCTGATCTCTCTCCTTCCAAACACAACTGCTATCCCAGCCACGAAAGCGACCATTCTTAACATGGCCATTGGATTCTTTAAATTAAGGTTTCCTCCCATGTTCTGAAGTACCAATGACAGATTACGCATTATAATACCCACCTTTTCTATTATCGTTTTTTGTTTTGTTTCCTCTACCGATTTTCGAGGATGTGGTTTAGTGGTCGAAGATTTGGAAGATTTGGAATGCCGGGGATTGTTGGGCGATGACGATGATGTTACGGATCCATTAGTCATTACTGGAGCTTCATCTTCAATCCCGTAGTCGACTTCTGATGTCCCTCCTACGCTTGCTCTGGATTTCTTATCCATTTCTTCTCGTCTCCTTTCCTCTTCTTCTCTCCGACGTCGACTTTCTTCTATATCTCTCTTGAGTTGTTCTTCTCTGTATTCCTTTTCCATTCTCTCTCTCCTCTCTCCTTCCTCACTTTCTTCGTTAAGGCTTCGCAGTGCCCCGAGGAAGGCCTCTCTTCTTTCATCGTCCAAAACTTCACTAATCGTGATGAATTCTTTCGCATAATCCCATTCGTTATTCCGAAGTAAAACATGTAGGGTATAGAGTTCTAAAATCTTTACACGGGCATTTAAGTCTCGTGGTGTATCTGTTCCGGGTTGGGAACGTCGTTTGGAACCTGGGAATGGATTTGAGGTCGTGGGCGTAGAGGATTGGGACATAGAGAGGTACGGTGTATTTGATGTTGCGAGGTATGTTTCAAGACGAGTCTGGTTCACCTTTTGGGTACGAGCATGAGCCAAGAGAAGTGTTGCTCTGTTTTATTGTTAGTTTCTTCCTTTACAGTGGAGATATCTGGGGGTTGAGAGTGTGCGGGAGACCACGAACAAGTTTATGACGACGTCTGAATCTACATCCCCTTCAATTCCATGATATCCGTTTTTAACAACCTCCTCCCAAACTTCTCCGTCCCTAACCTTGGCGACTAGTGCTCTGAATTGACTTGTTCCAAATGCTTGTTTTCCTTCGGCAGGGTCCAATTCCAGAATCGCATTCAAGATTGTAAGATATAAACTCCAGACCTTAATGCGAGTCGTACGGGAAGCTTTTGATATTGGGGCCAAGGATTTCGTAGGGTCATCGGGATTGGCGTTCTCGGTATCGGAGGCAGAGGATGGTGTGATTACTGGTAGAATGGTTGAGAGCGATTCAGGGAGACGACGCGTTAAGAAGAGTGTCGAGGCTTGACGATAAGTTTTCGATATTTGAGATGTATGGCGAGATGAAGAAAGGGAATTGGAAAGGGATGAATGGGAAGACGAAATTATGTGTGATGAAGATAGCGGATCTGATGAATTGATCGCCGTAATAGATCCATGAGAAGCCATGCCGGCCGAGATGTTGTAGAATTGAAAGTAACGACGCGAAGAGATTGAAGGAATTAAATACGGGTGGAGGGGACGTCTGGGAATGAAGAAATGAAAGGTAAAGGACTAATAAGACGCATGTATGTATGACATTTGAAAATGTCTCTGATGATTGTAACGAGGGAAACGGTTGAAAGCCTCGGTCCAGGAAGGTTAATATGATTGAGGTATAGGGCGGTGTGTTGGCTCATGTGATTGGGCGAGTGGTTAAATTAATTATGAAAGGCTGGAATGGAGTGAAAAATGGTATAAAATTAGCAAGTGAGGTTTGGTTTAGTAATAATATTATAACTCCTGGGATAAGTTAACTATAATAAGTTATCTAACTAACTATAAGTTAACTATGGTTATAAATTATATACATCTACCTCTATATATCAGTCCCATAACTCTATACTGATAAAGTATCACCACAAACCAAATAGACAACCATAAATGCAAGTCAGACATCAGACCACAGAATACTAAAGAATCTGTCTGTATTCAAAGTAAAACATACAATACAAACAAGATCAATCTTTCTCCAATCCTTCTTCCATTATCTTGTCGCCTTCTTTCCCCTTTAGCTCACCTCCCACACCTCTCCCTCTCCTTTCAACACCAAGGTGTTTACCAAGTAAGATCTTTTTCACATCACACTTGGAACTTCATTTGCGCACTCATACTCGTGATGGACATTCCTCAACAGAACGATTAATCAGATTCACCTTCTCAATTTTGACCTTCTCCGCTTTTATGTGGTAGTAAGTAGTAGCTTCCCAATATACCTACTCTCCTCGAGCAACAACCAACAGTAATCGCCTCCAACCAACAAACCTCATTATTTTGCCACAAAGCCACCATCAATATGGAGGTTGATAAAGAGAACTGGCAGCGGCTTCTGCTTCCAATCTTAAAAGATATTGCCAATGCTACTTTTGTTTCTTTCGATTTGGAAATGAGTGGTATCACTACTCGTCCAAAGCATACTTCCCAAGAACGAACTCATGATATTGGAAAACCAAGTCTTCAACAACAATACGAAGAAGTGAAGGAGGCTGCCGAAACTTTCCAAGTTCTTCAACTGGGTATTACTTGTGTTGAAGAAGACCGTCGAAAGGGTTAGTATAATTATCGTTTTCGCCACGCTTGATATTGGATGTTAACAATCCTTAGAATATTATCTTGCTAAACCTTACAATATCAACCTCAGTCCACTGTTGCTCTATGATAGAGTCTTTGATCTCGACCGCAAGTTCTCCTTCTCTAGCTCTGCTACCAATTTTCTTCAATCAAATGGCTTCGACATTGGTGCAGTCTTCACCATGGGCGTTCCCTATTTATCGGAGCAGGAAGAAGTCGAGGCTCGTGAACGTTATGATCAGAGGGTTGAGAGAAATGCAGCAATTCCTAGCATTGTTTTTGACCCCAGTGATGTTGGAACATTGGAGTTTTATCGAAGGGCTAGGTCGAGTATTACTGAATGGATTGAGGCAAAAGAAGTAAGTAATTTTCGATTTGCCATCACTATATGCGATCATGTTTTTCATTCTCCAGTCGATGGTCTTTCGGAAGATATATTACTTGAATGTTTGAGTTGGACTTGTGTGTCGTAGCTGTTGATATGTTGATCAAGTACCCTCCTTGTTTTCTAAATGCAGGTTTACCATTGTTATCTTCACCTCGTGGGATGATATTTCTGTATGGAATGATGCAAAATAATGATGATTTACTATTTCCCGTTATTTGCTAACATATTTTAGCCTAAGATGACCTTTGTCAACGTGGATAATCCAAAGGGTCCTTTGAATGGTTTCCAAAGAAGATTAGTCCATCAACTTGTACGCAGCGAATTTCCACAGTGCAGATGTTTTGCTCGTTTGGATGGATCTTTCATGCAAGTTGAAAAGATTGATCATGACAGAGAAGCAAGGGTATGCTATTCCAATTTTTCTAACCCAATTGTTGCATTTTATACTGAAATGTTCTACAATGTTATCCCCCTTTTCACTCAAAACTCGATATTCTACCTTACTAATGGTGCATAGTTCAAAATCGAGCAATTGAAGAAGTTCAACCAGCGAATCGCCACTCAATCTGGAGCAAGATTTATCTTCGAAGCACTTTGTGGTGGTGACTTAACAGGTATTGACCCAATGTGGTCATATACACATGATGAGAACGCCCAACCTAGCACTGTCGATTCTTCACATGCTACTCTTGAAGCAGAGCTTGTAAAAGTGACTAAGAAACTCAAAGAGAAACAACACGTTATTGTTGGTCATAACCTTTTCACCGATCTCTGTTTCCTTTACAAGACATTCATTGGCGATCTTCCGGCCGGAGTAGGAGACTTTCAATCTCAGATTCATTCCTTGTTTCCTTTCGTTATTGACACCAAGTATCTTGCTACGTATAATAGCGATGCTATGAAACCTCGTGTTAACCTCAAAGAACTTTTGATTCCGGTCAGTATAATATGTTCTTCAGTTTCATTCTTCCCAGTATCCAGATATGAGGAGATGTTTAATATCTACAACTTATATTCAATCTCATTCCATTCGTCAAGAAACTGACCAGCAAACTCTTAGTTTCAAAAAATCCATATGCCACTCATACTTCTCCACGAAAAGCACAATACCTATGGCACCACTGATGGAAATGCTCACGAAGCAGGCTTTGATAGTGTAAGTCCAGCCCCCACCGCCCCCATTTTGAAATAAACAATGTATCCGCACTTTTCACCTGTGTTTCAAAGCACCCTTTCTTTTCTTTCTGATAGAATTCTAACTCTTCATCCCTCATTCAGTGGATGACAGCCGAACTATTTGTCAAACTTTCTGCTCAGCTCTATGCCGAACAACCAGATTCTCAATCCCCATCTCAGGATAATCAGAAACACGATTATAGCCATGACTATAATCCTTCGGATTCTGACTCTGAAGACGAAGCATCCGGAGGTGCTTCTCTCTTCTCTCCTATCTCCAATTCTGCTTTCTCAACATCAAGTGGAAATGCTGATAGACATCGCCCAAGTAATTGGCACGCAATGCAACTAAACAATCCCTTCGCGGCGCTGGAACTCGAACAGACGGGTAAAAATGGAGGAAAAAGTAAGAAAGACAAAAAGAAAGTACAATTTGGTGATGGAGGAAAGGGGGAAGGGGGAATTCAACAATGGATTCCGAATGCGGGACATGCATTCTGGGAGAATTATAAGAACAAATTGAGGGTTAATGCTATTGAGGGAGAAGTTTGTGATTTGAGTGGCGGCGGGAGAAGTGCGAATGGGGTTAATGGGGAAAGAGGAGAGAGGATTAGGAAGCAGGGTAAGGGGAGGGGTGGTTTGGCTTGAGTTCATTCAATTTGAGGGGCTCTTGGGGAGTGGATACGCCGAGGGAGGGAGAGATCTCTCAAGATCATCTTGATATTAAGTCACGAGGAAACGCACTTGACGAATCAACGAATGGATGAATGAATGAATGAATGAAGCGAGTAAGCAAGCAAGCGATACATCCAGGTTATTATGGAGAATTGGCGTGGATCTTACATATCTTAGTTCAGATTGCGCATGCATGCATCAATGAGTCGATGACCCAAATCTTTCAAACCAAGTTCACACATCCATATGTCTACCAAATTGAACAATTGAAAATTACAATCACATGCACGTATTGACAATCATATAAAATCCTAGGTAGGTACTTTCAAGCATACCCGTATCAATCATTTCATCCCAAGGAACTAGAAAACTAGCTACATAAATCGATGTATACATACATACACATCCACGAGAAGGGGAAAAGAATCTCAAATTGAAACGCAAAGCAGAGTAAGTACTTATTTATGCAAGTAAGTAAGCAAATTAAAACTCATCTTGCCCCAAACGATCCCATTGCTTTGCTTTGTATTGTATTTCCATCTTTCGTATTTCCGTTTCCCAGCTTCCATCTTCCATCTTCCAGCTTCAATAAACATGAATATGAAATTACACTTCTCCTCATCTCACTCTCATTCTCATCCACACAACAGCTACCTAGGTAATAACAAACGCATCCATCGTATAATCCACATATAATAAACATATTCAGTCAACCTTATCGCTTCGTAAACCGGGTATACGCTGAACGCTTTTCTTTTCTCTCCTTCTTCATTCCTCACTCGTCTCCGCTTTTCCCCATATTCCTATACATTCTTCTGGGACAATCAATCAATCACTTAGCTCTTCCCCTCGTGTTCCTCCCCCTCCCAACTGCATCTTTGGGTTTCCGCCCCTTGCCGCCCTTCGCGCTCTCCTTCACCTCTGGCGCCTCGACTTCCTCTTCTACCTCCTCCGCTGCTTCTTCCTCCACTACCTCCTCCTCAACGACCTCTTCCTCTGCAACTTCCTGAGCCCTTCCCCTAGTATTCCTCGCCGGTTTCAATACCTGCCTCTCAGTATTCTCCTTCGTTTGAACAGGCAACTTAGTTTTCCTACCACCGCGAGTTTTCTTGCCGTTAGCTTTTGGTTCAGGTTCTTCGACTTCTTCTTCAACTTCAGCTTGGACTTCAGTCTCAGCCATCTCTACATCCTCTTCTGCATTTTCTACATCCGCATCAGCAGTAGGAGGTTCTTCTTCTTCTTCGACTTCAACTTCAGCTTCAACTTCTGGCTCCGGACTTGCAGCTTTCGCACCTCTCCTGCTACTTCTTCCCCTTCCAGTCGCTCTAGCGTTCTTGTTATTTGACTTGGCGGGTTTGGGAGAAGGTGTAGGTACTGCCGCTTCAGCCTCAGCTTCCACTTCATTGTCTTCATCTGCTCGGGCCTCCTTCTCGACCTCTTCTTCCCGTGGTGCGACTTTCTTGCCATTCGATTTCTTAGTCTTAGGTGTTGCTTTAGTCGATCTAGAAGCGCGTTTTGGAGGCGAAGATACAGGTTCTTCTGCCATATCAACATCCTCTTGTTCTTCCTCTACCTCAGCATTCACTTCAACCTCGGCCTCATCCTCACTTGCAGGAGGTGGGGACGCAACGCTCGATGCAGCCCTTGGGACCACCTTAGGCGATTGCTTCTTTTTCACCGATGCTGTTCTTGATCCACGTTTGGGTTGTGGCGATGTAGGTTCTGCTTCTGATTCTGCATGTGGTTCGACTTCATCTTCCATCACTACGTCTGATTGCTCTGCTTCTTCTTCGACAATGCGAGCCGATTTCTGAGGTGTCTTTGCCTTGGATTTCCCCCTTCCCTTGCCTGTTGATTTGGGTACCGGCTCTTCTTCCTCCTCGACATCGCCGGCATTTTCATCCTGTTCAGCATCGCTTTCTTCATCTTCTTCCTCGGGCTCCACCCTATTACCGTCTTCATCGAAATAGTCCCATTTACTAACTCCTTCCAACATTTCGTCTTCATCCTCGCTGTCATCCCTATCAATATAACTCTTTTTCGCACTTGAAACACCTCTTCCGCTCTTTCTTCTCTCTGCACTGCTGATCGCTGGAGTTCTTGGCCCTTTGATTTTCTTTGGCTTGGGAGTCTTGACGACTCTCTCTTTCTTCGAAGCTGTAGATTTAGGCCTCCCTTCGGACTTTTGTTTCTTAGCTGTTGGGAGAGATGAATCATCGATGGATTTCCGTTTTTGTGACTATCAGTAACGTTAGTAAATGACGATAAATGAAAGATTTGGGATAAATGTAAGCGAGTCGTACCTTCTTCTTATCCGCATTTCTAACCAACTTATCTAAGTCTTCATCCAATTCCTCTGGTATGAAATTCTTTTCCGCAATCTCTTGCGCAATACTATGAGATTGAAGGGCGCCGAACAACTTGGCTGGAACTCTAACTTTAGCTGGATAGGATTGCATAGTCCAGCCCTTCTTAGCTTCCCACTTCTGAATCACAGCTTGTGTGAGATCGCTTAGAACGTAAAGATTTTCGGATTCAGCTGGGTTAATTGCATCTCGAGCTTGCTTGACACTTTGAGCATATTTGTAAATAAGACCCAAGTTATCTTCCGAGGCAACAGAAGACACATAGTATAGTATGTAACGAGCATGATCAATAAGCTCGGCAGGGTCGGTGCTATAATCAGGGTGGTGGGCTAATAATGATAGAAGTCGTGGCAGATTTTTCTCCAATACCATAGTCTTGGAGTCGACGAAGACCTTAGCACGAGAACGAATCCACGTGATGATTGAGTTCTTAAAATTTATTTCGGGTTCGAAAGCAGTCAAGAAGATGATTGTGTAAAATCGATCTGGAAGCTTATCCTTGACCAAATACTTTTGGAGTTTTTCGATAAAAGCTTTTCGGACATTGGGATGTTCATCTTGTGCTACGAAAGATAAACGGTCGAACTGAGCAGGAGCTAGGATTTCGTCAAAAATTGGAGTAGTGCAGAGCTTGAGCATTAACTGTGCTGCTAATAGTCTCAAGCGAGATTTATGGTGTCTGGGAGTATCCTGCTGCTTCGAAAGCTCTCCATTGTCCACAATCAATTTGTTGAGAACCTTGAAGACTGGTTGCGCAACAGTTTTGACTTCTGTTTCCTCAACTGTACGCAACCTATTAACTAGAATCTTCAAGGCCCAACATTTGGCTTGGCATTCTTCGTCTAGCTCATCATCATTCTGCCATTTGGGATCGGTATCTTTGGCTGGAGTTCGAACTTGCAGGAGAAGCTCTTGGGTGGTAATTTCAAGAATCTCATCACTAAAATCATCCGCAATTTTAGGAGACAATAGTTGCAATTGACTGATAGCTGCCAGCTTGGTCAAAAAATGGCCTTCCCCATACTTCCACTCCTTTGTTGACTTCTCCAAAAGATCCTTTGCATGCATCTCCTTTCGATCAGTGGCAGCCATCAAAAGAGTGATCGCATACTTTGCAGCTCGAGGTGGTGTTCCAAATGATGCATAACTAACTAATGTTTGTGCAAACTTGCGATCTTTGGGAAGTGATTTCGATTCGGTCTTGCTTTTGGCAAATACCGCACATGCTTTCAAAGTTGCCACAGTACCTGGATCATTTTCCTTAGTCTCTGTTGGTGCCTCATCTTCCAAAGTCTTGCATAATTCCTTGATATTTGCAGTCAAGACTTGTGGATTCTTTTCAGAGATTTCGTTCATGACCTCCTGAGCAGTAGCACCCAATCCTTTATCATCGGTTCTAGAATACTGGAGAATGGCAGGCAAGTGACTCCGATTGTATACCAAAAAGGCAGAACGGTAAATGATAGGCGTTAGAGTGTCGAGAAGGCCAGCTGGAGCATTGGGTGCTGCTTCAATGCGCTTAGAAAATTCCTTGATCGCATTGTGAACAGTTTTGAAATCACTCTTAGGATCCATCGTGTACCGCAAAAGTTGATAAGTTCTTCGATCATGGAGCTTCGCGTACTTATGCAAATCTTGGCTAGTACGTAAAGGATCTGGAAGAAATTGAAGAAGATACTCAATAACTGCGCCGAGTTTCTGTTTAACATCCGCGGCATCACCTTCGGTCACTCCGCCGTTGAAATCTTCGCATTTCTTAATATAAGCAGCAAGTACATCAGAGTATGATTTAGTTCGGGCCTGTATAGCGAAGAAAGCTTTCTTGGGCTTGGTATCAAGGGATCGAACTAACAGCAAAATACGCTCTGCTCGAATTTTATCAGCATCGAATGGTTCATCGGAAGATAATTGTGATTGAGAAGCGCCATTCTTTGAAATTTTGGCCTTGGAGGGCGGATAAGTCAAAGGTAAGAGCTGTTCAAACATCACATGATCCAAGACAACGTTAAGTTCTAAATCATTGGCAAAGAAACCTTCGAAGATTCTCGAAGGGATAGCCCCCAATGACGCGATCACACTCTCGTTTCCTGCCGCAATCTCACCAGTTGCTACACCCCATATCGTACCAAGTGTCGTCATGGCCTCTGCTCGAACGGCAGGCTTACGGTCTCTCGCTCGATCTGCCAAATTACTAAGAACAGAACCGGACTTGACTACTGGGCCATTAGGTACAAGTTTCTCCATGATATCCACCAAATTGAAGCTTGCAACAGCTTTCACAGCAGCAATTCTGACCTTCTCATCTGGATCATTTAATTTCTCCGCTAACGACTTGACCAATGCAACTTCGTCTTCTCGGTTCAATCCGATACCTCCAGCCTCAGTCACCAAGATTCGTCCAATCGCTGTGGTCCAGGCTGAACGAATGACTGGTGATTTGTCATTCTTTCGTCCAATGAAGCTATGCCACACGGATGGATGTGTTTGAGAAAAGGATTGTGGTGAACTGGGTTTGACAAGGATACTTGTGATAGGCGTTACTGGATAGTCATCAAGTCGCACGGGAGGATACGCAGCTGGATCCATAATAGGAAGAGGTGGTGGTCCTGCAGCACCAATACCAGATATGATATCCCCCAAAGTCTCGGTAGCCAACAAGCGCAATTGTATATTCTCTGCTGACAATTCCGCCTCTACTTGAGGAATAACATTCTGTAAAACGGAAGGTGATGCGCGCCATAATTCTCTGAGAAGCCTGTGGGCCTTTTCGAGTTCTTTCAAATCCTGATCTGATGGTCCTGTTGGGGCATCATCTCCATCTGAGTCCGCATCATCCTTTCGGTGTCCGTTCGATTTGCCTCCACTCGTAGAAACTTCCATCATAACGTCGTTGAAATATTGACTGACGTAACGAGACATCTTATCAGAGCAATCATTACAGATAGTCTTTGCCATATTGTACGCTTCTGGAAGATCTTTCAATAACAGTGTAGATTGCTTGTCGTCGGCCTTTGCACCATGCTTGCCTTTACCTCCACCAGGTGTAGCAGCTCGTAGAAATTGCGCAACAATGATATCGATAACTGGTGCTCCCACGACTGGCGCTTCGTCAACCAATGTAACCAAACATTGTGACATGTTATATTCGACATCTTTGCTTATTTGCTCGTCTGTCGAGGACTTCAAAGAACCGGAACATATATCGAAAAAGGTGCTGAAAAGATGGAGCATAAGATCTTCGGCATTAGGAAGATCTGTCATCAAAACGATACTCTTAACTTCTGAGAGAGATGACAAAACATATTTGTGTTCGGTATTATATGGATGACTAGGATTGGCAAGGGCTGGTAAAATGATACCAACGAAGAAGGTGAAGATATTCTAATAAAGTCAGATCCTAATTTAGCAGTGTAAGAGCCCGAGAATAATATACCTTAACCTGCGAACTAGTATATGGTGCATCAGGAGCGCAAAGCTTCAATATATCCACTAAACAACAAGCTGTCCATGCCCTGACTCCGTTGTCCTTGTGATTCAATAAATTTTGCGCCGCGAGCTCTTTAGCCACTACTGTCAATGATGATTTATCTATTTCCTCCTGATCCATATCCCGCAGCTCACTCGCAAGCTTCTTAAGTCTCTTCAAGAGAGTCTCGGTCGCAATGGGCTTTCCTGCGCGCCATGATAAAGCTTCGTTAAATACTAAGCTGGTAGAGGGTTCTTCCGGTTCAGGAGATTCGATCGCACCGCGGCGCGGAGCCATTTTCAATTGAAAACTCCAATCGCGGAGTTGCAATTTTGGTGATTATTTTCGTTCGAGTCAATTTGAAGATGCACACAGTGATGGTGGGTTATTTCGTTGAATGCGTTTGATGGTGGATGTATTGAGCTTATTGCATGGGTGGATGGAGAAATCGCGTGTAGTACCAAAGTGCTCTGAGACGCGTTGATTAAGCTTTTTTGGGTAATCGCGCTACGGGCACATAGCGCCGCCTCACTCACAATACGACAGACAATGTACCGATTATAGAACTTTTGACTCTTTGATTGTTTCAACTTGATGTAAACGATATTCTTTTCTATTATTCGAGTCTGATATGGACATTCTGGACTTCTCTATTGTTTGAATTTGACCTAGACAATTTGCATCTATCGATTTGAAGTTGATCTGGACTATCTAGTAACCTTAGACGATATATTTCACTTGCAGTGTTGCCGTGATCCATTCATCATACTACACCTGGACAATCAGCTAATAGCCAGCCTTTTCATCATCTAATACGAGTATGGTATTCTGTAACGGATAGATATATCGTCTGCTCGGATGAGTGCATACTACTTATAGAAAGTTTCATCCACAGCCACAGGTTACAAGTCGAGCTTGAAATCATGCTTGTATTCTGGTACTGCAAGATGTTGCTCTAGAATTTAATATGCTAGAATTTGGCCTCCTCGTATGGATGTATATCATCCTCCCCGGATCCTCGGGATATATAACACGCATTGTATGGACGACTAGAATTCCATGTAAAACACTTCGTGAAAGGTCGTTTGATATCTTTGACTGGACACTTGAAGTTGCTATCCTTTAGGAAAGAGCACGCATGAACTTGCTGCTAGATTCACCATTTCAATGTAATAGTAGTTCAATATCCACGGGCAATTCCTTCATAGAAGTCTTCTGCTACTCCTTGATGATGAGAACGATCAAGTATAACTTGGGGGCCAAGCTCGGGATCATGGCACTGGACATTTGTTTGAGAGACAGCTCTCACAAACCAACAAGCCCATGAGTGAAGAAACACGTCGACCTTTATACCACGTATATATTCAAGTCGGGATTTATGGTGATCCATTTCTCTCATTTCCAAACCCCATGATTGAGATGGTTATGGCTTTAAAGATATCTATGCTGGAACGGAGAATGACTGCAATATCATCATCATCATCCAATCTTGTTTTCATGCCTCTGGCAAGATTCACTGCATGAACAATTCAGAAGTTAGCAAGAAAAGTTCTCCTCTAGGGTGAAGATAACGCTCCGCTGGCCCTTCGGGGACCACTGCAGTGGAGGCAGACTATTGGGACGCCCTTATAAAAGTTGTTCATCTCTGTATCGATTTATAGGAAACGGTGCCAGCTATTTCTGGGATTGGCACTCGAACCTGATTTTTGTTCGATATCACGCACTGAAATTTGACTGGATATGATGTGATGAGAAGGAAGTGAATTTGTTCTATGTGGCTAGCGATGTCGTGACTGAGATATTTGCTTTCCATTGAGTATCAAGAATAAAAGTTGTATCAGACCACACCTATATACTTCCTTTGCAATAGGCTTGCTACTGCTGGACTTGGATCAGAGATATTCTAGTTATACCGACTGGTAATCTATGCTACCTTTGAGACTTTGAAGAGTTTCTACCATGATATTTCAATGTTTGCTTCGAGGATGCCCAGATGGAGATAGCAATATCACAGTTGCCAATTGAGGACAAACAACATTATTAACCAGTCAAGGCATAATTCACTCTAGCGATAAAGCTTATGGGATCACGCAATTCCCAAATAAGATTAGCCAAACCAATTTTGGAAGTAATTTATAATTATTTAATGATTCTTTTACTGCTGTTATGAATTCACCTCAAAATTGATTTCGGCAAAGACCTTCGGGCCGAAGCAAAGTCACTGCCTTCTTCCATCAAGAATCGCCTCAGTTTTCCAAATAAGAATCTCCTCTCAATCTTTCTCTCAACCAAAATATTAACACGCAAGAAAAACCAAAATCGTCGAGTTGTTGATCAATTTGACATACCACATTCGTTTTTGAATCCCACCCAATCATCAAAATACCCTCATTATCGTCTTTACGTCCTCATCCCCTTCTTTCTCAATCTTTTAGGACCTAAAAAGTACTTACACTTCCTCCAAAACACTAAGTCTTCTCAAAAGCTTCCCTCGAAGATACTTGACTTCGTATTTTTCATTCCAAAATAGAAACAAGTCTCGTCGGTTCATCAAAATCATCAAAATGAAACTCCTTCTTAGTATTCCGCTCTTTGTCTCTGCGCTGGTTGTGGAGGCTACTTCTGGTGGAGGTCCAGGTAAATGTCACGTTCCGATCTTGAAAACATCAATCGTCAACTCTTTAGGATGACTGCTAACTTCTATCCATACGATCTAGTCAATAATCAAGTCCATGATGAGGCTCGAGCTATATCCAACGGAGGTGTTGATTTACCGGGAACCTCACTTGTCACCGTCAATAATGTAGTTGTCGCATCAACACTAGCTTCTGCCTTTGGCGACTCCTCTGCTTCTGCTACTATCAAAGTCTCTGCAGCTGCATCAAGTCTTTCTGATAACTTCCCTCCTGTTAGCCCTGGTCATACAAACGTTCGCAGCAGCACGTATGAGTCTACAACTATTGTTCTCTCTACTATCACTGTAACACCAAAGCAATCAGTTGATGTCGCTCCTGTTACACAGGCTTCCACTTCTCCTTCTGCTATCGATAGCCAAGAGTACGTGAATCAAATGATTTCCATGTACTCTACTAATGAGATGTAGTGCTGCTCTTGTTTCTCCAGCTGATTCTGGTGCTGCGATTACATCTCAACCGTACGTATTCAATGATTGACAATTTAATGGATGGGTGCTGATTTATTTCTTAGATCCCAAGCCACCTCCGATATCACTCAGCCATTGGTATTGGTGACATCTAGCCTAGAAGCAGAACCATCTTCTTCAGCTGCCGCTGTCGCTCCACTTTCTTCAACTATCCAATCTTCTGCCGTTCAAACATCTATTGTTGAATCTTCTGCAGTTCCAACATTAACCACTGAATCCGCTCTAGATGACCAATACACTTTTTCATCGCCACTTACAGGATCCTCGGCTGCTATATCTACTGCTGTTCTATCATTGCCTTCGCAATCGTTGACAATTCAACCAACACCACTTCAATCATCTGCAGCTCAAACATTGTCAGAAAGCAGTATCAGTCAAGTTTCGAATGCTCTAAGCCTTCCAACCATTGGTACCAGTGATGCTCCATTGCTAAACAGTACCGCTTCAACTGTTCAATCATTGAATAAGTCTGTGACTTATCCAAACTATACGATTGTTTCAGCTTCTTCGGCATCTAGTTCATCTAGCCCTGCTGCTTCTGCCATTGTCGGAACACCACTAAGCAACTCCGCAAGCATTCCTACAATTAATCCACCATATAACAATGTTTCCAGTACTGTTATCTCTGCTATTGTTGGCACCCCACCAAGTGTTTCCATCAACAATTATTCAAGTACTCCTGCATCAGACAATATTGGCACAACCTCAACTTCAACTACAAGCACAACTACCATCACTTCAACAACGACTCGTACCGGTACCATCACCAAGACCATCACCAAACCATCTGCTGATATTACTTCTCAAAGTATTATTGGCAAATTTCCTGATACTGATGGCCCATCCCCAGCTGCGCCCACTACAGAAACCTTCACTTCTGGTGGTCGTACTTGGACTACAACCGAGACTGGTCCTCCAAGTACTATTACTGCATCTCTCATGTTGAACCCATCATATGCTGCTTCTAGAAATGGCGGAGTTGTTGCTTCTAATGGTGCTGCGCCATCTTCAGGAGCTTGCACTTGCCCATCCCAGGTTACCATCACTGTTACCGCAACACCATTCATTGTTACAGGAGGTACTCTTACAGCTACTGGTACAATACTTGCATCATCTGCCAATTCTCCACAAGAATCCAGCAATTCTTCATCCCAGACAGCATACTATCCACCAGCTCAAGCATCATGGACTACACACAGCGTTCCTGGATTCATCGGTGTTACCATTCCAAGCGGAGGCATGTCATATCCTCCTGAAGGATCAGCTACTTACTCACCCTCCACCGCTGCCACCAACTCTCCTTCTTTCTCCCACACTCATCCATACATGAGTATCGAGCCCATACCAAATCTTAGCGCTTTCTCCAACTACTCCACAACCAGTGCCACCAGTCTTCTAGGAACAGTAGTAGGAACCGGCGTCGGCACAGTCGTTACTCCAAATTATGCCTCTACTACCAAACCATCAGTTGGTCTTCCACCAGCCGCCACAGTCACCCCGACCATTTACACTGGTAACGCTGACGTCAATGTCGCCGGCACTGAATCCGTCGCGTTGGTCGTTGGTTTTGTCGCTCTTGTTCTTCTTTTCTAACCGTTCAAATGCTTTATTTGAAGAGCAGACCGGTCGAAATCTGTTGTAGAACAACTAGATGAGTCGAAACTGTGGCGTGGCAATGTGTTACGAATTTCAAAGTGGTGGATATCCAGAAATGATAGAATTGCATTTATTTATTTACTTGCTCTTTCTTGCATCTTTCTTTTACATATCTGACTACATGCCTTTAGGATTTCGCGTCGGAGGATAGGATGGATAGGGTTTGCATGAGAATCTTGCCAATGGCGTACAGATTAGGATTTTAGAAGCTCAGATTACTTTCACTTCTTTAGTTAGTTATTTATGAATCGACGCTTTTATGAGTCTTACAAGATACATTGATATAAAGTGCGCGTGCGTACATGATTATTTGACGATGATATTTGATAGGTACATCAGTGGGTGTATGGATTAACGGGACACTTCCCAACTTTCAAAAAATTAAACAAATTCATTCTTCAGTTGCTTGATATCAGAAGTCATACTTTGACTGTTTCATTTTTAACTAACAATTTTAATAATTCTTAAGATATAGAGTTTGATATATCAAGAGATATCTAGAAGTCCATTTTTGGAGTGTCCCGTCAGTCTGTACACCCACTGGTGGTGTTGACGTCAAAGATCTCATGACTGGATTTCCAAGTTATCTCTTAAGAGCACCCAGCTTCGTGAACTATTCAATAAACTTTAATAGAAACATCTAAACCGAGGTTTGGGTAAGCCCTCACACCTCTCACTACTCTTCCTTCAAATAGGCCCATGCGGATAAACCTGCCCATCCATCTTCCTCCTCCCATATCAAATCCCCTCGTCATCCTGAAACACCATCTCCTCCATAAAATCCAACATTCTAGCCCCCCATCTCTGTCCCATTTCCCCCTTATCCCTCAACATACTAAACCATCTTCCCCTCCCCTGAAGCGAAAGTCCCTCTCACATCAACTCCCTCTCATGCTACGAGGAATTATATTGGTGTCGTAATGGGTATCAGTAGCATGAGTCTATGAAGTCATTAATTCTTTGAATAAGTTGAGTGGACTACTAAGTGGTAATGTGAGAATGTCATTATAGATTCTAGAAGGAGTGAATTCATGAAGGCCACAGGACTACTGGGTAGCTTGAGCGATACACGTGGATGTTCATGAATGAGATCTATAAGTTCATCTGAAATGAAATGTACGGTTGATTTCTGTTCAATATGTCATGGTTCGATATCCATTTAGACATATACGATGCATCTTAGCTTGAAGTGCTTGTTCAAGCAATATCAGAGGATGTATATCATTTACATAACATATTCAAAATTTAACTGGCCAGAAAGGATCATGTAAGAGCTGATCCTTGATCGCCCATTGAACCTGTGGAATATCCATGTAACTTTTGAGGTTCATGAGAACCTTATTGTCTGGATACCTGCTAAACATCTAGAAAGTTGAAGTAAGCGTCGTAGTTGAACACCGTCTAGATCTATGCTAGTAGTGAGGTTAACTTACGCATTCATATTGATGGAAGTAAGCACGCTGATTCCTGTCGTATGGCTAGCAAGTGTTGATATAAAATGTGAAGTCCATACCAGAGAATCGCTACATACAGAGTAGAGACAAAGTCTGGTTGTGGTCAAGGTTCATTTTTCGCCAAATCTTGGAAGTCAATTTACTCGAAGCTAGCGGCCGTATGTGGGGTTTAAAGCAGGTCCCAACCTAAATTATCGATTGAGCGCCCGCAACGTCACTTTTTTTCCTCCAATCAACTTGGAAAAGTTGACCATGCATAGCATTGGCATGGCATTCTTAACTTTTCAATCTTCTGGCTTACCACATTCATTATAAATTTCCAATTACGACCCTGTGAAATTCTTTTCTTGTATAAATATTGTTCTCTCATCATGGTAGCAGTCTCTTATACCAAACTCGAATCCGATCCTCCTACAAAACCAAGTCTACCATGGCGATTCAGCTCGAGTCTGATTATGGGCGTCACCGGAGCGATATCCCGACTCTTTTACTATGGTCTGAATAATGTTGAGGTTATTGGGCTAGAAGGATTCAAGGCCACTCTCGATAGACGAAAGAACCCCGATGAGAGAGAAAGAGGCTTGATTACTATCTCGAATCATGTCAGCGTCTTGGATGATCCGTTGATCTGGGGTGTATTGCCCCTCAAATATGGCTTCAACCCCTCTAATCATAGATGGAGTCTTGGTAGCTATGACATATGCTTCGAAAACAAGTCTGCGAACCCATCAACCATCTGCCATTCATATTACTGATTGTTCTGCAGAGCGCTCTCCGCGTTCTTCACCTTAGGCCAAGTTTTACCTACACATCGAGGTGCATACTCCGAGAATGGCGGACTCTTTCAGCCTACAATTGCACAAGCAATACGAATGCTTTCCGCGCAGCCTTTTACTACACGCTACGAACCACCGATACAAAAGCCAAAGAAGAAAATCTCTATGCGACCAAAAGATCCTGATATCGTCGATCCTTTCTCTTCGGGCGACCTCACGTTTAGTACAAATGGCATAGATGTATTTCCTGCACCTTCTGCATATAGCTCACGAAAACATAGCTGGATACATATATTTCCTGAAGGACGAGTACACCAGCATCCAAATAAGACACTACGTTATTTCAAATGGGGAGTCTCGCGACTTATTCTCGAAAGCGAACCTTTACCTGAGATCGTTCCTATTTTCATCGACGGAAACCAAGATATAATGCACGAATCGAGAGAGTTCCCACGATTTCTTCCTCGTGTCGGTAGGAACGTCCGAATTGCTTTTGGAGAATCAATCGACGGGGAGCGCATATTTGGAGACCTACGCCTTCGCTGGCAAAAGCTTGTTCGATTGCAAAAAGAGGCACTAAGGAGGAAGGGCCTCGACGATAACTTCGAAATGGGGGAACTTACGGAAGGTCTCAAATACTACAAAGAAGCAGTTGCGTTACGGGAGGAAGTTACCACTAGGGTTAGGCAAGAAGTGCTTAAAGTCAGAAGGAGCTTAGGATATGAAGACGAGGATTCTAAGCAGGGTTTGGTCGAGACTTGGATCTCAGAAGGTAGAAGCGATGGCAAGAAAAAGAGAGATGGCAGTTGGGTGGGAGACACATGATGAGAAATACTATAGACCTAATGAACATTGATGAAACTCTTTGCTCCTGTCTTCTGGATGTGACCTGATTAGTCCGAAATAATTGGCATGTTTTCGGTACTGGTTTGAGAGTGTTTCTAAAGTGTGATTCGATACAGAATGTATACTTTTGCAATTGCTTCTTGTCATAAAATGTAGTCTTCTAACACCGCGAACATTCAAGATATCGGCTTGGGGTTTGAGATTGTCCTCGAGATTTGATTTGGATTACAAAACACGGACTTTTTCTCGTACCATTCTTAAAACATAAAAATAACCTATTGGTCCTCAACTCAACTAGGGAAATCCAAAAGACACTGGATTGAGAACGGTTTTGACTTCGATCCATGAGTCATTCTCGTGCCGTTTCGTGGGTTTGATGAGTAGCCATTCTCATCCCCTGTGGTTTTTGGAAAGTTTGTGAATGGCACGCGAGATGAGATATTGGAAGTTTGTTTGGGGTCGAAGATATGAGTTTAGAGGTGTAATTTTGAACCCTTCACGTTTTTAAAGGGATCTGTATGATGTAGGAACGCGAGGAATGGTTGGGGACTGATTCAATGCTACCGTCGCAGATATGTCTGAAAGTAATACGTAAGATAGATATATACCTACTCATAATGTCTATGGCTCGCCAGGATTTGCGTAGCTGCTATAGTGATGGATTTTCCCTTTTCGTATGTGTATATTCTGTGATGAAAATAAGCCACCTGCAAATTTCTCTCCATTCGCGAAGGTAGCTCATGCGTCTAGCTCGATCTTCTTCGCTTGGAAGTAGCTCCGGTTGTCAAGTCATGACTGAGACCAATCTTTCGAAAGTCATCAAGTGTATCCACAATGCTGGATCGAGAGATATAACCAGAAGAAGTCCAACTAAAAACTACGGTAAGTGATAACTAAATTGACGTCGTGATGTTGATATATGACTAAATCAAACTGGCCTCGGTGACTGATCGATATACCTGAAATATAGATTCTCAAGTCTAAAATGCCATCGCGCGGCTGTTTTTGCTAGGCTCGAGGTTTTCGTCATGGGGAATCGAATGGGGAAAGAAATAACACTTTAGGGTTATGTGACTAGGGTTTAATTTAGTTGACGGCTGTTCCTTGATAGCTCTCTTCGCATGTTAGAACTCCTGGGTGGATTAGCTTAAATTTTTCACTTAGCACTCAAGTTGTTTTCGATGTCTTTCTTCCATTGCTTCTCATCCAATTCAGTTCCACAACCCGGTGGTATAATCATTCCAACGGCTTGCAACCCCTTTTTCTTCGCTAGATTTTCCTCATTAAACAATAGAAAACATTTGCAACACGTGAACATTATATGAAACCCAGCTCTTTGGCAACCGACAGACTACTCGCATATGAACACTGATTGATAATGAATTTAGACATGGGCCTAGAATCAGATCGATGGCCAAAGTTACCAGCATGGAATCTCTAAAAACCCTCCGTTCGCAGCGAAGTCTAGATTATCTTCCCTTGAATAGCCCTTCACCACTTGATAAAATATAAATCCTGCAACACAAATTCGAACATCTACCAGGCTGCATTCAAAGCTTCATTGCGTCGTGGAACCAAGCATATGATAGAAGATGCATTCAGATGAGCCATCTCGCTAATCTTGATATCTCAAAACATCCCCTGCCAAGCATTCCAACCCCAGCCACCACAGAATGAAAACAACCTCTCAATCGCAACCATGAAAACCCAATAATCGCAAGCGGAGAACACGAATCTATATAATAATGATCAATAGAACGTAAATGTAGAAAAATGGAAAAAAATCAATGTATAAAAAGATGCCACCAAAATCCTGCACAATGTTAACCCTCCTCATGTCGCTATTTTCCCTACTCTCCCTCACCACAAGCCACACCCTCACATTCCAAAATCTCTTCTCCTCTCCACGTCTCATAATTTTCACACCCAACAGCGACAGCTATTCCATCCCGCCCCAAACAGTAGCGCCATCTCAACTCCTTTCCCTCTCCGTCCCTGACTGGAGCGGCAATTTCAAAGCCGTAGATCCTGATCTCTACGACATAGAACATCCAGGACTGGAAAAATACATTCTGGGAGAAGTATGTTTTGGATGTTGGCAAGATATCACGTTTTTTTATGTCAGTGCGATTTGGAATTGTTGTGATAATGAGGGGGTGCATTGGATGTGGGGGTATGATGATGATAGGAATAGGACTGGGGAGGGAGAGTATGAGCCAACTAGAGAGGATGCCATTGAGGGGGATATATCTGGATGTGAGAGGTTTCCGTGTGAGGAGGTTTATAATGAGAGTGATGATGTGCAGACGAAGACGACGACGAAACATGCGATTTGGGTTGTTTTGGGCCCGTAAGGGAATGGGGGAGTGGGTATAAAAGAGCCAAGAGTACCATCGGCGTTACGGCTTGTGTAAAAAAATCAGGAGTTCGACTTGAAATAGATAGGGACAATGAAAAGTCATTTGGAAATCCTGCGTGAAGAGCTTGCATAACTAAGTGGTAGAAAGAATTGAGATAGTCCATCAGAGACGGTAGCAACTACCATAAGTTATCGATTTCCTTCACCCTGTACACGAATATCCACTCCAGATTTACCATATAGTTGCGCAGCGATCGAATGCCTATGTCAACAGCCCAATATTCTTTCCTTTAGTAGTTTTTCCTCCAATGGTCTTTCCTTCGTGCAACGCTAATCGCGTAATCTCAATCCGAACCTTGCCAAAGTGCTTCAGACCGTCGTAGTAGCAGGTCCAGTAACAGTTGTTACGCCGTCGTCACCGTCGAGTGCCCGGTCTTCACTAAGAGCTGATTTTGCATTCGAACTAGAGATAGAGTTGTGAGCTCTACACAGATGTACGACAGAAGTTAAGGGAGGTAGAACGGAAGTGGCGTTCTTAATTGAATCTTACATTTTATGCGCCTAATCATCCCAAGTGTTAGCTGTGATCAGAAAAGGAGTATTCGAAGGTAAAACCAAAAACGAGGCGCAGGATTCAACACGATAGTAGAGAGAAGAGGGAGGAGCAAAGGTCTTGTCATGCACTTACAAAAATATTAACAAGTCGCATAGTGACGAAAATCATAACAAACATGAGGAGGAAAACAAAACAGAGAAGCATTGCTACGATTTGATTTTTCTGCATATTGCCGTGGATGAAGAGATAATAAGTTCGTTGGCAGGAAATCTTCGTTGGTGGTGAATTCGTCGATGATGAAGGATCTAATGGAGAATAAACGTTGGGAAGTTTAATATGCGAGGGATTGAAGTAGGACTTACTCAGATGCTTTGCTATACTGGAATATAATGGAAAGAGAGGTGACAGTATTCAGATACTAATTTCAAAAGATTTGAAAATTTTGGGTTGGCTTCATTCAGTGGTTGCTGGGGGTCACATAATTTTGTTCGAGTTGTTTATATTTACTTGCTATATATCAGACGATATCGAGGCAAGGCTAGTCATAAGCCTCGTCATCTTCTGTTAAGAAGTGAACTTTTGTTCTCGCTAACTTTCGACAGAAGAATTGGGTGAATTTCATTCTTTTCGCCAAGGTCTTTGAAAATACTCAATGCTTCGCTGATCTCTTTCTGGCTGAGAATCCACGATAAATTTTCGGAGAGTGTGTTCTTACTCTCAAGAAGAATATTTGCACCAAGAAGAATTCTTATACATGATGCAAACATGCTTGGCTTTGAAGTCCATCCAAGAGGTCCATCATCTTTCTCCATAATTATGTTCAGCTGTCGAAGGGCATTCAGAATCCATTTAGCAAGATGGCTATATTGTTGCCAATGATACTCCCCGAATTTTTCGGTCTGAAGGATCTCAAGGTCCTTTGAAAGAACGTTACTCCAAAGTGTGGCTTCTCTGACTTCATCAATGAAAAGATTTTGTTCTTCTTCAACAAACAGAGCATCATCTTGTTTCATTGCTGCTGCAAGTTGGTCTTCAGGCGAACATAATCCGGCATATGCTCCATGAAATATGAACTCATCACTACCTGTGATACGGCAAATGACATTCCAGCCGAACATTTGATCTTGTGGATATGTATGCCTCAGCCATTCTGCGAACTCCGCACATGCAGCCAACGGAATTAGAGGCTTGCCCACAATAGAAGAGACAATCTGTGCTCCCAGTTCGCGCACTTCATCGTCATCATCGTTGAGGGTATCGTAAAGGGCGATGAGGCATGGGAGTACTTCAGAGCCCCACTTGAATTCATCTGGTAAGCAAGCAAAGAAGTAGGAAAAACCTTTTACAGCAGCAAAACGGGTGTCAAAGTCCTGTAACAAGTTAGCAATATCTCTAAGTAGTTCGTGGATGGGAGAAGTCTCACATTGTGTGACTTTCCAGCTTCACTCAAATTTTCTGCTCTTGCCATGAAGTTTATCTGGGTGTTGACATCGCCCTTGGACTTGAGCCAATTAAACAGCATAAAGGTACCGCTTGTTCTCATCAAAGCATGAGCCAAATGTGGCCCAGACTTGCCATTTTCAGAACCCATGAAATGAGCAATTTCTCCAATGTCCAAAATATATTGATCCATATCGCATTGTTTGATACTATTGAGCATTTTCGAGTATAGGTCGTAGGCGCTGGGCTCACTTTTCTGCAAGTCCGCTGGGCTTACAATCACTGCATCTAATAGCGCTTCCAAAACCATAATGTTCTGATTTCTCCAGGCTTGTAGCACGCATTCTAAGGATGCGGTAGCTGTATCAAGATCTATATCGCAATAATCGTTCAAAGCCTTCTTGAGGGCTTGTATATCCTTGGTCAATCCAGATATATATACAGCTTCCCGGGCGCTTGCTTGATGTAACAGAGCGCCTCCTACTCGGCTTTTTTCGTAAGAAAGATAAGTATTAATTTTGGAGTAGCTACAGCCATCACCATTCAACAACAAATTGTGTGAACCGTGGTTGTCAATGAGCTTCTCTCGAGTGTCGCTGCCCAATGTAGAGGCTGGAAGAGCAAGGAGGATTTGGTAAATGATATTTTTGAAGTCGATGTATGTCGCCAAAGTCTCTGGACACTGACCAAGGTGACTCAACGCCTCGATATCATCCTTCAGACAGATAAGGTCTTGAACGCCTGAATTTTAGAGTTAGGGTTAAGTCATCAAAGGGAGAATTCGAAACTTACTAGGAGGGCTCGAGAACACAGCAAGACGGCGTTCCAGCACAAAATTAGTCGTCATCAAAACTCCATGGGTACAATTAGTAGATGGATTCGATATTCTGAGAAGGTTCTGTAGATCAGGTAGCCACTCGTCGTGAAGCATGAATGTACACATAGTACGGGCTGCTAGTTCTCTAGTATGCCAGTACTTGCTTCCCAAATGTATAGATACCCTTTCCTTGATTTCGTCGCGAAGTAAAACTGGTGGACCAGCTCGACGAATGATATCCAACGAGGGAAAGACTGACTCTATAGCCCCAATCGCAGGAGTGCTAGTATTCTCCGTGCTTAGAGTCTCCTTGTTTAATAACTTTAGCAAGATTTCAGGCAGCTCTGGGTATTTTTCGTATGAAAGTTTCGTCGAACGCCCATCCCAGCCAGCCTCGATAGAAGCTTTGTTTTCGTTGGTACCAAACAGACAGTCAATAAGACTTCTTAACAGTAGTAAACCACAATTCCTGATTGCCCAACTGTTTCGATTCAATTAGCACATAGTCAGTCTATGAACATTGGTGTCATACATTTCAGAAGTCAAGCTGTCTGCAGCAAGTTGTAAACAGTCCGGGATATGTTTATCTGATCTCTTGCCCAATGTAGAGCTTTTGAATATCTCTTTTACACAGTTCATTGCATGTACTTGAGGCAGATTTGTTTCATCAGTCTCAGATAACGTAACAGGGCGCCCAGCCAAAGATTTCAGCTCTGCCATAACATCTTCGAAAGCTGGACTTTTACTGTTTGCGGATAGTATTCCAGTGACTAGTGCGGGAATTCCTGCAGATCTGCGTGTTGTAGAGGCTTGCTCAAATATGCATTTGAGTGCGCCCTAATCATTAGTTTGATGATAGCTAAGGTAAGTGAATGGGAGTCACGTACTTTGTACCAGATTTCAAGTAAATGGCTCGAGGCATGGCATTGTGAAAGCTGACAGCATCTAGCAAATGTTAAGGAGACTGTGGAAAAGGCACCACGATGTCGAAGGCTAGATAGTTGTTCAAAAGTCAAGTTTCCCACTTTTTTGAAAAGTTCTGGATCCATCACTGAAGACCCGTCACAACGGCGATCTTTTGCTTTTGTTACAACGGTCCTCATCAGGTTACTATGCATAGATTAGCGCCCGAAGTGTCCATAATCTGATGACATGATGCTGTACCTAGATTCATGAATCGCCCTAAAGCTGTAACTTAACACATCCTTAGTATCAATGGATTCGACGTCGTCAACTTCTTCGGGAATGTGACCTTCTGGAGAATCATTACATAGTATGTCTTTTACGGCTTGCCATATACTACAACAACTTGCAACAATGCGATTTTGCAGGTCTTCCCATGCTTTTCGAAGTTCAGCAGTTTCCTGATCCTTGGAGTCATCTTGAGAGAAGTCGATCTCTTCCCAAATATAGCTTGATATTAACAGTCAGCCTAGTATCCGATACATATCAAGTAAATTTACCTTATGGTTGAAAAGTCGCTATGAATTGGAGCAATAAGAACAGCCTCACCCAAATCTCTTTGAGCAATTACCACCTTTTTCGCTAGGCCAACGACGAGGCCTTCGACAAGATTCAGACGTCCCTTGACGTCCGAAAAGCCATACAGAATCTGGTAAGACCGTGCAACTCCGTCTGCAAAGTCAGCGCGACCTGTACGCTTTGCAAAGCCCTCAGCACGACCAATGAATTCTAGTAAGACGTCGAAGTCTGTGGGTGTTTGTGAGTTTAAGGTTCTAAAATTATGAGGACTGGCCAATTTCAATATCGAAGTGGCTCCGCTTCTGACATCCTCAAACGGATCCATTAGCAGATCAAGAAATAGTCGTATTGACTCTGAATTGAATATGCTTAGAGTATGAGCCCATATAGTGGCGTCAGGCGTAGTCGTCAACTTTTGATCTTCAGATGAGCGCTCCTCCAGACCAGAACGTAACAGCAAGGAGATCGCCCTTAAAGACGTAATGTGTCGTTGATAGGATGCAGTAGGCACAAGCTCCCCTTGCAAGAACTTCAGAAACCAAGTAAGGAAGCTCTCATGCACATTAAGTAGTTGCTGCGCATCCGAACGATCATTCTGACGTTCTTGAATTATCATGCGGTCAATCTCTCTGACGAGGTAGGCGGTTGCGCCCTTGATACGTTCTATCAAATGCTTGGTATTGCTTAAAACATCATTGCGAAACTTTGCATCTGTGTCAGCGTAAAGATGAGCCATGTTTCTCTGTAGAAAAGTGAGCACCGCAGGGCTAAAGGGTCGAATTGATGATGCGGACGATACTAGGACTGAAAATGCTAAGGATCGAACGGTATCGGAAGGATGAGTTAACAATGGGCCAATAGTATCTTCATGTAGAATTATGTAGCCCGTGTTTTTCTTTGGGGCCTTCAGAAATGATGTGACATCTGGTACAGTTAAAATACTCCGGTATGTGGAAGCGGAAGGGCAACTTACTAGAGTCCTCGACTAAACCGGCTTTCTTCCCAACTTCTATGGCTGACAAATAAACCAGCGATTCAGATTCCATGTCTTCTCCCACCATACTCAAAGGTCCCTTTTGATTGAGATCCTGCAAGAAGGCTAAAGAACCAACGCGGTCGAGCTTGAAGAGAGGGGGGAGAAGATAGTTCTTGATATTCTCAAGAGCATCAGGGTTTTTACTAAGACCTTCACTGATCCAGCGTTGCCATAGTCTAGTGTGGTCGCTGGTTTCATCACTTTGATCTTGAGTAGCGAGCTCCTTCGATACTTTAAAGAGGGAGACCAGGAACTTTCCCGCGGATGGTGAGACATCCTGGTGGTTCATCCATTGAAACGTTTCGGACACTATGATATCAAGTGCAGAACCAGTGCTAGCATCAATGTCAGTGTTCGAATGTTCCGAATTGTATCAAACAATGGACAACGACTTCAAGGAAGGATTGGAGTTATTCATCTAGAGATATAGGTGTCGCGCTGCTTTGAACGCCAAATACACATTTCTAGAATTCAATTGCGATTCGCACGTTCATGTTAGGATCAATGGGTGGATCACTTACTTGTCTAACTCGTTGAGAAGAGGATACTTATTTCTAGGAGTAGCGAGATCGTCAATGCTTATTATACCTTTCCCTACTAAGTGCTCCAAAATCTTGAAAGCAGGTTTGACCAGGGGTTGAGAAGCTTGATGACTGATGATGGAGAGCAATCTTTCTACAATAACTGCCACCAAAGACTTTGAAACAGACTTGTTGGGGTGAGAAATTAGAAGAGATGTCAATAGATCTAGAATCTGACGCATGGATCGGTGCTGATTTTTCTCATTCCATTCCAAATAAAAATTGAATAAGTCTAGACAAGTTTGCTCGGAATATGCGGCTTCCCTGAGAGAAGATGATTGCGAGGCTCTACATTGTTCGATAAAATGACACAATCTGATGCATGCGTTTCCGGAAGCCTGCGATATCACATTGTCAGTATGAAAGCTCCTGACAGACTTGTACTTTGAAACGGCGCGATGCAATCAAAAAAGACTGTAGCTAAAGTAAAGATGGACATCCAAAGGGAATGGGGTATTAGAATGAATTTGAGAGTTGAGATTTTGATTTGGGTATTGAGACCGAACCAGATATTGAAATCATACAACGCGAGACAACGAAGTAAGGTTGATCTCTGAAGCGAAGCAGGGCATTGAAAAACATTGGATCTGAAATCGAATGATAAATTGAAATATGATGGGACAACCAGACAGAGTACAGCATTGAGAATACAACTAGAACATGAAAGAAAGCTAGTTATTGAAGGATAGAAATTGCCTACATGTCGCGGTTGGGCAGCTTTTTCCAACAAATCATCAAGGCTACTCCTCGTAAGTCTGGAACGATGATTAGTAGATTGGCCAATTAAAGAGGACGTTTCAACAGTACCGTGTTTGTTTTGGTTCAGGTTGATTTTCAATCCATTTGGGTAAAACTCGTTCATCTGTTGGAGCTTCGGTACCAGGTACTATTGAAGACATTGTGTTGTCTGAGTGGTCGAGCGACTAACAATCAATTCTCAATCCTCGCTTCAGGTGGGGGACGGGGAATGATTGCGAATTCCCAGTCAGTCTTCTTTCAGAACGCTTTCAAAATGCCCAGTCCAAAATGAATGAAAAGTTATATGAAGGTCCAAAACTGCATATCTAATGAGAGATTTGAGTAAACTGAATAAGATGACCTCTTATGACCCAAGAGTGTCTCTTATTAGGTACATGTAATTTGATCCGAACTGCAATCATAAAAAGTTTGATGGTGGGTGAAATTGATTATATGTTGCACGTGAGCTAATCATGCACGGACCCATCGTCATAGTCGATCAAGGAACTAAATTTTTGAATTTGAAAATGTCAGATACATTCAATAATACTCGAGAGAATTTTTGATATATTACATATTATCGACCAACAACCCAAATTCACGGTAATCGCGCTGATTATAATTCCATCCCCGGCTCTCTCGCAAATCAATTCCGAAGATGTCATTCTGGGATAAGTTGACAGGGCGAAAGCCATCAAAGGATGCTTCTAGTGGCGGATCAACAACCTCAAATACACCAACAGACACATTCACACCTACACCTTTTAACCCACAAGAAGGGCAAGATGTTAGCTCTTTTCTTACGGGCCCAGAACTCGTAGATCCATCACAACTCCATCCTATGGCAGGCCTGAATCAGCAGACTTTAGATTACCTATCTCTCGAAGAATCCACCCTCTCGGACCTTCCAGGATCGCAGTCTGCTTTACCCTCCAGAGGCTGGTCAGACGATTTGTGTTATGGTACCGGTGTGACATATTTGACGGCACTGACTGTGGGGGGTGCTTGGGGATTACAAGAAGGTTTGAGGAGGTCTGCGACACAACCGCCAAAGTTGCGATTGAACTCGGTACTGAACGCTGTTACAAGACGCGGGCCATTCTTGGGAAATTCTGCAGGAGTGATTGCTATGGTTTATAATGGGTTTAATTCTTTTATTGGACATATGAGGGGTAGACATGACTCTGCGAACAGTGTTCTAGCAGGTGCGCTCAGTGGGATGATCTTCAAAAGTACAAGAGGAGTTCGACCTATGATGATTTCCGGTGGAATTGTGGCTTCTGTAGCCGGCGCATGGGCAGTAAGTAGACACTTGAACTTGCGCTCTTTCTATCTAAATATACTGACAATACTTCCAAGGTTGCAAGAAAAGCCGTATTCTAAATGAGCAAATAACGACAAAACCCCTCTTTCATAACGAAACTCCGACCTTATGATTTCAAGATCCGCACACCAGCGAACATCCTCCATTACTCTAAATAGAACCAGCTTTCTTTAGCGTATTAGCACATATTGTTTCGTGCTTTGTCATTATAATAGATTTTGTTAATTGGCGTGGGTTGCATTAGCGGGTTCATCTCTCCTCTTTACCCAAGAAGGGCAATATGTAACATAGATGGGAAAGGTATGGGGAGTAATTCAGAGTCATCGAATTTCAGCTCTAGTGCTGATTTCTCGAGAACGTGTAAGGTTGTCTTAGTTGCACCTTCCTCTTATGAGATGAATCTACCTAGGTAGCTCATCAGGAAAGTTCTTTACGGTGAAAAAAGCAACAGAATCAACAATTCACAGTGTTCAAACCACCTCAGGTGAAGCTCTATCCATTCTTCCGTACTAGATAGTTATAGCGGCTACTGCCGCAATTATATTGTGCTCAATCTTCTTCCGCTTATTATTTAAAATTCTCTTCAATATTCTCGGTCCCTCTTCTAGCAAATCGAAATCCAACAAACTCTTCGAATCAACACAGAAACAATAGTCATCATCATGAATTTATCTTCCCCTATAGAAGCCCCTTCGGAAAGGTCCCACTCGCCTGCTGAAGTTAAGCACATGATTTTCGTTAGTCTTCTAAAAGAAGGGAGAGGCGCTCCAAAGGGTATTCCCTCTATGACTCTGACAAACCTTTCGATGTACGATCCAAAACCGGCTTTTATATTTGCCACTTCTATGTCACTAGGAGAGGATGAAAGTCTACAGTCAATTGTTGAGAAAGCTGCAATAGATAACGCCAAGTGTGATAAGCTACGCGAAGATATACGCTGGTATCTAAAACACCCCGATGCTGAAAATATAAGGCAATCAGTGGAGACGCTTCTTGATGACGACATCATGGCGAGGGGCCTTTTAAGGAAGGATCCAGGCATACTCAAGAGAGCAATTCTGGCAAAGGTACAAATTTAGACCCTTATTCTCGTTGTTTTTAGTGTAAATCCGACACACAATCGTTATACATTTGCTAACTTTCATAAATGAAGGCGTTTCTTATTGTGGAGGATTTCGAGCGAGAAAGACTCGACATTGAAGCTGAGGACGAAAGTCATGATTTTGCAATTCAATTGGTGACCTTGATAAATGGCTGGGCAGAAGTTTCTCAGGTTAACTTGTTTTATTTTAAGTATAAGACATCGTTCGAAAAGTTTGAGCGTACGCTCAAGGATGAAACCCAAAATAGCAAGATTCCACCCGAGAACATCGTGTTGCCTGCTCTCTCTTGGCCATCCGTTAGTTCTGAGGCTGAAGAATTTTCAATGTGCAATCAGAACTCCGAGAACACATCTGGTACCCAGAATACGAATTGGGATGACATATTGACAGAGAATCCTGAATCCATTCAGAACCTATCAGCTACAGTAGAACGAGACCAGGCGGACAAGGGCTTCAATCTTGCGGATGGTCCATGGATGTATCGACTACCACACACAGGTAAAGATCCTGCTAAGAAACCAGGATGGCGACCGATCAGGGATAAAGATGACTATATGGTTATGCTAGATAGCATCCGCCGTGTCAACTTCAAGTATGCAGAGTGGGGACAGTCAACAAAATGCAGTGTCATGATTATGCATGTAAGTATATCCCACTGATCAGCGTTCATATCTCAGTACTAATTACCATGTCTTGACTAGTCGTTGGATCGAGATTGTCAACAGAGATATTTTGATAGACGTGAAGAAGAGCGCGCTTACAGTGCAGAATGGGAGAAGGAACTGGAGAAGGCTGGATTCTTTGATGATGAGAAGAATGCCGTTGGTGAATACGGAGATGACTGGATTGAAAACTGGAATACAATCAATAAGCCTCTCCAGAATCTCACACGGAGGACGAAAGCCTAGGTGCCTGGTGGGAAAGTACGGCAACTTGATAATTTTAGTTCGCATCGCTAGAGTCGAGAGTCAGGAGTCTTTAGGGTGCAAGTCAAAATAAAATGTTTAATTGCGCATCCATAAATAGCTACTTCTTTTTAAGAGAATTAAAGGCAATGAGTTTATCACATCGCAAATTGAATGTCCCTGCAAATATTACTACTTGGATAGCACAGATTGCTGTCGTCTCAAAGTCATCATGTTATGCAAGATTGTGAGGTTGTTGTCTGCTATATCCAGCTTCAAAGCAGGCATCTTCCTCCAACTCTTTTCATCCATTCAAACAGGCATATCCTCTTTCCGTTGAAGTCACCACAGCACTTCATAAGCTCACCACCTATGTTATACCAATAATGTGCTGGTGACAAGAGATGCAGAGAATGACAGATGGAGTCGGGAGCAAATAAGAGAGCTTGGTCAAGCCCATGCTCCCAATGCAGTCTGAAGCTAATTTCAGTATATTCACTTCAAATTTTGATAAATATTGATAAAAGCTAAAAATAAACTAGAGTTTATTATATTCTGACAGAAGCCTTGAGCATTCCACAACTCGTCTCTCCCAAAATATAACAAGTCTTTGTCTCTCCAGGTTCAATTAACTCGCAGTACCAAACTGAATACTGATTAAGTTCTTTTTAGATTTCATCAACACTAGGTACCACACCTGAAGGGGCTTTTACTATGTGTCTCCCATGCTGGCCTTTTACGGACGTATATCTTGAGGAGGAGGAAAAGAAAGATGATAGAAGTATCATGGTATTCGACCCTAATACACGTCAATGGGTCCAAATTGGAGATGTAAGTCAAATTGTTTGCTCCTTCCTTTCTCGTTGCTTGTATTCTTCTCATTTCTTCCATCCATAAAAGTGGTTTCTTGTTGTTTTACATTTGCTGCGGGGTTGGCCATTAGTACCTGTGTCATTTGTCAATATAAAGCAGAAATTCACTTTATCGCTTCTGTTCCTACCTCGAATTTTTACTTGAGTGATTTCGCAAAAAGAAACCCCACAGCTAGAACGTTGGACCATTCCATGAACGCGACAACTCAAGACTTAATTTCTATATCTCAGCTTTTGAGAGATATAGGAATCAACTACATCAATTTTACAACCAATAAAATAATCTCAATGCTCCAAAGCATTCAAGCAACAATGACTGAAGTACCCGTCCAAAACTTCCAACCCCAGGTTCCAGATACTACCGCTGGACCTCACGAACATACCTACATCCCCCGCGCTGACGGTGCCATTATTGTTAATGGTGTTGTCTACGTTCGAGAAACCAAGACTCCAGTTCCAGTCGTACCTGCACCTGCCATGCCATCTGCACAATCTCCCAACCTTCAACAATTTTATGCATATGCTGCAAGTTCAACCTCCGATCCCTTTCTCTGTTCGTTTTTCTTTTCGCGCAAGTTGCGCATGAAATTTGTTCTTTGCATCAACATCGCAAGTTCTCGTCTTCTTCACTAACATGTCTTCTTTGCTATAGGCAGCTCAACATCAACCTGTTTACCCTCAACCCGCCTTCCAACCTTACCCTTACAACCCTTACCTTCAATTTGCAGGCAACAATCAACAAGTACCTTTGGGCGCAGGCTATGTTCCCCAGCCCGCCATGGGCACGTACGGAGCTACCGGTAGTGAGATCCAATTGCAACAGATGCAGATACCAGAGGCGAGCAAGAAGCAAGATATGAAGCCCTCTGATGATGATCCTTTCCGCATGTATTGGGTTCGGGAGCTCGATGATACCTGGACTCAGAGGAACAGAATGACGATTGACAGTGGTGATATTGGTAAAATCAGAGTAAGTTTCATGCTTCGTTGCGATTTTGATATGTCGCTGATCGGTGGTTTCATCGTGTAGTGGTATGTAACTGATGGTGTTTTCTACGCCGCCAGATTGCCCGAGTAGTTTCAAGGTTGGTGGCGACAGATGATTCGTAGGGATTTCATCATTCTCCAAATCCTATGGATCCCGAGTCGAACTCTCTCCAGTCATTTTGTGACCCTTGATTGTTACTACTAGATACGAAGATTACGCCATGATACCTAGGGTGGAAGAACTGTAGGATGAAAGGGATCGATAATGATGATTTTAGGGACACAGCTCGTCGTTACAATATGGGTCACTTACTTGATTTGGGTTTAATGCTTCATTTCTGAGCATGGGATATGCACTACTTATGATTGCTCATATTTTGCAGCGAGTATTGGCTGTCGCCTGGATTTAAACAGTTTATGTATAGACTTTGATCAATACATCTTAACTCTCGAAAGATTTTGCATGCCTGCAATGTGATGATCTAATTTACCTCGTTACCGTGAATAACCTACATGTGTGCAGAAGGCATTGGTTTGTATGGACAAAATGACATATCCATCTCTCATCTTGAGCAACAGTTTTCTGAACACCTCATCCCGAAAGCGATTATTGGCCAATTTGCGATCTGGAATACAACATCGAATTGACATGATGTGAGGTTTGCAGCACAGCCCGCTGTGTATTACGTAATCATGGCTGAACGAAGATATATTGGGGTTAGTGCGTTCGCGCAACCACACCTCATATCATATCCGTGTCAAGACCAATTGAACTGACTAGGTATCTGCAGCTCGAGAGTCTTGCACTCTGACAGATTGTATAGTTTTACAACTGACCTCCGATAATCATAGATTGACCCATATACTTTTGATACAGACAATGGACATCAAATCAAATGCTCGGGCACGAAAGTCCGTGAGCATCGATTAGATGTCCGGTTGTTGTTTCAAACTTGGAAAAGGAAGGGCAAATGCGACCGCCACTTCATGATATCTTTCAGGAGTTTGGAGCAGATCTTGAACTTCCGGGACCTGAAGCTTCTTAATATCTACCGGCACCATGGTCTCGGTAGCTTGTTTCGTTTAGTTCTTCCACTAAATGTTTATTCCTCCCATGCATGAAGAATTTTCGCCGCAGTACTGTTTCATGGAGTACACGAATTGCCTTTCTGGGTTTGGAGCTTATTAAAGGTTAATTTCGCAATATTGATGGTGCTGGGGCCAATTGAAAGATGGCGATCAGGCGTGAGGGATCTTTCGATGTCAATGTTCATGCTTTCCTCTATCGCAAGCGCTGAAGAGTACACTTGAGTGTCCACGTCCCAGGATTTATCGATTTTGGTTATAAAAATCACGGAACCTGCGCCCACTATTCTAATCAATAGTAGAATGGCGGGAATTAGGGATGTGTTAACGCGAGATCCCATCTGATGTCCTTCCCCGGATCAATGGTGCTTCATGTAGGTCTAAAATCCAACCGTGCTCTGATCGGTGATTTTGAAATCCCAATTCTAGTGCGTAAAGTGGGACACTATTCTATCGCAATGACTTATATACTATGTATCCCTTGGATCTCTTCTCTCGTCAGACCGTTGATCGATCTCCGTGTTATTCATCATGACCTCCTTACAAGAAGAGAAGTTGGCTGGCCCGACGGCACTCTTCTATGAACGAGTTCAGGGTGATCGGGATTCGAATCCCAGGATGGAGGATGTAAATAGTAGTAGTATAGATACAACGGAGGGGATTCCAATGGCTAGGCATAGATCAGATCCAGTAACGGATTTGAAAGCAAGACTCTCACAATGGGGTTTGTTCGCATGGTTTTCAGTACATGGGCAACAAGCTTATACGGAGATAGATCCCAATTACCCCGAGGACGGAAAGAAGTTAAAAGTTCCGGATCAGTCGTCTTTTGATGATGACGATGCCTACACAGCAGTCGAGGAGGATTCCCCATACCCGGAAGTCCGAGCCGCAGTCAAGAACTATGATGAGGATGTACCCGCGAACACTATTCGTGCCTGGACTATCGGATTGTTACTGGTGGTAGTTGGAGCATCGATGAATACTCTCTTTTCTCTTCGATCTCCTTCGATTGGTCTAGGCGCGTTGATTGCTCAAATTATCGCTTGGCCTTTAGGTCATGGATGGGCCAAAGTCATGCCAAAGAAGCAATTCGATACCTTTGGTTTGAAGTGGTCATTGAATCCAGGACCTTTCAATATCAAAGAGCATTCCATCATTGTCGTTATGGCAAGCGTAAGTTTTAGCGCAGCATATGCTACTGATATCTTGCTTGCCCAAATTGCGTTCTACAAACAAGATTTTGGGTTGGCTTTCCAAGTACTTTTGGTTGTCTCAACTCAATCCATTGGTTATGGCATTGCTGGTATATTGCGCAAGTTCTTGGTGTAAGTACTCTATCAAAATCTCTTTTTCACTGTTACGACTTTACTTGTGTTGTACACTTGCTTCCCCTTCATTGCTCTTCCCTTTTTGAGCGCTCGTCAACTCATACTATCCTATTCTGTATAAAATCTTCATGGAGCACTCACAATCCTTATTGAGTAACTACTAACACATAACCCAGGTACCCTGCGGCCATGATCTGGCCCGCCAATCTCGTCAGCGTCACCCTCATGAACGCCATGTACGAAAACAACGAGAGACCCGATCCAACTGTCTTTGGCGGTTCAATCCATCGTTACAGATGGTTTGGATATGTTACTGCTGGTGCATTCGTTTGGTACTTTGTTCCTGGATTCTTGGCTCAATTCCTATCAGTTTTCGCCTTCGCTACTTGGATCGCTCCTAACAATGTTATTGTTAACCAATTATTTGGTGGTACAAGTGGTCTCTCTCTCATACCATTGACGTTTGATTGGACTCAAATTTCTGGGTTTATAGGGAGTCCTATGATTCCTCCGTAAGTAATGTTCAATGTGGATTATTTATTCAATATACTAATTTATATCATAGGTGGCATGCAATTGCCAATACGCTCATCGGAATGGTCTCGTTCTACATGATCGGTGCATCGATTATTCATTACTCAGGAGCATGGAGTTCAGCATTCCTACCCATGAGTGATAGTGCTACATACGACAATACCGGAGCTGCTTATAACACTACCAGAATCTTAACCAAAGATTTTACTCTAGATCTTGCTGAATACAAGGCATACTCACCTCTATTTCTGTCAACTACCTTCGCTATCTCGTACGGATTGTCATTTGCAGCCATTTCCTCATTAATTGTTTACACATGTTTACACCATGGCAAGCAAATCTGGGCTCAATTCCGTAACAGTACCAAGGAACAGAATCCTGATATTCACATGAAGGTATGTGTGCTTTATTCTCTCATCCCTCGTCTGACACTCCGCACATATTAATCTTGTTCACAGATGATGCAAAAATACCCTGAAGCCCCCACTTGGTGGTACATGTCTCTCTTCATCGTAATGGTCGGACTTTCCTTCATCACCATCCTTGCGTTCCCCACTAACCTCACCTGGTGGGCTTTCCTCATTGCCCTGGGAATATCATTCTTCTTTTCATTGCCCATTGGCATTATTCAGGCAATAACAAACACACAAATCGGATTGAATGTATTAACGGAGTTTATTTTCGGATATTTGCAACCTGGAAAGCCGTTGGCTTTGATGATTTTTAAAACTTATGGGTACATTACCATGAGTCAGGCGTTGGGGTTCGTAAGCGATTTGAAATTTGGTCATTATATGAAGGTATGCGTTTTCCCCTTATTTTTCTTCCATGAATTTCTTTCACAAAGTTCCCGCATTGCTTTAGCCTCCTCGCTCACCTCTTCTGCTCTTAGATTCCGCCAAGGACAATGTTCATGGCCCAAGTAGTCGCCACAACCTTCTCCTGCTTCATCCAAGTAGCAGTCCTCAACTTCGCCCTAAACAACATCCCCGACATCTGTACTCCGCACCAACCCTCCCATTTCACCTGTCCCGGTGGTCGCGTTTTCTTCTCCGCATCCATAATATGGGGTCTCATTGGTCCCCAGCGCATCTTCTCTCCAGGTCAAATTTATTCCGCCCTATTCTGGTTCTTTAGTCTTGGAGCAATCGTTCCCGTCATCTTCTTCCTCCTATCCAAAAAATTCCCCAAATCACCAATCAAATATCTAATGGCCCCCTTAATCTTCGGCGGCGCAGCAGCAATCCCACCCGCTACTCCCCTCAATTATCTTAGTTGGGGAATCGTAGGTTTCATCTTCCAAAAGGTCATCAGACAGAAATATTTCGGATGGTGGAGTCGTCTTAATTACTTGACGAGTTCGGCGCTGGATTTGGGATTGGCGTTGAGTACGATATTTATTTTTGTGGCTTTTACGATTAATGGGGTGGAGGCGCCGAAGTGGTGGGGGAATACTATTGTGAGGAGTACGCTAGATGCACAAGATGCGGCGGTGCAGAAAGTGGTGGGTGTGGGCGAGCATTTTGGTCCGCAGTTTTGGTGATCATTAGGGGGGAGGGTGTCAGGGAGAGGGGTATTTTGCATCGGGTTTGACACTGGGCGTGGAGGAGTTAATGGGATTTGGCTATTGGGAACTTGCCGCTACCGGAACAAGCACAAGTCTGGATGATTTGAAGCGGTGGCGGGGAGTTAGGTAATCGGAAAGAGGAGGGCGAGGGAAATTTGTAGTAATGGTTGTTATTCCGCTTCTTGCATATCCTTAATGTAGTATTGTATCTAATTCATCGGAGTTCTTACCCCTTATTCTTGTTTCATCACAAGCGATGACATGAATGATAAGTCTACAGTGCGTTCTCTGAGCAGCAGTCTTCAATATTCCTTTTTGAGACTATGGATTCGAATCACGCAGTCGATTTTTCCGAGAAGCGCTGCATTATTTCCACGAGAGGATGGAAAGTTGGTTCTGCTAATCCATGGGTTATGCCCCCCTTTCCTTCGGTACTGCAACTTTCATAATGACGGTGTTGCAATCAGAAGAAAAGGATGTGATGGGAATGTATCTATGTAAGATCTTACTAATCAGATACACCTGGTCTGAAGCAGCATTGATGCCGATGTGAGCTCTGCTCGGAACAGTCGTCGCCCTTCGATCCCTGAAGTGGAGTCAACAAGGAGTTCCAGTTCGTAGATAGAAGCTGGATATGGTTTGGAAGTAATTTTGGTACTTGCACATTCATAGTAAGTTTCGTGTTCGACATCGATAGTCGTCAAAGGGTATCATTTCCTATCGTTTGCTCCATTCCCCTTTCGCTTGCACTGAATGGTAACAGCCGTTCCATGTAATATACAATAAGGTACAATTAAGACTTCTCTTCCGTTCGCCTAACGCCTGAACATTATCTCCAAAAGAAATATGGCTCATGAGGTTTCCGTACACTCCGCTGTCAATTAAATCCCCATTACATATTCATGCAGCAGCAGCAGCATTAGCGGCGGCAGAGGCTTTCTTCTCCGCATCTCTCCTCTTCCACGCATCCCTAATTCGAGGTGCAGCGGCAATTAAATCCTTCTCTGTCACACGATCCCTAATACTTTCAATTACACTCTCCACCGTACTCGTATGATTTGCAACCTCCTTGTCGTCTCTAAACTTCATGTATCTCCATCTTTTCTTGTCATCCATGTAACATTCTACTATCCGGTCGTTGAGCGGTTCGTTGAGTTCTTTCAAATTCTCCCATTCTTCTGGTTCTAGATGCATAGTCCCATACCATTCATCCTTTCCATTCCCTGCATTGACGAGTAGGTTGCACACTGGAATGGCATCGTAATCAACGTATGGTTCTGTATTTCCCTCTGCGAGATCCATCGTATCAGGCTCAACGGTGGGGAAATCAAGCCCGAGTTTAAAATCGATACTATTCTCATTTTCGGGTTTCCATTTCAATATATTTTGATCTGTTCCGTGTTTGTATTCCGAACTCCTGCATGTGAAAATCAAGCCATCGTTTCCATGCGGCAAGTTTGGTAGGGTTTGTCGAAACATCATTTCCATCGCATAGCCAAATTCCATTCGTTTCAACTCCATTAAGAAGTGGAAGTAGGGTATCTCTTGAGGGAAATTGCGCAGGAGATCTTGGTACGGCGAGAAAATCCTTTCCGAGAAATATGCAAGTCGTTTGTCGAGTGTGCGATTCATGAGACTGTTCCCATCCAACACCATACAATCGAAGACGAGAAATTTCGGCTGCATCCCATTCGGTGTCTTATCCATGACCAATTCCCCATCAATCAAAGTCTTTCTATGGAATCCTTCGATATCGCGAGGAATAGGGAAATGCAGGCTTCCTTTAGGTACATACCAGTAATCATTCCTCCTATCGATCAAATAGTGACATTCTTCGTGGGCCTCATCGTCGGTCAGATAGAGCAAGTAACGAAAACCATCTGATTTCTCGCACACGTAATAATCTTGTCGCGTCAATTCGTCGAGATGGCGTCTAGTGAAACTGACAGGCTGTGCGCCGGGGAAACTGGGGTTGGATCGATTGAGTAGTTGCGCGACTTCTCTTCGCATGTGAAATAATATTTCGCCCTGGGCCTGGATACCAGGGGCTTGGATATCATGGACGGGTCCGCTCATTTTGTCGAATGGCTGTGGGTATGGATATGGATATGAATATAGATATTGGTGTAGGATTTTTCAAATGCGATATTCTATTTGAGATTGAAGAGTCACAGCTGTTCGAGGCTGGGCTGGGTTATGAGTAGAGTGGTAGTTCAAATCAAATCGTTTGTTGGGATTTTTTAATGGTTTGTTTGGTAAGGCTGAAGATCAATCGGCATTTAGGTTAAAGTTGTGACCGATATGCTATTTTTATGAGCTAGAACAAGTCGCTAATGCCTCTGCTAGATGAGACAAGTTACATGGGCATAATCGCATTATCCGCGAGTTCTATCTTGTAGATATAATTGTCTGTTCAAACGTGATAGATACTACCTTTGCCAATCCTTTTATCGAATTCTTCACGGATCGAATGAGAAGGGGCATTGAGATTGAACCTTCAGCGTGTTTGAGACAACAACTTTCAATGTCAGATACTGGTTTTTGAACACGTCTTCCTCCTCTTCCTAAATCACTAACTAGTCAAGGATTATTTAAGCTAACTACTACGTATCATATTGCTATAGGGATAGAAAACAATCACTACGTAGTAATCATTCTCATCTGTGGTCTCATTCCGTCCTCTTTCCTTGGAGCTTCCATTCCTTGATGAGTCGCCTCCATCGGAAGCACCACACATGACCAAAAAGGAGGTATTTTCGTGGGATGCTTCATTCCCAGCGCCGTCCACAGGCTTTGGATTCCTCTCTTTGGAGCTTTCGCCCTAAATAGAACTGCTTGAATCAGAAACATCTGATTCGGCCGAAGTCGAGGCACTCCCGTAGATTTCGTCGTTTACAGCTTCATCCACCAGTGGGCCATCTCCCTATCTGGAAGTTATTCCATATGATAAATGCTCTGTAATGATAGCTACTAATTTCACTCAATCGGGGATATCGTGGTCGGTCATATCACCGTCAATCCTACTATTTCTGGCACATTACTTCTGAGCAACCCCTATCTTCGCTAATCCCTCTGTTGGAGATTTTTCTAGACCTCATCTAATCGCTGTTATTAGTGAGCGAAGTAGTTGCTGTGGAGCATAGCCGATTCATTAAAATTGAGGATCATCGCCCGTTATTCGTAAAGGACTGGCTTTTCGTTGTGCGAACATTTATGTTGAACTAACCAATGCATCATGGACGGCTCGTACCGGTTCCCTCCCTTCCCCTCGCAGCCATACCCGTAACGTAGCATTGATCGAACTACAAGTAAATACTCCGAAGATATAATTATACATCGCTGATTGTATTTCCGAGCCTTCACTACTGCGCAATACAGTGATCTTTCCAAAACCGCCATGTCAGTGCAACATTACACGATCATATAAATTAAACCCCCTCCTATTCTATTAATCTATACAACGCCTTCCATCTCCTTCATCCTATTCATTCCTCTCTAAGCAGTGCGAGTCTGACGAAGAAACCTCATGATTTTAATTCCCAACACGAGAACCCCGAGAACCCGTACCTGACATCATGAATCGCATCTCGTATTCCTGCAGATCGTACTCTGCGTTGGAGGCTTGGCAGAAAGGATGGCAGCGAACGAACCAATAAGATGAAAGAATCGCTAGTGATTATTGGAGATAGAGGTGGCTAGGAGATCGACATTGCGGATTATGCTTGTTTTGACTGTAAAATGTGCACATTTTAGATTTGAACGCTGTTGTGTATGGCCTGTTGGATATGTGAGATGATGTATTAAAGGATATGGGACGGGAACGTAAGAATGGGATGGGGTTCGGAAAATTCGGTGTATAAGAAGAGTAGGGGTTCTGCTGCGTTGTAAATCTTGAAGATCTTCAACACATGTGATATTATTTGAATTCGCATACATTCAGTCATACCTCATCACAGCACCTCACACAATCAAAGCTTTCCAGAAACTCCCAAACAAATACGAAAATGCGTACCTCCCTCTTTTCCATCTCGACCCTCCTCGCTCTCCCTCTCACAGCCTTAGCCGATTTCCACTACGGTTTCTCAGATTACACAATCACGACAGCCACAGGGAGATATGCCATGATTTTACCAGCGTCTCAGACAAACTGTACTGAGGCGTATGATTTCTATCCCAAGGGACCATTTGGTTTTGAGGTTCCCACGGGCCAGGTGAAGGGTATGTTTTTCTCCTTCCCATTTCTATTTAGCTTCCCCAATTTCTCTTGTTTCCTCAGTCCCCATGCTCTTCCCCAGAAAACGAATGATAGAAACTGACACACCACCAGTCGCCATATGCGGTGTAGAAGTCAATCTCAACGTAATTTCAGGCTCTTGGTACACAAGTTCTAGAAATATCCTAGAAGGCAATTGTACAGCCGTTAACACGACGAACCCAACGGCTGGTGTGAGAACACCAGTTTGCAGGATTGGTTACAACAGTGGCTCAAGCTATACGGATATTTGGAGGTGTCCGGGAGCTGTTTGTAAGACTGAGTTGTAGGGAACGAAGTAGGAGTGTGAACCCGAGAATAGGTGGCTGAATAGAATTATAATGGCATTAATAGCGGGAAAGACGTCGTCCAAACTAGATGCTGCCGATGTTGGCGAGCCGACGGTTGAAGTGGTAGACGAAAGCATGGAGGCATGCATATAGTCGTGGATACATAAAGTTAATGTCGTAAAGTAATGTAATGAACAAAGACAATGAGAAATGAATAATGTCCGGAATCTGTCTATATGAGGGATAGATTATCAATCCTTGAATTCGAACTATCCTATTCCAACCGTTAAGAGATGACTTTGAATGCCAATCCTTGACAATGGAACTTACTCCTCTGTGCACTCTAGGAAAGCTTTATTGAACCAATTTGTTTACCTATATCGAAAATTTCTTCATCCTGCCCCCTGTCTTCTATTTCGAATATCTCCCTCAAGCTCACGTCATATACTACATTATCGCTAAACTATCCATACCCCAAGTCATCGTCGACTCCTCCCATTTGGACCTCACGCGAAGAATACGTGTTGTTACTTCCATCATCCTCACTACTTGCGCTACTCTCTACCATCCGCTCCTGTACCTCAGAAACCCAATACTTGACTTCCTTGATGAACGGATTTTCATCTCCAAGGGCATCCTTTAGCTTGCCCAACAAATTCTCATACAAGAACAACGTATCTTGCAATTGCGACAACACTTCATAACAATACCCTAGCTTGCCACATATTTTCTTCAACTTCGCAAAATTGCTCCAACCTTGCTGTTGAACGTCAATTGAGAGACTTTTTCTATACATGTATATTGCTTCCTCGAAATTTCTCCCATTCATTAGGGCAGAACCCAGATTTTGACAAATGCCGGATCTTAAACCGCGATGATGTGCTCCGAGCAACGCACTGTAGAAGTTTTTAATAGATTCCAATGCCATGCCTCTCTTCGAAAGGATACGGCCCAGGGCCACTTTGTATCCATTATACCAATAGTGCCTCTTACCCAGTGCTAATTCCGCGTATTCCATAATATATATACATAGACTGTGAGCTTCTTCAACCTTATGACCACCCAACAAAGCCTTGATCAAGTCGTTCATGCTTTGGAAGTAATCCATATCCAGATTGGTGAATGTTGTATCTACATAACTTTTCGGTCTCGGAGTGAAATCTACCTTTTTGTGTTTGATCGAGAGACCAAGAAGCTGGAGTGCATCGCTTATCATTGGATGATTGCGGTACAGATTGTGGTTATTCAAGACTTTTTGTATCACTAATTGAATGATTGATTCAGCCTCTCCGTATTGGCGCTTTGTGTACGAGAGAAAGGCTTCGAGGTAGGAGAGTCGAACATGGAAGGGATGTTCAGAGCCCAGTTGCGATTCTTGGACTGCTCCACGTGTCCAATAATGGGACGGACACAGATCGAGTCACTATCCCACGACAAGCACCACTTGTGTTTCGAGGAGTTGGGAAAATATCAAGCTCGAACAACGGACTCCACGGGATTCTTTTTTCTGAGACAGGAAGAGGTCTCACCATAGTAGTGGGGATGTAATCGTATCTGGCGCGACTACAGAGGGTAGATAGTTGGCTACTTGTTTTTCCGTGGTACTCTACGTTATTCCGAAGTTCATTCCCGGAAATAATCTCTTGCTTACCCACAACTTCATCAATATTTAGCGGCGGCATAGAAGCTTCAATCTCCAATATTCTAAGCAGTCGAGTCAATCCAGGAGATTCAGGGACATCAATATCCCAACTGAGGGGCCATTGTTCTAGATCCATAGCGTCATTCTCCTCGCTAACGTTTGAGATTGTCGATTCCACATGAGCTGAAGCAATTTCACCCACATGATTTAATATGGGGAGTCGCTCTTCGAGTGAGCAATTTGGCCCAACAGATTTTGGCGGGATATTGGTGTCTCGATACGAGAGATCTGAATGCACCGAATCAAATATTAGAATACTTTCGATGAATGTATAGTTGTCTTGAGGAATATCAAACCTTGAGACAATGAGCTTTCATATGCATATCTTCTCTTCGGCCTTTGGATTCTTCTGGGGCCCGAAACATGTCTGTCTCCAATAACAAACTCTACAATGTCGCTTTTATTGTCATTTTGAAGAAGGAGCTTCCTTTTCGCCTTCCTGAAATTCTTCTTCAAACCCCACTCCTCGGTCTTCCGTGTGAATTGACATCTTCTATAACCAGAGTATCAATATCTCTATGATAAACTTCATTCTATCAAAGAGGCAGAGGAACCTCCAGATGCGACATCACATCCTTCCCGTTCAATAATCAATATGAGAAACCGAACACTTACGTAGGATAAAAGTCGAACCTTCTCGCGAGTTCACGAGCAACAGTAGGGTACGTCTGGTTCTCGTCTATATATATTGCTGTATGATCGGCTTGAATTTTAACCATTCTTCTCTGGAGAGGATTTTGTGGCCTCTGGTAGATAGTGAGGACTGTGTTTCGACATCCATAAGTATATGATTCTCGACAAATGTTTGGGCTGACATGATGTTGATGTGAGGATCTGGCAAGGGTGAATGCTCTGGAGTGATTGGCAATGAAAACGTGTTTCGTAGATAAACATTTTAATTCCAGTAGTGAGAGATCTGGTACAGAAGAAACACTTTCTGCGACGCCAATTGAAGAGTAAATCTTGCTGGGCAAGAAATTGCAGAACATCGAGACAGCCTGGTACTCATCAGTCGATTTTGTAGAATCTAGCCTTGTGATACATTTCAATGGCTGACCAAAAGTCCCCTTCAAGATCAGGGTTTCCGGACCATACTTTACTGCGTACGTATCAACAAAGTAAGCCAGCTCATTCACGAGCGATTGTACATGGTAATGGTGATAAATCATTCAGTCTCCAATCTCACCCGCCTCACTTCATCCTTCATCGCATTCTCTATTGTTTTCAATTTGTTTGCGTACCTCCACAAAGCTCAGCCAAAATTGAGTCAAGTGTCGTTTTCAAGCGATTACATTTGTCTTGTGGCGGAGACTTGAATGTAACACAACTGATTAGGTGAGAACAAAAGTCCCTCACATACAAAGTAACCGACATCCCTACATCTTGTACAACCCTCTATCTTGCACACTTTTATTTATTGAATTAAAAATCAATTGTAAATTCAAAAATCATTATAATAATTTCAAAATTAATATATAGAAGTTTCAAGAATATTATAAAGCAAAACTGAATTTTTGAGAAATATAAAATATTAATCAATTTAAAATAATATTATTATAAGATATCAAAAATATAATAAAAAACTATATTAGAATTTATTTATAAAACTAAAAATTAGTTTTTCAAATTCTTTTATATTGATATTTTAAGAAAAAAGTTTAAACATTTAAAAAAACATTAAGAATTAAATTTTAAATAAGATTTTAATAGTATATTTAATTTAAAAGAATAAAAAAGATTTAAAAATTGGTTTTAAAATATATTTACCTTTCTTTTTATAAAAAGAAAAAGAAAAATTATAATTCAAATTAGATTTATTAAGTTTATCTTTAACTATTATTAAAGAATATAATATAAGAATAATAAAATCATTTTAAAAATAATAAACAATATAAAAATTAATATTAAATCTATTATAAATTAATGAATAAGAAAATGACAATTTTAAAAATATTTTTTATTTTTTTAAATTTCAAAATTTTATAGATTTTTTTTAAAAAAGAAATATATAATAAACTTATTTTTAAAAGAATTTTATTTAAGAAAATATCTTTAATTTTTTCAAAATTTCTAAGAATTCTAAATTCAAAATTCATTTTTAATTCAATCCTATAATATTTTATATTTGATATTAATATAAAAAATAATAGTATATTTCAAGAATTATATTAAAAAACAATTTATTTGAAAAGAAATTATTGTAATAATATTATTATAATACCTAATTGTAAGTGTTTTTTAATAAATAATTATAAGTATATATAATTCATAAAATATAGCTTTTTATATTTTTTTAATCCAAATTAATATATAAATATTATTATAAAATTAGCTTTCTATTCAAATATTACAAAATACTTAATTTATAATTGATTTTAATTTAAAAGAAAATTTTATAAATTTTATCATAATAATTTAAGATATTTTGGAATCTTTAATATAAAAGCTTACCTTTTTTTAATTTTTTATATAAGAATAAATCAAAATTTTAAATTATTCAAAAAAGAATAATTCTTTTTATTTATATTATTGAATAAATCAATATATAATATTTTAATATCAATATTTTTATATTGAAATTATATTATACTATCTAGATATTCTCAATTTATCAATTTTTGTTTTGAATAAAGATAATATAATCATATCTTAATAAAAAGTTTTAATAAAATATAATGATTAATCAATTATTAATTGAATTTAATATATCATTTTGAAAAGAAATAAAGATGTGCAAGATACAGGGTTGTGTAACATGTAGGGATATCGGTTATTATACTCGATTTCATAACCAACTTTTAAAACGTAATTTTATAATCTCACGACTTTTTAGCTGAAATCAATCAATTATAAAATCCTAATTTTATTAATATAGCTTCAAAATCAAAAATTTCTATATTTTATAAAAGTTATTAAATTATTAAATCGATCTTTCAAATTTGAATTTAACAAAAATAATATAAATGAAATAATAATGATTTTAAAATAATATAATATTTTAAAGGTTTTTACAACTAACTTTCAAAGAAAAAGCCTTTCATTTTTAGATTTTCATTTTTAAATTTCTATTTCAATCAATATAATTCTAAACTAATTGAAAATTGAGTATATAATAGATTTAATTATTATTTATTGTAAAATATCATTTTCATTGAAATCGATATTAGACTAATAAAATTATTATAGAACGAACAATAGGAATATAACATTTAGATGTTTTTGGTGAAGTATAGAAAAATTACGTTTTGAAAGGTAGTTATGAAATTAGGTGTATTAGCCGACTTTAAAATCGATCCGTTCATTATCGTTAATTTTCTCGCAGTGAATTTTACCAGCAACCTAGAACAATCCTTACATTTTTTCAGGAAAGCAGTTCACGCACGTATAATTATTGGCACAAATGGTCCAGCTGGAAGTTAATTGCGTGCAGTATGACATAGTCCCGACTGTAATTTAATTAGGTTAATGATCAACACAGTTAAAACCCCCCACATGAACACCCTTGTAGGAGGCCGAGGAACCTTTGGAATTGGAACTGACCAAAAGTACCATACAGCTGCCAGAAATATCATCTAGATTCAACGGAGTTCCAGCCGTGATATTATCTCGGCTAAGTGCTCACATTTCCCCTGCATGGATATGCCGCAATTGGTGCACAGCAATACAGAAAATTTCTGAAAAGGCAATCATAACTGTGGCTCATCGACAGCATGTTTGGCAAGATCAAAAGTCCCCAGCAGCATGGGACTTTGGTAAGTGTCTCGTAATAACTTCCTTCTGCTCAATTCCTAGTCGAGTTGCATTTAGTTGGGCGAAAACAGTGGCCTATGTCATTTAGGTCTGGGGTGACAAAAGTCCCCAGCTGTTGGGGAAGATTTGTGAAGATTGCCTTTCAACACAGTAGACAAGATGAGGACGGAAGCTCTAGTAACAAGATGAATTCTTATATAAAGAGCAATGGTTTTCCACTCAATCTTCCTACATGCTTCAGAGTCTTTCTATCTCAAACAACTTATTCCACCTGAATTCCGAGAAAACATACTGCTGATTCATCGTCAGAAGCTTCATTAAAAGCTCAAGCCTTTACTTGCTCAACCCTCTCAGTTTTTTTGATCCAAACAACACGAGATATTGGTCGTCTAAGATAGAGAGACCAGAGAACGCAGTATCCCAATCAGAAACTCTCAAAACATATTTCAAGGCCATATCAATATCACCAAGTTCATTATAGTTCCATCATAATGGCCAACTCACCATACGATAAATCAACCGTTCAGGTATATTCCTCTTGATCAAAGTTAGTTCTTTTACTAATGCATAATCTAGGCAGCTCACGTCCAATCTTCGGACAGCGCAAATACAGCCGAGTATACAGCCAATGGGCAGTGGACCGACTACTATACCCAAAGTCAATTCACAGAAGTCAATCGTGCTGTACTATCAAACAATGGTAGTGCTCAAAGCCAAAATCAAAAATCATACACTTCCTATTCGATTACCAATACAAACTCGATGACGCTAATGGATCGCTGGGCTACCGAAACTCCTCAACAAGCTCCTTGGAATGCAGTGGGAAGCGTTGCTACCTCATCAAGCAATACCGGATCCGGGTATTCAAATAACTATGTTGATCACCAACAGCAAGCTCATGACGATTGGAGTGTCTGTGGAAATAAATCAAGTAGATGAAAAATCGTTGAGGAAAAACATGTAAGTGATAAATCCCTAGACTGCTCTGCTTGTCTTGCCCACTGTCTAACACCTGCAGTCTCTTGAATACAGGAAGGTGAATGCTTTAGGATTACAAAGTGTGACAGTGTGACTAGTTTTCGATGCCATACTTATCTCCATCTCACTTCCAATAGTTGTGTCTTTCACTGATCGCGGGGAGTTTTGAATTTTCTAGGGTGAACAGTTCTGGGCATATTTATAGGCTGACTTGGAATTCAGCTCACATCCTCAATGGTAAATGGTCTCTAGGGGGTTTTTGTAGATGAAGTTAGCATGCTTCTCTACCGAGAGATGAATTTGAATAGGTTTTTCTGCACGAATGACTTTTCGAGATATCGATACAGAGATAACCTAACCCTATTACCGCGAATGAAACTGAGTGTCATATAATCCTAAATTTATATAGGAGTCAGCAAATCTTAGGCTGGCCTGGATCTGAGTTGTTCGTTTGCGGTTGATGATGTGACCACAATTCTAAGCTAATAAATACGCTGGCAAATGACTATCAACCTATGAGCAAGGTCATGGAACTTTGTCTTATCTTATTTACTTTCTGTAAAGCTAGCTTAATCGTATGAGTTTGTCTATCACATTCCCACCCACGTCCCAGTGCTTCAAATTCTCAAACCCTAATTGTGAATGAGGGGTTACAGCTGACTCATCGAGCGAAGCGAAGTAACGCATCTCTGGCGGAGAATCCCCTATCCGTAATAATATCGACAGTACCTAGGTACAGCAATGATATTTCTAGAAAGCTTGATATTTTGACTCTAAATGACTTGATCTAACCCGTGATAATCGATTTGCCTGCAGGACCTTTGATATTACTTCAGCGTGAAGATAGTGAATCTTGCAGAAGACCTTGCTTGATGTGACACCGATGCATCTGCAGTTATGATGAAAGAATTCCGATCTACAACTAAGAGAAATCGCTAACTAACTCTATAAATCTGAGGAGATCAAAATATCAATTGCTAGAATGACATTAAACGGTCACTTGCTTGAAACTTAGAATATTTGCTACTTTATCATCCGAAAAGTGAAAAGATGAGAGATGGAGTCTCACATTCACCAAAGAAATGTTTTTCCAGAGCATTCTCAATTTCATATTGTTCAAAAAGTGAATGAAGTCATAGGCTCAGCATTCATCAGTCTTTTAGGACAATAATCCAAAATCTTCAGCCTTTCATTGGCTCCGTTATTCACTAACAAAATGGTTATCAAGTCTCTGATTATAATTTGGTCGTACAGCAACCATATTAAATTACCTCTTCGAGCTTTGTCCTTGATTTTTTCTTGCTTTTCTCCTCGCAACACAAATACCACAACGACTAGATCTTTGCATCTCAAGTTTCTCAATTCAAACACACAATGTCGCACTTAACTTTTCTTCTTGATCCTCTTCTTTTGCAAGAAGACGAACGAAACAAGAAGAATAGCAGCTCCTCACAAAGAGCCTCTTCAATCATGCCAGAAACTCCTTTTATCAAGCAGGAAGTTCCCTTTATTAAGCAAGAGCAAGAAGATGACCATGTTTACCACCCGGTTTCAACACAACTTGGTACATATCATTTCCCCTCCATCGAAAGGCAAAATTACATAGATTGACCGCGCAATTAGGTGACACGCCAGAGTTAAAATATGAAGATGGTCATAAGTCTGGTTCTTGCTCATATCTTTCTGCCGAGGAACATAATATTAGAAACGACAATTTAGACCATCTTTCATCTTGTAAGTTTTTCTTCTGATCTTATTGCGTGTGATTGTGATTAATAACATCTCAATTTCAATTAGATCGACAAGACTATAAGTCTTCAAGGGAACCACAGTATTCATCGCGCGCGCAATCTGGATCCTCCAAATCACCCCAAGAATACGATCAGTATGTTGGAGATCTAACTTCGCTGCAAAAATATCAGCCTGGCGCCTCAGATCATTTCCGGCCATCATCGCCACAAGCAAGTACACAAACCGGAGACTCCGAGTCCTTCGGAATTTGCCCACCATCAACGGTCTTGCAACCTACAAGTTCTGATTTTAATCGACCTTCTGATGATTTTGATTACGATATTAGAGATTTACCCCAGGCACAACCTTACCTGTATCAATTGACTCGCGACCAATCTCCTGGCGGTCAAATTCTTCCTATCCAGCACGCTATCAATGAAAATGTTACTGATAGTCAATACTATATCAGCGAAACCCTCAATGATCCGCCAGTTTCTCAAGTCCCCGAGCCTGGTCTTGATCTTGACGAACACCTAGATTTACAACCAGGAGTTATCACCATGAATCTCCCCACACCAGCTACAACTGAAGAAGTCTCGTACTTGCAGTCATGGATTCCGAGAAACAAAACAGACATCGAAAATTTCTATGCTGCTAGGCCTGGTCTGAATCGACCTATTCTTGAAAACTCTTCAAAGCAGGATCAAATAGATACTGTCATGAGATACATGTTAGCTGAGCATGGAGCTATCATTGATGAGAGACAAAGCATTCATGGCCGATATGATCAACTTGGCGCAGTTTTGATTGGTCAATTCCGATTACAGAACCGGGAGCTTGCCTGCGAGCTCCAGCGCCAAGGAGATCTTGCCTTCCCATCATCTGCCATCTCTCAAGCTCTTTCGTCGTATCCTTCCAAGGCCCCTCAATCACGTATTCGCAACTATGATAATCAACCTACCCCTACTCATAACAATTACGAAGAAATTGGTGGCCCAGATGTAGATACAGTAAAGAAATGGGGCGGAATCAAACAGAAAATCAACAACAAAGGTGTCTACCACGAAGTTTTGCATCGTAGACGTAAAACTCTCGGTGCAAAATACCACCCTGAAGCTAAACGATTGATGGCCTTACCGTACTCGACTGGAGAAAATCTGACCGATCAAGATATTCTTCAACTGGCAAGATTGAGTCCACTCGACAGACATTTACGCGCTTCAAAATTCTTCAACGAGAGGGGAGAATTCTACACTCGTCATATACGCTTCACGGAAATGTCGGATGCGCGTCTTAGACGCGAGGGGTTGTTGCGTGCGTGGATTCCGAGAAAGGCGGGGGATCGTCCCCGAAATAGCATAGAGCGCGCTGAGCGGGCAATAGAGTTGGGATTGACGGGTGATGATAAATTGTTTGCTGATGCAGCTGCTGAGAGACTTCGTCGAGCTGCGGTAGAGCAAAAGATGAGAGAGTCAGAGGCAGCACAATGAGGAGGAATGGCTGTCACTCTTACACTATCTATTCAAGGTCCCAATTACCGAAGGGTACTCGGGACAATGACGATGGTAGTGGAGCAACATTGCGGGATTTCATGTGAACCATCTTCCTTTTTCATCGCAGCATTTTGAGTGTTGGTTGTTAGATACCCATTTTTGTGTCTTTTCTGTACCTACCTAGGTAGAAACGAGTGGATAGCTTGTTGACTTATATTATAAAATTTATCCTACTGTTCCATGATCACCTTGACTTATGTCTGTGATTGTAATCAAATGAGATTAAAGTCCCGTTATCCTATACTTGAAAAGTCTGGATGATCTTTACTGACATCAAGTACACCAATCCGTTCCCATGCATCGATAACTGAGTTGAATCTAACCGCAAGCGTGCAGAAGAAGTCTGCTTCTTCATTTAACTCATGATTTCTCTCTGTCATTAAACCTAGAAGTAAGCAGCAAACTTCCCAGCTCTGCTTCTACGGAAGACCTCCCGGATGCGAAGGGATATCCAAATTCATACCATATATAGATATCAAATCATGTCTTCAATATCCGCGTCAAACACAAGCATCGTGTTCTCCCCCGTTTCTGGCAGAAAAACTGTTGCGAAAAAATATTCGGTATTAATGCAAATTGTTTTTGTTTCTAGGAAGTTTTCGAATGATGAAGTGCTGAGAGACATTGTGGGTAGTGAAGCGGGGTCCGAAGTATGGAACTGTGAATTTTTGGAGAATGATGCATCATGGGCTGCTGGAAAGATTATTCCAATCCCCTCTGTCATCACCATGCTAGCCCATGACCACGTTGGAGCTACTTCTCCATTTTGCCTCTTCGGTGGCAAACTAAGAGTACTTACAGTGGTATGTACGTCTTCATACCTCGTAACATCCTACAGTAAGCCCTTTGCAAGATCTTCAGCCCAAAGTCCTTGAAGATATGTAGACATCATTTTAGCGTGGAAAACCTTGGCAATACCTAACAAGGCACTCAATCGATCGGTTTCGTGGCTCAATCTCAACCTGGAGAATTCCTCCACGGCACGAAGCCAACTATCGTAGGAAATATCTTGTGCGTCGCGAAGAGGGTTGGATGCGATAGAATCGAGTCCAGTACATTCGCATCTTAGTTCTTTGCGGCATTCCATGACTAGTTCTGACGTGCAAATATGCAAAGTTCTTGGTGCTAAATATTGTTCTTGGAAAATCCAGGCTCTTGACAACAATGGCGCCTCGTGCTTTTCTTTGCCCCATTAGTCAGTGGTCTCATTTCTCAATATATTCGGAGTGGAATGAAATTGATGGAGTCCATTGAGCGAACGGCGGACAAATATGCTCTCATCCTCTGTCGCTGGCTTCAGGAGACCTTTTGCGAACAAGGGGATGGATTGATGAAGTGGATTCCTAGGTGCCAGGCACCCTTTAGGACTATCAGCAGCACCAGTAGCCGCGATGTTTACATAATAATTGAAATATATTGAAGCCATAAGAATCGATTCATGCTTCCAATCATCTAGAGACTCCTGGACAATGCAAAGATAGTCAATCCATATGAATCTTAATCCTAAAGCTCGTACTACGGATATTGCATCCTGAAAGGTAGCTGGGAGATCCGCTTTTCAATTCCACTATAGAAAGATTTTGTAGTAGATGATGTGGTTTGAATGATACAATTAGCGCCCCAGCAATGTGACAACGTTGCGTAAGAGGGTCGATTGGCGCTGCTTGGGAGATCCGTAGTCTCTACCAAATGAATGACATCCTTATCACCAGATATATTCAACAGTCTCGAGGGCAACTGGCTTCTCGTAGCTATATCGCAAGATGAGTGATTTTTCTAGCAGTTGTTGACCCAAGAGTTAATGAGTGTAATATGTGTCATGGTTGAAATCAATGTACGAACGTTTCTGGCGATTCCAGAGTCGCCAATAACCTTAGTGGGTCTAAAACAAATTCCTCCGGCCTCATCATCCTTATTCACCACAAAAAATTGAAGCCTTGACAACACTTCTTCTCCAACACCATCTTCATCGCGAACCAATTCAATTTCAAGAGGGGCAGACCTTTGCACGATAATCCGGCCGCGCTCGATAGTGGAGTTGTAATGATCATTGCGATGAAGCAACGCACCGTCGCGCCGTACAGCTTGCACTCCAAAACAGGATACGATCAGCCTATACCGCAGAATATTTCCTCTAGAAGACACAACACAAGAACTGCATTCTCTGATTTGACACCACGAATAAAAAGAAACCCCTCAGTTTTTTACGTTCATCTAAGCGTCCTAGTGATTATGAAGATTCCACGAGTATCTCTTCCTCTTTCAGGAAGCAGCGCAAAGTCTCCTCGAACGAATACAATTGTTACTACAACGATTGTAACGCAAGCGTGGAGCTTAAAGGGCTTGGATCCCACAAAAAAATCCATAATCCTTATGAGTTTTTCGCTTGCATTGTGCCTGGTTGCTCGAAAACATTCCCGAGAAAGGAGACTATGAGAAATCGCCTAAAGACCAAATCCCATAAAGGCTACCTCAAAGGTCTATCAGAAGATGAAATGAAGAGTATATCAGAACCGATCAAAGAGAATACTTTCTTAATCGTAGATCGAACCCACGACCATTGCAATTTCTGTGACAAAAAGCTTCCTCGAGGTTCTTGGAAGAAATGTTGAGAGAACCACGTCCACATCTGAGAACATCTACCCCCTTGGTTCTTCAGCACTTATGCTCGGACAAAGACACTTGTGGAAAGAAAGAGTATTGAAAGACGAGTTCCTGCATCCGACCAGAGAATCGAAAGCAGGTTCCAAATAGCGATTATGATGGCTCTGATTGCGAAGCACGATCAGAGATTGAAGGGGACGACCTTGATTTTTCGGACGCGGACATAGCACTGAGCCCCAAGAGAGACCTGATATGAATCGTTATTCCCAAAAACCTATCGCTAAAGACTATCGTGGGAGCAAGAAGAGCTTTAGTCGTGGTCGTTATCTACGAAATCGGGACCCATCCGAATACATAGGTCTATACCACAACTAACAGCCTCCAATGTTTCAGCTCATGTCCGATAGATTGGATAAGTCGGGTACCCGACTTTCTGGCCACCCCTATTTTGGGCCACCCTTTTATACCAAAAAGTGCTTTTTCAGTTTATTAATATCTCTATCAAAACATAATATAATATATTGAAAATTTATATATATATAATTCAAATCATTTTAAGTCTATATCATAAAAATTGGATTTTTAGGATTTTTCTAAGTAAAAATCTAAAGCTTTAAAATATTGATTTTTTTAATTTATACAAAAGTTATATATAAATTTGAAATTAGTTTTAAATCTTTAAAAGCTTTTTAATTATAATTAATAAAAAAAAACTAATTTTATTTTTGAAGGTTTTAAGCTTCAATTTAATGATCTTTTTATAAAAAATTAATAGTTATAAAGATGTAATTTAAATAGGAAAAAAATAATTCTTACTATTTCGAAAATAAAATAAATAATATTTATCTCACATATAAATGTTATAGATATCTAATAATGATAAATTACTCTCATGCCCCCCAAAACTCATTTAATGACTCTCATACCCTAAAAATAATAATAATTTTACTCTCATGCCTTTTAGATTCTATAATAGATTTTAATTTAAAATGGTTAGATTCTATTTATTTAGAATAGATTCTATAAGGAAAAAAAATATAAATTCTATAAGGAAAGAGTAGATTCTCTAAAAGGAGGATAGATTTTAAAAAACGAGAGTAGATTCTAATTACTTCAGATCAGATTTTATAAAAGGGAAATAGATTCTATAATAGAAGAATAGATTCTAACTACTTTAGACTAGATTCTATAAAAGGGGAATAGATTCTATAGATATATTATTTCTTTTCCTTTAAATGCGTGCTTGCCTTTAAAAGTTTTTAGTTTTTTTTAGATAGACTAGAATCAATGAATTTGAGGTAGATTCTATATAGATTCTATTATAGAATCTATTATAGAATCCAAGGGGCAAAAAAGTAAATCACTCCTTAATTTTAGGACATCAGAGTAATAAAATGACATTTAGAGGTCATGAGAGTAATTAAATGACATTTGGAGGGCATGAGAGTAATTCGCCCGTCTAATAATTATTTGGAAATTGAAATTAAATAATTGTTATTGTAAAAAACATTTTTTTCAGTAACAATGGTTTGATTGAGACAGTTCGTTGACGATGGAAGATGTTATCTTCTTCCTCGTACTGGGAGGAAGGCTAATTCTTTATCTCTTTGGATCAGGTTGGTGCCATTGGAACGATAAAAGCGACAAAAGCTGACGACCTAGGCTTCGAGGTCGATCTAGGTTTCAAGGAAATTGCTGTACGGATCCCGCCCTATGCAGAGCTGACTTGTCTATAGGGCCATAAAAAAATCTCCTTTCGGTCCGTCCGACGAGAGGCTATCAGCAAGGCCAGCATGTTCACTTCCCGTACTCCAGCTCCCCTGCGTGAAACGGCTCATAATTGCCAGCTCAGCTCCTTGACAGTGTCTTGTTGGGTTCTGAAGCAACACAGTATAAGAGAGAGAACTCAAACATTGTGTTCTTGAAAATTACAAGAATTTCTGGATCCAATGCTCCCTGTGCCGTGAGCAACAGAGCGTGACGACACAACTTAGAAATCAGAGCTTGGCTAGCCCCTATCTACGTTACTAATGAGCTCGCATTTTTATGAAGAAGGAACACGTCCGCTTTGCCAAAATTTGCTGAATTGCATATCACCTGGTTCGAAGACACATCATGAAGCAAAATAAGTCTCGAGGCAGCTCAGCACACGCCCTCGAAAGTCAGAAAACCAGCCATTCCAATTTCTTATTTAGTTCAGGAGCTAAACAAAATTGGAAATCGGACACCAGCGTGGCCACAGAAATGTCATGAATAAACAAGCGGGCCTTGACCCGTTTAATTGTCCGTCTGGAGAACACTGTGCTAGAATACGAAAGCGGCTTGAAGATGAAGAATATCAGAACCTAAGCAAACCACTAGCAAACAAGAGGTGGAAAGTCAACTCACATCGAAACGCTGACTCGGACTGTATCATGCCAGATATGGACGGTGATTTTGAGGTCGAACAGCTGGGACAGCGTCTCGACTGTACTCAAGGACTCCGGCTGGAAATAGACATTGATGAGTGTGGGGCAGGGGTTAGCAACAGAATATAGAAGATCAGTCCACAATGATTATGATGATGGTAGCCTTGGGCTAATACGATGAAGTTTTAGTAAGCCGACATCCTCGACAACATAAAGTCAAGTCACCTCATCACATATCGATTCGCCTTTAGCAGAATCCTTGCGACAGTTTCATACGATACAGGATCAATAGGAGATGTTTACAATTTGTGAGCTGTTCTGCAGGACCAGTAGTGCAACACCATCTTCAACAGCTTTAGGCGTCGATCAAGTCTGAATGTGAATTCTCTTAAATCTTTTTCTCTCAATGTGACAACAACTTATGGTAGCAACCAATATGTCTCCCTTTGTTCAACGCTTAAATCGCTCAATGAGGAAGTGAATCACTTGATTCTCCATAGAAAGCCATTATACAACCCACCATGACAGCCGTGGTCTTCCTGCTTGCTCACACCACAAAGCCAGCAACAAAAGATCAGTTGCTGTCCCTGATCGCCCTACATATTTGTTCAGAGCTAGGCTTTAACCAACAATACAGCGACCAATTTAAAAGGATCAGTTCGGTGACGATGAAAGGAAGAATGGCTGATTGCCTAAGTATCCAAGAGCCCGTTGACATACGATGATCTGGTGTAACTCGACGAATTCTCCTGACGGTTCCACGAGGATATGCGTTTGGTTGTGTTTCTGCTGCTCATATTGATTGGGACGTCCATTCTATGTCGTCGATTTTGTTGGTAAACATTAAATATAGCATTGGGGTTGAATTCGGAAATGCAATGATTGCGAGGTGGAGCATTACTCTGAAAGCAATTACGTAAAATAGCAATCGAAAATCCTTGTATGCAAATCCATACGAGGTCTTGTGGCAAAAGCCTTGAGCGAGGAGGGGTGAATTCTTCCCCGCAAAATAAGTCTCGAATGCAGTCCCTAAACACAGCAAAAAGCCGCTAAACTCACCGAAAAAGAGTCTCAATAGCGTCCCCTGTCACGCCTGGCTCTGCAGATGAGAAAGAGCCATGTGAATTGTCAGCTTTGGGGAGACAAGTTGGGACTGGCCAATTTGTGGAAGCAAATGTATGTCACGCTGCGGATACACCTGCATTCATTATTCATTTCATGTAAGTGGCATTATCAATGAGGGGTGGACGTATGGACGAGACAACCGAAGTATTGCCGGGTACGAAGATGTCGTGTCTCTTTATAGAAAAGACTTTTATGATGGACTTTGCAGATGAAGCCAAGGCCAAGAAGACAGCTGGAGGAATGAGAATTCTCTAAGGAAGCGAATCAGAGTGGCAAGAACAACGGCGGTGCAAACCCCTTCTTGTTAACTTGAGACTCAGGCTTGGGGTAACGAGATTCAGATGAGCGGGCAAGAACAGTGCCGGTAAGGGAAACCGATAGTGATGACCTTTCGGGGAGAGGTGGAATACATTCGCCCACTGTAAGGTGCTGCAAAGAATTCCTGAGAATGACTTCGAAGTCGCACCTATACGAAGTTCGAAGTAGTACTGTGCAGAATTCAGAAATAGCTCAATGTTCGATTTGTGGGGCTGCAGAAGCCGATGACCCGTTGCGGGCTGTGGAGATCTACCCCTATAACGCCCCGCCTATTTGTTTTCATTCCGACGCACCAAGCGTGCATATATATAGTGGATAATCGTGGCTGAGTCAAGAGCCGTCAATAATTAGAGTTCATCTGTCATACATACACGTCGTTGTATGCTGTAAAATATGACGGCCAGAATTGAAGGGTGAGTCTAACGTTCTTAATGGGATCTCCATATACTCCATAGGTATTTTGAGATGCATAAAAGATCCACCTTGAGCCACTTTGAAGTCCTCGGAAAGCCACTGCCCAGCCTACAAACACGAGGTCGGAGAGACATACGAGAGACAGAGCAGGAGAGCCATATTAAAATTTATTAACTCAGTGACAACATTGGATATTCGCCTGAACGTGAACCAAGAACAAAATTGTCCATAGGTTTAATAGATTAGCGCCAGTGGTGTCTCCACGGAAGTAAGTGGATCTTATAGGGGTACATCTTATGTATAAAGAGGTCCTGGAATTCAAATATCATTCAAACCATCACTCAAATCATCACCAACAGCTTCCAACTCACTCATCATTTCACTACACACATATCCAACTGTTCTATCAATCCAACAGCTTCCAAACACCAACATGTTCTCCAAGACTTTCATCGCAACCCTCCTCGCCAGCGCTGTCGCTGCTAGCCCTATCGCCGCTAGCACAGCCGATACTCCCTACACACTCCGTACCTTCCCAACTGGAGCTGGGTCGATCTTCCGAGGCTTGGAGATCAATGCAGACAACGGCTATCTTTGGGTTGGAAAACCTACACCAGGCAAGCATAAACATGTTTCTATGTACAGGGTTTGAAATAAGCTAACAGGTATACAGCCGTTCAATTTTCTTTCGATAACGGACATGTAAACATCCAAGGAGGACAAGAATTATATCTCTCCGACAACTCAGTCGCATATGCTGCTCCAAACGCCAGCATTCAATACGATGCAGGTTGGGCGTTCGTCGCCCCTAACAGCGCTCCAAACAGCGTTCTTGGCTCCTTGACATACCCTGGCAACGACTTCTGGGCTTGCCCAACCTCCGAGGCTAATGTCTATTCTATCGCCGTTTTCCCAACCGATGACCGTACTTACCCTGTCGCCTGTGAGAAAATCCTATTGATCACTCAGTAGATGGGTGCCGTTTGGAGGTACTTTCAGATTGGTAGGGTCAATCTATGGTCCAATTTGTAATACTTAATAATGCTTGAAGGGGGTTGATACTGCACTAGCAGTCATCTGGAGAAGGGGGTGTCGTGGTTGTGTCTTATATTTTAATACATCGCTTAAGAAAAGAATGCAAAGACAATTCAAGGCTAGACCTATTCTAGCTCAAGTTGATTGCCAAAAACTTCATCGTTCCAAACACTACTTCCAACTATGTGATAAGATTCAAGGTTTTGGTCAACAAGCAGAGTTTCTGTTCCTGGTTTCTCCAAGCTCCCAATTCCAAATATCCTAACTCTCATCTCCTACCAGCACCTGGCTCTTCCGAGCTTCTAGTGATAAGCACACACAAAGGGGTACCGAACTAGATCGGCCACTAGGTCATTCTTGAAGTCTCTATCTAAGTCATAGCTTTGCTATTTACTCGACCTTCTTCTTGCATTGACTTCTGAGACTCATATACTTCCACAAACTCGGAGATTACCCGCACTAACAATAACAATCTCTTCCAGAATCCCTTGCTCAGCCACTCCTCATTCTCGATTATCCAAGGAAATGCTCATTATCCGAACTCTTCGACTATTTCCTCAACTAATCAACCTCCCAAGTTCTTTATACGAGCAAATTAAGAAATTGCATATGGATTATTTACTCTGATACAAACAACTTTGACAATAGAAGAGAATATCTCTATGGAACATAAACCCTCGCTTGTGAAAGATTCTATTCAATGCTTCTATCGCAGACACGCGTTTGGGCCATCAGAGACTTTGGAATTCGGGCTTTCTATTCGCAGGTCCATTCGGGATATTCTTCTAAATATTCGGATTGGAGACAGGGAGGAGAAGAGCTCCTGTATACTAGAGGTAGTTGATCAAGCTTATTATGAAGAAGGATGGCGTCTTCACAGCCCTGTGTAGAACGGCCTTTCGAATAACGGTTGCAGTTCAGGTCATGATGCACATATCACCTCCGAAACCCAATCAACGGCATTTCCTCAATTATTTTATCATCCCGCTCCCTCCTCTAGCCAATCTTTCGTTCTCACATCACCTTTAAGCTCTCGCTCGAAGAAACGTCCAACTAAAGAACACTCCTCCACCGAAACATCAAGTCCTCAATCCAAAAGACAACGCCTCACTTCCTCCAACCCCTACGAATGCTATAGCAATGAACGATTTACCTCTCGACAAGCTCTCCGAGAACGTTTCAGCACACACAATCCTTGTCAATTCATCGCCTGTCCTGAACCCTCCTGCACCCACCTATCTTTCCGAATAAACAGTATAGAAGATCATCTCAAAACGCACCACATTGACATCTGACGTCTTCCTACGCTCGAGCGCCATCAAAAACGCGAGGAGCTCAAGCAAAATACCTTTCTGATACTAGATTGTACGCGAGATCGTTGTGTCGTCGAGGGTTGCGATCGAAGATTTTCGAGAAATGAGCTGGATGGTTGTAAACGGAGTTTGGCTCATATCCTGAGTCATTATAGGGATAAGAATAACTTGCCGACTACTTTTAGACATGTTTGCTCGGATGATGTGATGTGTAGTGGTAAGGAGGCTTGGAGAAATAGTGTATATGTAACCGGAGAACGGATTTAGAGGCTGGAACGGCATGGTATTGAGGATGTAGATGCAGAGCCATGATCAGATGCAGAAATGCGGGAAGATGGGAAGGCGGGAGGGACACTGCTCCTCATTTTTCCTCAATCAAGTACTCGGAAGTTATTTACTTCAATGAGGAACAATGTCACGAATATTTAGACGATGTTTGATATTCATCACATGCGCTCTTTTTATAAAACACTTAATTTATCATCTGGCTTGGGAAATACATACAATCATCTTAATTGATAGACAACTACCCAAACGTACAAAATATCACATTCATGTTTTTCTCGTTCACTCTCGTCCTCATCTCAAGATCTAAGTTTCCTTCTAAGGCTTGCCGCTGCACTTACCTCTTCCCCCATTCGCAGGCTGCTTTTTTGGAAAGTAGAAATGTATCAAACTCACGCACACTATCCTTCCTAATGCTATTGGAAAACAAAAATGCTTCAAAAGATGAAACGTCAAAACTAGCAGAGATTCTCCCGACGATTCTGGGAATGACTTGATGAAAGATGACTTGCGAAGAATCGTTTGTGCTGGCAAGCTCATTCCTCCCACACTCCAGCACATAGATCTGTGTACAAAATTATGAGGTACCAACATAGACCACAGAGACGAAAATCCTCATACACAAAAGGCAACATCCAATCATTGAAGTAACTTAGCATGAGAATCTTAATTCAATCATACATACATACATACATACATATATGATTTTCCGCAATATAATCTCCAGATCCCACTGGGACTTCCACCAATAACACACAACGCATAACAACAAAGACACCACCATCCACCCATCCAACCATTCTGTCCATCCTTACTGTTTACATCCGATTACACAAATAGACAATAACATCCTACATTCTATACCATCCTCAAACATCCAGTCCAGTACCCTTCTACGTTCAACACAAACATATATCGCGAGTAAAGTCCGCCATCTCACCATGTGTACCGTACCAACTTGATCATTCCACATTCGCCCCCGCCGCCGATGTATCTACCTCCGACTTCTCAACACCAGGTACTATGTAAGATATTGCGGAATGCAGAAGCTTACCCTGTAGACACTCGTGTTACATTTCAGGGTCGAGCTGTAGCACTACAATCAAGTTTACCGACGGTTGGTGGGAAGTAATGTAGATACAAATACAACTTCATTTGTGTACTCGGATGCGGTAAGACTCCACTTGAATAAAATCACCTCAGACCTCTCACTCATAAAATCAATTGTTCAAGGTTGAAGTGATAGAATATAAAGAGTGTAATGACGCTCTTGTTCTATTCTAAACGTATTGCCGTGGTCTAGTCTAGTCGAGTTTAATCTAAACCATCTATGCAGTGTAGTCCACAACGCTCTATGTACACCAGAAGATGCAATCAACCAGCTAATCTATCTCTAAAAAGAAGGATATCTCTCCCCAGGAGTCCAGATCTAATTTAAACCTATATATCTTGGGTCTGGTATCGTGTTGTGACCCAAGTATCTTCTCAACTCGCAAGCGAAAACTCCCCAACTCCATCCACCAATGCACGTGGTCAATTATGTCGACAACTTTTCATGTCAAACATCCCGCCTCCCATTTCTCATTCACTCTCCCATAACTTCAGCCAAAAGAGGTAATCCAGCCTTTGCTCTCTCTTGAACACTTTGACTCAATCTTCTTCCTGCATTCATGTTTCGGCTAGTGCTCATTGCTGTAGCCATGGAACCAACTGGTACGACCTTTGAGACGGTTGGCTTCTCTGACTTAGCAATAGAAGCTTGGCCATTAGTAAGATCCTTAGCGTGAACCTCTCCATCTCTGTTATACAAGTTTCGGTACATGAAGACACCACTTCCTTCCATACCCTCAGATTCTTCGACGAATCTACATGTACGTTGGTTTCTCCAGAAAGCGGTCCAGAAAGGAGTCTTGACATCGGCCTTGTAGTGTTGACCCATGACTTTCTTGATGTGTTGGCTTGCTTCTCCGGCGTGGTAGAATGGGATTGTAGAAACCAAGTGATGGCAAACGTGGGTACCGATGATATCGTGGAAAAGATGGGAATCGATGAAACCGAGATCACGATCGATAGTAGCGGTTGCACCACGAGCAAAGTTCCAGGTGTTGTTGTTGTAATGGGGCATGGTTGCGTCGGTGTGTTGAAGGAAGGTAATGGCAACTGTGAAATGATGTTAGTATTGAGTAATTGAGAATCGAGATAAAACGTACCAATCCAGTTGTTAACCCACAACCATGGAACACCCCAAAGGATAATAACATTGAAACTTCCGAAGACTTGACCAGCCCAGATCAAAGCGGCAATCATAACAGCAACACCGACGTCACTCAATGCGATCAAAGGCAACTCGTGCTTCTTGTAAAAGACACTGTCCTCTCCAAAATAGAAGTGAGAAATTCTCATTCCCTTAGCACCATTGTAGTCTTGTCCAGTCAAGTTGGCAATCAAATAACCTGGCCATCCAAAAAATTGATGAATGAATGCAAAGTAAAGAGAGTAAATTGGGGAATCTTCTGCCAATTCAGCAAACTCGATCATGTTGGCCTTGGCCTTCTCTCCAAAGTTTCTCTGGATCCAACCTTCTCTGGTGTGTGGAACGAAAGCAGTATCCCTTTCCAAGTTTCCGGTAGCTTTGTGATGTTGAGAGTGGGAAAGTCTCCACGAGTGGAATGGCACAAGTAAGAACGAGTGCATGATCAATCCCATAGTCCAATTCAATCTCTTGTTCTTGCTGAAGGCACCGTGTCCACATTCATGTGCCAAAATCCAAATACCAGTAAAAACGAATCCTTGAACAGTGGTGTAGGCGACCCAAGCGGCGAATCGAAGGTATGGGTTTGGAAGCATTGGGATGAAGGTAAGGGCGAGATAGATGAGGGTAGAGACGTAGAAGTAATCGCGGACAGCGTATGCCATTGATCGAATGATGGATGGTTTGAAGCAATGAGCTGGAATAGCATCGTAAATTTCTTTCATGGTATAATTGGGGAGTTCAAAGACATTTCCAAGCATGTCAAGATGTTGAGGTTGCTTTTCCTCAACGAGGGTGTTGCTCACTGAGGAGCGAGTTGAGGGTGCCATGTTTGCGAGTTTGTTATCACTCAATTCGAGTATTTTGAGGAGACTTGTACAATTGTTTGTATAGAATAAAAAAAATTGAAAGGGAATTATTTGAAAATCTCGGTTTATTCTGCCAAGGTGATTCTTGCCCTTGCTCTTTGTGCGTGTTGTCAAGAGATGAATAGAACAACGGTATCAGAAAGTCAGCTTTGAGACAGTAGTAAGAATATTCCAAATTCCTAAAACTTCTTCTCAAATGAGACAAAGAGAGGAAAGGAAAGGGTATTTGGGGAAAGATATCAAAAAGAGGGAAGAGATGAGAGAAGGAGTGCAAGAGGGAGAGGAAGATGGGAAGTTTATATATATGATGTTGAGAAATATAAAATTTCTTAGCTTTCCCTAGCTACTCTTAGCTTCGAGTCTTGGTATAAAATGATTGAGGCAATTCTCATGTATGGATACCTGGTACCTTACCTTGTTAGTAGTCAAAATAGGAAAATAGCAAAAATAGCAAAATAGCAAAATGGTAAAATAGCAAAATGGTAAAACCGTAAAATAGTAAAAAATATAAAATCATTCACTTACCATATACCGAGTACACACGCAGCATACACGCATACACGCATACACACATACACACACAGATCACACAAGCACCCATCGAGCCACCACATGTTAATAAATTTGCAGAGGAAATGCCAATTGAACCCTTATTGTAACCTAATCACTTAGCGTAAACCAAATCTTCTATCTTCCTTGATATCTCTCCATATTATTTTTACTTTTCCCGCTGAAAACCATCGTCTCCACTTTAAGGATTCGGTAAGAGAAGTGATAGTGGAGATCTTTCCTCCTCAACAGTTTTTGAGAATCTATTCTAACTTCATTGGGTGTAGGTTTCTAATCAGGTGCCAATTCAAAATTCATATTCATCAGTTTATCTCGATTTACCGTAAATCTTCTTGCAATTGACTCGTTTTCATTGGATCCGATAAGAGATGAGACGTTGTCAGCATTTACCCGCCTGAGAGACGTGGTGGGATGGTGGGAATGAGATTGTAGCAAGAATACCGGTAGCCATCAGATCAGAGTTAATCGTACAGCCCTGGAGTGTGCATCTAGGTACTACACGTACTTGGGCAGGAGGAAGGAGGAAGGGGGAGGGAGGAGCAAGCCAACTGGGCAGGTTCTTACATGCTCCGACAGATACACCTACCTACCTACCTAGTATCTACAGAGTACTGCTTCATCTTACCTTACCTTCTTCCATCCTGATGCTGTGCAACGTCCTTTCACATGTCAAAGATATGGTCTTGGTATTGCCTCCACCCACAAGCCCTGACTACATATAATCATCCAATCAAATGCTTTCCATCCAAAACTTCCTCTGAATCCAAATTCAATCAACACGTCCATCCATCACTCTACCCTGGTGGATGATGGATCTTATGCAGGGTCCTTCTCCATCTGTCATTCTTCGGCATATTTTCTCAATGCGGCTAGTGGAAGAAGTGAAAGTAAACACTTCACCAAGATCTCGACCACCCCTTGACTCGTTGATCTCAACCTACGAGCTTTTGATTGGCTCGTCTATCAATAAGAAATCCATGAGCTTGGCTACAGTATTATCATGTGCTTTACGCGGTAGTGATGTGTTTTAAATGGAGTATGGAGTTTAGCAGTCAGATCATCAGGGGCTTCGACTGCTGTCGACTTCCAGAAGAAGTAGAGGATGGACGGACGTGGTGAGATACAAGATGTTGTAACTTGTGTTTCCCAAGGTTTGTGGCTATGTCTTCTTGCATGTTTTCTCCCTATCCTGAAACAGTGAACGGGTATGCACATGCAAAAGGCAATGCGTGGTCTATTGGTGTACTGTAGTCTGTAGTACAGCAAGACGTGAGGCTCGAACTCAGACGGACCCAGAGTCCCAGACAGGTAGCGGTACTCTATTATGTACTCGTAAAGTATAATATATAATATATAATATATAATACACAAGTCGAACATTTTCAGCCCCCCACGTTTGAAAATTTTCAAGATTCGTGCCTCGTTTTTCTGGTTGATCTCGGGATTCAAATACTAACTAACTTAATGGAGAAAATGTTGGGGGAGTTTTTAGTGCGATTCGGAGTTTTAAGGATTCTTCCAAGGGTGTTTTTTTTTTTTTCAATTTATGGAACTCACAGATAATAATTGTCTACAATGTAATTTGTTTTGTCATAACTTCCCAAGGGCATTTTACCCATTTATTATTCCAATCAAGGGTCCCCGGCCTTCCTTCTCATCTGTTTGAATTTGGAACTTGGAACTTTGGAGCCGAAGATCGCAAAAAGCAAATCCCCAGTTAACTTAATTAGATAAAAGGGATGTCTATCATCCATCACAACATCCATCCATATTCCCACCCGTCAATTCTGTTTCAAATACGCACGTTCTCGGATCCACTCATCATCCACTACGACTAATAAAAACTACGAGTACGACGATGAAAAGAAGGAGGCGAATAATGAATAATTGGACTTTGGCTTTCTGACATTGCCTGGATTGGTTCGATTGGAAAGAGGAAGTTTCGACTTCAGGAATCAGGACTCTGGGACTCAGGAGAATACCCACTACAATTTGCACGGGCTACCCATTAGTATAAGACTAATCAACTCAAATCTACTCGACAGCAATGTATTGTACATACAAGGTACGCGATGGCCATAGATGCGGTGAGAGCTCGAGTGCGCTGCCATCGCGGGGTAGATTGTAGGTGGGTTGACTGTGAATGCAAATGACGGGTAATCTTCGGAGTAAAAGAAAAGGGTGAAAAGACTTCGACTTCGACTTCCTCTTTCTTTCTCTGTTCTACCTCTGTAATATTCCTCGTATATTTCGGAATGCATTTTTGCAAAGTACCGTGATGAGTAATTAGGTCGAGTGTCAGGAACTTTCTCTCTGCTCTCCATATCAATTGCAGGTTTTCAACCTCACGTGTGCCGAATATCTAATAAGTAGCCGATGAACTAAGTATTTCAGGTGTCCTCTATCTCTCATTCATCTAACAACATTGGTATGAAAGCATCGAGAGGTATTTTTCCTTTTCTGAACTGCATTCGGTCACTACTTGTCACAATCTTCATTGACTTATCATAATTCTCGTGCGAAGAATACTCTTCATTCCAATCTGATCTTCCAATTCTTCCGAATGTCGAAGAGAGGGAATGGGGTCGGCCCTTCAGGATCAGATTGCTATGCTCTGATTTGACTCTATAGATTAGATGGGAAATCATTATTTGTCCAAGTATAGAGGAACTCCCCCAGTGTATAGTGTATATGAAAGATATCAATACCTTCATCTAATTGAGAGAGGAAAGGGGACGGAAAGAAGCGGGGTGAACTAATCATGAAGTGACGAGGTGAAGTGAGTGGTAAGTACCGGAAAGCCAAGCTACTTTGAGAGCTTCTGTCGACGCGTCGATTTGGAGTGAACATTATCACGAGGTCTTTTTGAACTTTGAAGATGGTATTGGATATATTGTTGATGGTAGTGAGAATTGGTGTGGAATTCTTTAAAGCGTCGATAATGGGTGTGCGTGTTGGTTCGAGTGAACTTGGAGGAACAGAAAGAAGAGAGGGGGAGGTAGAGAGTAAGGTGTTGACATCAGATATTGGACCTTGAGCGTTGAACTTCGAAAGAAAAATGATCATGGTTAACACAGTTCGCAATTGAGAAACAGATTCGGCAATAACAGACGAGCTTGAGGAAAGGTCAAGATCCGTTCATTTCATAGCTACAGCTCGGATGAGCAGTTTAGGAGTTATTCACGGTTGCTGGGAATTTGATGATATCGTGGATACTCCTGATGATTTCGAATCTATATCAAATTATTAATTATCCATGGAAACTCGCGAGTGGTCTGGAAATATTGTGGTACATTTAGTCTCATACATGAGATAATTTACTAACGACGCAATTGCTTCCCCTTTTCTCTTGGAGGAAAGAACATATTCTACGCGGGTATGATCAATTCAAATACTAATAATCCGCAATGAACGATATGTAAAGAACGGCCATAGGAGATTATCTACCATGCACACGTATACCAGTATCAAAGGCAGTATGAAAACTCAATCCCCTTCTCACACATAGCCTTTCTATGAGAGTCCAAGACTATCCAAATTAATTTTATCAAAGGCGGTACAAAGCTCTCTCTCTGTGAAGGGCAGGCTGGGGAACGATAGAGTGTATGCGTGGTTTTTGCTTGGATTTTCTGTATGCGTACATGTGATTAGAGGAAATTTTGGGGCCCATGGACAAAGGCCACTGTGCTTGGGGTTTGTGTATCGTGGAAGACGTATTTTCTGTACGAGATTGGTTTAAAAGAATACAGAGTCTCATATTGGTGAGCGATTTGCAGCGGGGTGTGAAGAGAGGGATGAACGTCTTGTCCCCTTGCCCGATAAGTAAGTAAGCTAACGAAAAATAGGAGGGAGTGAGAGGGAATAATATAGAACATCCTGACAATACAGATCTTAAAACAGTGCCTGCATAAAGCGCACCAGAACAGTCAAGCCATTGAGGTATCTGAGCTAGCGTAGCCTTGAAAATTATCAAGTCCGAGTTCTTTTCTGTGAAGTTGACTTGGACATCAGAAGTAGCATGTTGAGACCCATATTCTAAACGTTCCGAGAAATCATGGTACAATATTAATTGTCCCCTCGAATCATCACAATTTATCGCGCGCTCTATCATACAATCAATCATCAAGCCATAATATTCTAGCATTGAAACGCGACATCTTCCTTCACAACTTTATTACCCCCCGCACTAGCAAATCCCGTTCCCTCACTTTTAATCTCTACCAATCCCGGTTTGATCTTCTCCTTATCCCCCTTCTTCCCCTTCTCCTTGACATCATTCCGCTCTGTCAGATCTGCCTCACAGACATAACAAGCCACTGCATTCTGATCCGTTCCCGCTTCTGCATGTGGATCGTGAACTCCGCTTGGAGTCATGAATTTGGTAACGCATGATTTGCAGAGCACATGACCGCAGGGCTTCGCAAGTACGGCTTTGGAAGTGTTGGTCAATTGTTTTTTGCATGAAGGACAGATTCTTTGCGGCTTTTTTGTGACGCTGTCGGTTTCTTCTGTAAACGCAACGGTAATTAAGGTGTGGAGTGAGTAATTGTGTGGTTTATCTTGTTGTGAGGCGGGGCAAACTGGCGATTGTTTGGCTTTTTTGACGATGTTGTGGAGAGTGGTATTGGTGTTCGAACTTGGTGTGACGGATGGAACCCAGAAACTAGGTAGAGTTGTTTTGGAAGCCTATCGTAATTTTAGTAAATTGCCATGATCATCGGATTAAGCATCGTACTTTTTCGTCATCAATAGCTCTCCTCGCTTTTGATCTCTCATCCTGAGCAATTCTCAAAAGCTCATCCTCATCTAACTCAAACTTTCTCTTCTCTCCCCTCTTTCCACCTTCACCATTTACCTCTTGCTCTACCATAATCTTTCCTCCTTCTCTCCCTACAATCTTGCCGCCTTTTCCTCCCGTCTTCCCCTCTAACCCCATTTGCACTTTCTCAAACTCCGCTACAGCCCTCTCTCTCGCCTCATCTTCTTCTCTCATACGATCTTCATTCTTGTCCTGATCGTCCCTTTCCTTATTCTTCTCCAGCCTCTTAATTTCCTTCTTCTGCGCCAAGATATTGCTCAACGCGCACTCGCGACAAAATATATCACCATGACCACACGAGACAGGAGTACGCGCAGCTAAGAGACATAGGCGACATGAAGCAAATGGTAAAAATGAGTCTCGTGATAGACGAGCACTACTGCTTGTCCAGGCTGATTTCGCCAACTCACGCTCGTGGGAGGTGAAGACTGCACGGGATGTATTACGTTTGCTGTGGGACATGGTGGCCTTTTTGAATTTCGGTTATGTCTGAGGAAAAAGAGCAATCAAATGTATTGATACCTAGTGGTTTACTCGACGGATAAGTTGTAAAATTACGTGGTCGGGAATATTGGTGAAGAGATCCAAAGATCGAAGATGATCACCTGACTAGATGGCTGTGCGGTGAAACATTAGTCCGTTCTCGACGCTAAGCTTGTTATGGCCAGCCGGGTGACGTGCAACGATAACTTACACCAGGAGCTGATGAGGATTTCTTTCCTGTCTTTTCTTCAACACCTAATCAATTATTTAACCTTACTCGATGATGCGATGTCCATTTGAATGGTTTATTTTGTATCTAACTTTTGTATCCCTACTTCCTTATATATCATATTAACTCTCCCCTCTTGGTTTGAAAGGAACAGAAAAATCGTAGATATCAGTTGACTTCGTTCCTCAAGCACCTGAATAATTGTCCAAATATCATTGAAACGATTGTGTTGAGTTGTGGCGAAGATGTTGAATATTCCTGGCGCTCCACAACAAATAAATGAGCGTATCGTGCAGTCTCGCGTCCACCGTGAACGCAAGCAATTTGTCGCAAATCCATCTCTTTTTGGTTGAAACTGGGATCTAATAGCAGCGATTTAGTTCTTTCAGTCTCCATTGTAGTCAAAAGCCCTAATCTCTCACGCCTAGTATATAGTTTCGTCTTCATGGGCTATGGGTTAACAACGCAGAACTCTGTGCTGCGTTGGAAGGAGATTCAGCTGGTAAGGAGAAAACTGAACATTGGCCAGCATCTAAAGACAGGTTGATAATCTTGCTAATCCTAAGATGTTATGACTTTCGTCTCTGATAATTCTAGCACTCTATCGAATATAAAAAGTTGCAAGACCTGTGAAATTGCAATTTGAAGTTCGGGAGACAGATGGAAACCTTGATAATATCTCGTCTCATCTGGAATCTTGATAATTTTCTAACATTCGAGACCACCATTTCGTCTCTTAAACATCATCGATATCATGATAGCCTCAGCTTCTATGAGATTGTAAGATTTACCATCTGCTATACTGTGCTTTCCATGTGAATGAAAACTATTCACTTTTCCTACGTACCGCCCCGTTGACAGATTTTCTCTTAACAATGAATAGCTTTATTTACGGTTGTTATTGATTCGTCCACGCTAAGACCATGTCCTCTGAGCCATACCCTTAAAGATCCCGATCATATATTCACAAAGTGAGATTGTTCTTCTCTCACCACAAACAACGTGTTAAGTCAGATCTTCGACAACCACATGCAAGCACAATTACTTCAAAAGCAACATTCACCAACCGATCTCGCTTTCTTTGCTCATAATGAAAGATCTAAGCCACACTCCCGAATTCGGAAGATCTGCCCTTCCAACGAAATTAGAAAATTCTCGTTATTCTCTTCATAATTCTCATACCAGCCAGGGCACGGAGGAAACGCGTGCACTACCTTCCATTCCATCTTATCAGTCACACATAAGTAACTCTTCAAGCATTTCTTCTAGCAACAACTTTACCGAGAACAAAGACCACCCACGGAAGCGTCTTTCGAGAGCAGAAGCCAAGATCAAAGAACTTGAGAATTTTGGTCCAAATCTAGTTGCCCTTGAGGGAAGGGCACAAAAACTTTTTGTGGATCAGGTCAATCTTAACTTCAATCTTCTGAGCCGCCTACAAATGCCACTGACATCTTCGTCTCCACAGGGACGCCCTTCAAAACTGGGACCTCTTCAACATCCACATACACATCTCCAAAATCCAAATAATTCCGGTCAATCTTCTGTTACTCACGCGTTTCAAGTCAATTCTGAGGATGTGGAAATGAACGATGCGCCGGAAATTCCAGAGTCAATTATGGTTCCCGTAGAATCTGAACGTCAGAACAGAGGTGAAGTGCCAACTCCCCGTCCACTTATCATACCCTCCCAAGCCGCTGCATCGGTTCGAATTCCTTCAAGGTCAAGTCAATTAATGACTCCAAGTAGTGTATTCGAAAGTCCACGACATACTGCTCTCCAAACCACCACAACCAACATCCACGATCAAATCGAGCTTGAACTTTCCCACTTAATGTTAGAAAAGCATAACGAACTACGACTTATCGAAATTGAACTTGCTAAAGCACAAATAATGCTTGAACAGCTTCGACGTGTTCATTTGAGGCCATTCAACCTTGTCAAAAATGAGGAGGGTCAGGTTTATGCAGTCAGGGTTGTGGTGAGGTCTTTCAGTGGGGAGGAGAGAAGGCAAAGAGCAATTACAAAAAGACAAAGAGAAGAAGAGAAGGCTGCGGAAGAACTAAAGATAGAAGAAATGAAGAAGGGGGGAAGTGGTATGGGTTTGAGGAATAGATATGTGAAGAGGTGAGGGGTGGAAGAGAGTGTAGATATAAAGGGAAAGTGATGGAGCTGATAGGCTCGGAATGACTCCGAAGTGGAGATAAATGATAGGCGAGTATATTGGAGTTAAAGAGCGAACCTATGTTAAGCCTGTGATAATTTGAAATGTGTGGAATAACGATGGTACAGTTCTATCCCAAGTATTAGCGGAGTCTAAAGTGATGCCAGTCAATCCTCCTCCGGACCTCCGGAAGAACAGAGAAATGTAAGATAATGTGAGGGGGAAGAGATCGTGAGCGATAATTTTCCCTTCTTCCTATCGAACATGATGTTAGCTATCTAGGAGAATAGCCCATCTGGTACTAGAAGACATCACTCAATGCTTCTAAGATCTCAGGAAATTGAGTGACTAGACTGAATGCTCAATTAAGACATCAAGAATCACTGGATACTTGATATGATTACCGTCAATTTGAACGAGGCCGGGTGGCTAGTATCTAATGGTCTGCCGTTCTCGAGCCGTTTCAAAAACCCGACTATGATTGATGTGTTGATTACATAAGCATAATCTGGGGAAACCTTGTTTCCCCTTTTGTTTATTATACTTTCAGGATGACGTAACCTAAATGATATAAGTACAATTCACATGTCCGAGAGTTTTGGTAACTATATGAACTTCAACAATTTTCCCATCATTTTTGATGTTCCACACAAGATACAATAACTCTATCATTTTACAAACATAACCACCTTCCGCGACAACAGCGATCATATCTGGTCAGAAAGGACAGCCATGGCAAATGTTTACAACAGTCAGCTTGTATTGTACCCTCCCTCTTCCTCGTCAATCTCTTCCTACTCAGGGCTTCCATTTGTCCGAATTGCAGTCTCACGTACAGAAATTTGCCGTATCTGAATTCAAGGGGGCAAATGAGATGCTCTAAAAGACTGGATTCACTTTGAATGTTACACTATGTTCAGACTTTGAGAGTTCCAGTCTGCCAGTCCGAACTTTTGGGCGTGCTGTTTATGTGTCAATACTAACAATGTACCAGGATGCATTCACACAATATCATCAATATCACGATACCTCATCATCATCCGCGACCTCGACAGCTCTTCCAGCACTCGGCCATGCCATAAGCGGTGCGACTGGATCCGCCATCTCAAACCTCTGCATCTATCCCCTCGACCTCATCATAACACGTCTACAAGTCCAAAGAACTCTCGCAAATTCCTCCTCTCCTACTTCAAAACAGCCACAGAAATATAAATCAGTTGCAGACGCATTTGATAAGATTTATAATGAAGAAGGAGGGATTGCCGGATTTTACAGTGGAGTCTTACAAGACACATCCAAATCCATTGCAGATTCATTCCTATTCTTCCTCTTTTATGGATATATTCGTTCGAAAAGATTACAGTCTCACTCATCCTCCAAAGCTACTCTCCCCGCACTCGAAGAATTGGGCGTCGGCGCATTAGCTGGCGGGTTATCGAAGTTTTTCACTACCCCATTGTCAAACATTGTGGTGCGAAAGCAAACTCATTCGATGACTGCTTCTTCTGGCACAAGATCTCCAACAATATCTTCAATAATATCGGATATAAAAGAAAAGAAAGGCATTACTGGTCTCTGGTCTGGTTATAGTGCATCCTTAATCCTTACTCTCAATCCGAGTCTCACGTTCTTTCTCTATGAGTTTCTCAAACGTGTTTTTATCCCAAGAGATAAACGTGATGACCCAGGGGCACGAATTACATTTTTGTTGGCGGCGGTTAGTAAGGCAATTGCAAGTAGCGTTACATATCCCGTGAGTCTAGCTAAGGCTCGGGCACAAGTCGACGGATCTTCTGCTCCAGTCAAGAAAGAAAGTGTTGAGAAGCTTTCAGACAATGTGAAAGATGCAAAGAAGAATGGATCTAAGAAAGCTGCCCAGGAAGCACAGAAAAATCTCAAAGATGTTTCCAAGCAAGCAAAAAGAAACACAATCATTCATTCCTTAATCAAGATTTACAAGGAAGAAGGAATAGGAGGATTATACGAGGGCATTGGAGGGGAGATCATCAAAGGGTTTCTAGGTCATGGATTAACAATGATTGTGAAAGATCGTGTGCATGCATTCATTCTCTCACTCTATTTCATGGTTTTACGATTGTTGAAACGCAGTCCCTCGCCAAAAACAATTATCAACGATGCGAGAGAAAAGGTCATGGAAGGAGGTGAGAATGCCTTACAGAGTCTCAAAAGAGTGGGCGAGAATACCCTTCAGTCTGCTCGTGAGAATGGCTCGAGTCTCGCATCCACAGCCCAAAATTCCACTACCACTATCACAAAATCCGCAAAGGACGTCTCTGATAAAGTGTTCAATGGTGCTAAAAATCTTGGGGAAAAGACAACTGCTAGTGTCCCAACAGCAAAGGAAGCAAGCAACAGAGCAGCTGCCGCGGGAAACAATCTCATAGAAACGACAACATCGACCACCGAATACGCGAACAAGGAAGCAGGACATTTGTTTGGAAACGCAGGTGAGCAATTAGGTGAGAAAATTGAGGGATTGGGAGGAGAAATCCAGAGAGTAGGAAAGGCAGGGAATGGGGGAAAGGAATAGGATTTCGTTTTAGCTCTGAATTTTAGTCTGATTTGATACAAATTGATACAAGTTTATTTGGGATTCATGATATGTTGGGGAATGGATTTTAACGGAGTGAAACGAACATGGGGAATATTGTTATAAAGTATAATAATATACGCACAGCAGGATCGCTAGCATGGATTGGTTGTATAATAGTTTATTAGTACATAAATTTAGGAATTGTTGTTTCAAATATAATCCAGATATTGTCTATTATTACTTCTTGATAGTTTCCAAAGCTTGTCAATGGAGTGAAAGACTGCTGAGAGGTGTATGAGTGGTAGTTGCGGCGGGGAGATCTGCCTCTTGATCGATGGATCAGATTGTTCGGATCTACAAGTGACATTCGAAGTGACTCTAAGGCGGCTCAAAGGGCAGCAAATACTTTACTTGACAAGGAGGCGAGACCTCTGAATCAAATGCCTATGACTGAATTAAATGCTCGAAGCTGGATATAATTTGAGCTCAAGGCCTGTCGACATTGCAAACTATGTGTAATTGCTATGTAGCTATCCGACATCGTAGTCTTCCAGGCATCTACTCGTGTAATTGTAGCCATATTGTAACATTTCATCTCATCTTATACAATGCAACTATATCCCCGCCTTTGACACCAGCAAGCTCTCATATAATTACCCCCAAGCTCACCCGCGCCTACGAGGCATCCGTTTTATAAGCACGACAAAGCAACTGACATTTCACCCCCAACCCTCCTCGTCCCGTGATCTAATACTCAAAGTCATCATCAACACTCGGACCTTTGCTCGTCGTGACACTCTCTTGCTTCCTGTACATCTCCGCCACCTGTCTACTACTCGTCGCCATGTCCGGTTTCTTATCATCTCTAATATTGATAAATCTTGGAAATCTCAATGAAATACCCTTCTCTCCTCCTTTGTCAACACCCTCCTTGCAACCCGCCTTATATCTCGGACTCAACGTCAGATCAGCCGTCTTGACTTCCCAGACGTATTTTGGCTCAAACCAAACATCAGGTTGATGTTGATTTCCTGAGGAATGGGAGTAGAATGGCTTAGGACGGTCGATGACTATAGCAGAGAGTTGGGCGTGGAGTTCTTCGAGGACTTGTTCGCTAAAGCCAGTGCCGATGTTACAGATAGTTTCGTAGGTGTCAGTTTGGGGGTTGTGACAGGCGAGGAGGAAGGCTCCGTAGACGGAAGTACGCTTTCCACGACCATAGTAGGCTCCTAGAACAACGAGATCGAGAGAGTCGCCGATACCTGAGAGATAATCCTTCTTGATCTGGGTCGGATGTTAGTATGGCAGGGTAAATGAATTGAGATGAGAGTACATACCTTAAGCCAATTCCTACTTCGCTTACTGGGCTCATAACCACTTTCCGTTCCATCCAACATCTTTACCATCAACCCTTCGCATGATGCCTTAACACTTTCATCTAAGAACGTCTGAATCTCGTCAATTTCTTGACCATTCATACTAGTAGCAAATTGAAATTCGCCTTCGACAGGTTGGAAAGCTTCATGAAGAAGTGCACGACGCTCTCGTAATGATTTCTCAACAACAGCTTCACCGTTCAAGAAAAGCAAATCGAATGCGAACACACAAACTTTAACTTTGACATCTTCGACCTTTACATCCTTCTTCTTTCGTGTCATGAGTTGTTGGAAAGGCAAGACTTTCTTTTCAACCATATCCCAAGCAACCGTTTCACAATCGAGTACAAAGCTCTTGGTATCTTCCTTAACCCATGTGTTCAGTTTGCCAAGGATATCTGGGTATTTCTTGGACAAATCCTCCGAGTTTCGCGAGAATATAGCAGCGAGACCTCCAGCAGATGGTTTAGCAGCAGCGGGCGTAGCACCAAGATATTGTTTGGGAGAATCCTTAGAAACATAATGTATCTGAGCTCTTTCTCCATCGTATTTATATTCACAAGTGAAAGTTTGATTTTCGAATCGATCCAGAACTTCCGTGATTGCTTTTGTTGGTTTGGCCAACATAGGCTTCAATGGTACACCGGGTTGGAGCTTGCAGTTATCTTTCAGGTTGAAGATGCCATGCTCCAACATTGCCGGAATGATCACATCATAACTTGGAAGGGAGCTGTTTTGGGTTAATGGTCTTTCAAGATCTGTGAAAATAGGACATACCTGTGAACTGCTTTCAATATTGACTCTCCCTTCGCCATCTGTTCTGTACTTGGAACCTTTCCGGAACCTTTCGCTTCAATCTCATGACATACCATTGCTTGAGCCAATGAAACGAGAACGGTCTTTTCTGCTAATCCAAGGCGAAGCTTACCCTCCAGGAAACGAACAATGTATTTTGCTTCGCTTGCTCCACCCTTGTCTTTTGTAATGTCAACTTTACCCGACGAATGCGCGTCAGCAGCGGAAAGCAACTTCTTGATTCCGTCAACCTTTCGTCCCTGGGCACCGTTACCTTGCACTGTAGCAATGTCGATCAAACTCTTCAGAACGCCTCTAATTGTCAATGGCTTTGGCTTGAACATTACAGGCTGATTTGAACGACTCTTGACTGCTACAAGTCCAAGATCACCAATTTCTTTCTGATCATTCTTGATGACACTCAGATTACGACCAGTAGACTCCCCGATGGCCTTCATGATCAATGATTCACCAATACCCAACTCGATGCCAGTATAATCTGCAGCCAATTTGTTGATCATAAGCAGAACCGTAGGCAAGAGATCATCTGGAGTTAGACGGAGGACTTGACGAAGAAACAAGGAACAATGAGCCGCAATAACTAATCGCTTGGTCGTCATCTCTACCAAGGAAAAAGTTGTACAAAGAGCTGCATAAGGTACTGGCTCTCCTGGTTTCCAATCCGGATATGGGTCCTTGCCCTTAGACTTCAAGGTTGTTTGAATCTTCTCCCTAGCTTTAGCAGCCACTTCTGGTTTCTCATCTCCACTAGATTCTAAATCCTCCTCGATTTCGGATTCTGATGCCGATTTTGATACAGTTGAGTCTCGGCGCTTTGTTGGTTTTGGTGACGGTGCTGCTGCTTCCACTTCGTCTTCGTCTTCATCCTCTTCCACTGCCTCTACCACTTTGGCACTCTTACCACGCTTTGGTGGCGGTGACATGTTCTTTGAAGCGGATTTTTCTGTTGATGATTTTGGCTCTGGTTTAGTCTTGGATTTTGTGGTAGCGGGTTTTGGCGAGGGATTCTTCTCTCTTGGTTCGGCCTTTTGAGCTCTTCGAGGCTTCTTTAGAATAGGCTCCTCGTCTTCGTCCTCCTCCTCCTCTTCCTCCTTGACTTCATCCTCAATTTTTATAGCTTTGGTCTTTGCCGAGAGTTTTGGACCGGTAGATCTTGATCTTTTCACACCTGTAGTTGCAGAGACAATTAGCTTCTTGAAGCAATTGCGCCATTACCCTGTCTAGACGTACCTTTCTCCACCTTTACATCTTCCTTCTTTACTTTCCCCTTCACATCAGATCCCTCTTCCTTCTTGATCGAATTTTCGTTTCCTACATCGGAATCCCCATCTTTCATCTCAACATCTTTGTTTTCTTCTGAGGCTTCCGAGGCAGATGACGAGCGTGCTGGTGGCTTGCTTGCGCTCGACTTGGAAGAGAAAGATAGCTTTGATTGTTTCGCAGGCGCACCTTTTGGTTGGCCAAAGAACTTGCTTCAAGTAAATAATCATTAGCATCATTGCCTCCGCATACTAGACAGGAACGAACCCCAACGTAGTTTGTGAATCTTTAACATACCCCAATGTCGCCTGCTTTGGAGGCATCGCGCAAAACGTTCGAATTGATAGGGACGTATGGAGATTGCCCACCACAGGAAGAAGAAGTCTGCGTGAAGCCACAATGTCGAGTTATGCGGCTGCAGGGGAGCAGCGGAATTGAAGTATCCTGACCAATTACGCTCAAGTATTGATATTTCTGTAGCCTAGAATTGATTTGAAAGAGTATAAAATCAGTTGTAAATGATACTTAATATGGCGTTTAAGGTTGAATCAGTTCTGCTATTGTCATTTTCAAGTCATTTTCAAGTCATTTTCATTCAAACTTTCAAACTTTTTCATCGACATAGATATATAGATAGCATAGAAATAAATTCTACCTAGTAGGCATCCCGTCGCGTCATTGAAAATCCAACTACGCGTTTCTACCTAGTAGTTAGCTTTACCCGCGTAAATTAGTTCCTAATCACGACCGGTCGGCCAGTTCCGTTACATTCCAAGGTTAGCTTCCGTCCACCAATAAAAGAACGAAAGCCGGCTCTTCAAGCGGCCGCCGACTACTTGAAGTATCGATATCACAAGCACCTACCTACGTGAGAGGATCTAAGAAATGTGTGAAAGAAACTACCTATATTTTAGAACTCGACAATACTTTAAATGACGGATTTTAGTAGAGGCGCGAACTGCTCACAGATTAAATAAGTATATAGTGAGAAGCCTCCCAGCTGTTCCAATTGAAAATAATGATTAATTAATTTGATAGGCAATTTTGAAAAGAGAGCGTTTTATGATGTGCGGTTATGACCCTCATACCTTAATCTCTTATCAGTTCCCCTTCTGACTCACCAATTGTTAGAAGCATAACTTCCCCCACCAAATAATTAGTTCCCCTCCCTCCAAACTTTCAAAACAAATCTGAACACCCATACGCGATAACCATGGCTGCACTTCAAGAACTCGCAGATCGAAGTCTGAAGACAGACACAATCTATATCGATACCGATGTTGGTCAAGATGATCAATCAGCCACGGGTGCCGAAAGCAAACCATACAAGTCTTTAGCATACGCCTACATTCAACATGGTGGTAGCGAGGGAGGAAAATATCAATCAAGAGCCTCGACAACTGGCCCCGTGAGCGCAGATGGTGATCCAGCAGAGCGATTGGTGTGGAAAGATCCTGCTAAGGCTGCTGTTAAGAAGGCACAAAATGCCTTGGATGCACACAAGAAGAAGCTTGTGAAGCAACAACAGATGGCTGCTGCAGAGAA